AATTACATGTCAATATTTGAAAACACTGGCATATGCGTGTTAAGTTCTTATAGCAAGAAGATGGTGTTAAACTAACATTTCTTATCTCAACATTTGGAAACATGCAGATAAAAGTGTAGAAGAAAATCGCGTTAGTGAAGTTTGAGATACTGGGATTGGTATATATGTTAATTTCTAGCTCCGTATCATGCCACAACAAACAATGATAACTGCATGAGCATCTGAAATATGTAACCTAAATGTCCTTTATCATTTCCATTACAAAAAATCAATAAGGATTTGATAAAATGTTTGAAAATAAGAAGGGGAAGCATGTGTGAGTCAGGAAGATTGTCTGGTGGTGATACCGTGGAGTTAACACGTGGTAAAGTGGCCATTCTCACTCTGCAGTATCAGTCTTCTTCTCCTCTGTCATCACAGTGTATATCGCATCATAATGTATATCACATCTCTGCGTATATCACACTTCCTGTAATTCTCCCATGCTTGTATAGTGTCTAAAAACATCGGCAATTCTTCCACTGTAAACACTTCCATCTGGTGGTGGTCGACACCGCCGCTGGATGCACACACTGATTGTGCACATTTGGTGCATGTTAGAGAATTTCTGTCCAAACATTAGTGGCCTATACTTCCAAATGTAGGTCTTTTCCATTTGAACAAGTACAAATTGGAGGTTTCACAGAAACCGTATTCTAATTGTGTATATTCAAGTGTATGAACAATGTACATTTTCAGAAATATTTTTTATAGAAATGTGCTGACAGTTTTTAAATTGTTAATTTGTGCATTGATGTTTGGTAAGAACTGTGATTGTAACGAGTGGTGGGGATCCTGGCTCAGCTCCAGGTGGTCGGTTTCAGTACGGGAGGTAGGGTAGCCCAGTGGTTAAGGCTTTCGCTCATCACACTGAAGACCCAGGTTCAATTCCCCACATGGGTACAATGTGTGAAGCCCATTTCTGGTGTCCCCCCCACCATGATATATTGCTGGAATGTTGCTAAAAGTGGCGTAAAACTAAACTCACTCACACAGTTTCAGTAGCTGGCACATTTAGCATTAGATTTATTAACATTCAAAGATATAAATAGAATGTTATGTTGATTGTCTGACTGAGGTTGTCAGCAACATCCACACCAACGTTGATCAAGTATCTGCGCTGCTTTTATGACATATGACATATGATTGGATAGAGAAAGTAAAGGTCACTCAGTACTATCTAGGTATCACATTGTGTACACAATAACTCAAGAGTCTATGAATCTCTTAGGCAACGTATCCATAGAACTTGGTTTTCCTTCAAGGTCTTGATGGCATCAACTTTTTGTGTGACCTTCATATAAGATCAAGGTCATTATAGGTAAAATTTTGAAAATTATTTGAAATTTACATTTAATTCATAAAAATCTAACCAAAATGTGTTCACTTACAATAATTAACTGCAAAACTGTCAAATGTCATGGTTTTATCAACTGTCAGGGTCAGTGTGAAGGTTATTTACTCATGAAATGACTTGTCATAGTTCCAGGATGTTCATAATTCAAAATCCCCATTGGCAACAAGCAACTTTCTTCAGTTTGACTGAATGAGATTGAGGTCACGTGTGCGAAGTATGCATACCTTGTGTTCACAATCTATTGAACATTTATGACAGTAATTCAAGGGATGTCTATATCCGTAATCTCTAGTCAGCAGGAGTGCAAATAACTTTAAAATTGCTAGTGTACTCCGGAACAGTGGCACATGTAAAATCACTTGCCCTGATAATTTATCCACTATACTGGCCGTTTTCTTGTTGATTTTTAAAAATAAACAACATAAATAACATTGGAAAGTCAACTGGACACCGGTACAGTGTGATATACAAATTTGCTTGCCCGACAGAAAAAACACACTGGATTCGGACGTCGGGCAATGGGTTATATCCACCCCTGGTCAGGTTAGGACTGAAGTGATTTTAACTTTATAATTAATGTTGCTTGTGGACTGTTTGAAATGTTTACTGTGTAAGACATGTGTTTTCTCCAACCTGGACAAGTGTCATTAAGCTGGAAGTGCCCATAACTTTGTTTTTAAGATAGTATCTACAAGCGTTGGATCAGTTGATGATGGTAAAGTTAAGCTGGTTCATGAGATACTCATATGTTTCTGATGGGAAGGTTTATGGGTTTTCTGGAAATGCTGCAGTGCATTGGCTTCTGGTTTTGAATGTAATGCCAATATCTTTCTATGTTGAAAATACACTCCCAAAACCATCCTTCCCATATTTATGATCTAAAAACTAACAAATGCTTCGTAATAAATATATCTTCATCTCATGGTCCCTGCTTGATGTGAAACTGACAGTCAGAATGTCAGGGTAGGATAGCTCATAACTGGTGTGTTGCTGATCATGCACCAGCGTGGTATACGAGGTGCTAGTGTTGCTAATGATGCACCAGTGTGGTATACGAGGTGCTAGTGTTGCTAATGATGCACCAGTGTGGTATACGAGGTGCTAGTGTTGCTAATCATGCACCAGTGTGGTTTACGAGGTGCTACTGTTGCTAATCATCTACCAGTGTGATATACGAGGCGCTAGTGTTGCTAATCATCGACCAGTGTGGTATGCGAGGTGCTAGTGTTGCTAATCATCGACCAGTGTGGTATGCGAGGTGCTAGTGTTGCTTATGATGCACCAGTGTGGAAAACGAGGTGCTAGTGTTGCTAATGATGCACCAGTGTGGTATACGAGGTGCTAGTGTTGCTAATGATGCACCAGTGTGGTATACGAGGTGCTAGTGTTGCTAATGATGCACCAGTGTGGTATACGAGGTGCTAGTGTTGCTAATGATGCACCAGTGTGGTATACCAGTGTTGCTAATCATGTGCTAGTGTTGCTAATATGCACCAGCGTGGTATACGAGGTGCTAGTGTTGCTAATCATGCAACAGTGTGGTATACAAGGTGCTAGTGTTGGTATGCACCTGTGTGGACAAGGTGCTAGTGTTGCTAATCATCTACCAGTGTGGTATACGAGGTGCTAGTGTTGCTAATGATGCACCAGTGTGGTATACGAGGTGCTAGTGTTGCTAATGATGCACCAGTGTGGTATACGAGGTGCTAGTGTTGCTAATGATGCACCAGTGTGGTATACGAGGTGCTAGTGTTGCTAATGATGCACCAGTGTGGTATATGAGGTGCTAGTGTTGCTAATGATGCACCAGTGTGGTATACGAGGTGCTAGTGTTGCTAATGATGCACCAGTGTGGTATACGAGGTGCTAGTGTTGCTAATGATGCACCAGTGTGGTATACGAGGTGCTAGTGTTGCTAATGATGCACCAGTGTGGTATACGAGGTGCTAGTGTTGCTAATGATGCACCAGTGTGGTATACGAGGTGCTAGTGTTGCTAATGATGCACCAGTGTGGTATACGAGGTGCTAGTGTTGCTAATGATGCACCAGTGTGGTATACGAGGTGCTAGTGTTGCTAATGATGCACCAGCGTGGTATACGAGGTGCTAGTGTTGCTAATGATGCACCAGTGTGGTATACGATGTACTAGTGTTGCTAATCATGCAACAGTGTGGTATACGAGGTGCTAGTGTTGCTAATCATCTACCAGTGTGATATACGAGGTGCTAGTGTTGCTAATGATGCACCAGTGTGGTATACGAGGTGCTAGTGTTGCTAATGATGCACCAGTGTGGTATACGAGGTGCTAGTGTTGCAACAGTGTGGTATAATGCTATGCTAACCAGTGTGATATACGAGGTGCTAGTGTTGCTAATGATGCACCAGTGTGGTATACGAGGTACTAGTGGTGCCAGTTTACGAGGTGCTAGTGTTGCTAATGATGCACCAGTGTGGTATACTAGGTGCTAGTGTTGCTAATGATGCACCAGTGTGGTATACGAGGTGCTAGTGTTGCTAATGATGCACCAGTGTGATATACGAGGTGCTAGTGCTAGTGTTGCTAATGATGCACCAGTGTGGTATACTAGGTGCTAGTGTTGCTAATGATGCACCAGTGTGGTATACGAGGTGCTAGTGTTGCTAATGATGCACCAGTGTGGTATACGAGGTGCTAGTGTTGCTAATGATGCACCAGTGTGATATACGAGGTGCTAGTGCTAGTGTTGCTAATGATGCACCAGTGTGGTATACTAGGTGCTAGTGTTGCTAATGATGCACCAGTGTGGTATACGAGGTGCTAGTGTTGCTAATGATGCACCAGTGTGGTATACGAGGTGCTAGTGTTGCTAATCATGCACCAGTGTGGTATACGAGGTGCTAGTGTTGCTAATGATGCACCAGTGTGGTATACGAGGTGCTAGTGTTGCTAATGATGCACCAGTGTGGTATACGAGGTGCTAGTGTTGCTAATGATGCACCAGTGTGGTATACGAGGTGCTAGTGCTAGTGTTGCTAATGATGCACCAGTGTGGTATACGAGGTGCTAGTGTTGCTAATGATGCACCAGTGTGGTATACGAGGTGCTAGTGTTGCTAATGATGCACCAGTGTGGTATACGAGGTGCTAGTGTTGCTAATGATGCACCAGTGTGGTATACAAGGTGCTAGTGTTGCTAATGATGCACCAGTGTGGTATACAAGGTGCTAGTGTTGCTAATGATGCACCAGTGTGGTATACAAGGTGCTAGTGTTGCTAATGATGCACCAGTGTGGTATACAAGGCGCTAGTGTTGCTAATGATGCACCAGTGTGGTATACGAGGTGCTAGTGTTGCTAATGATGCACCAGTGTGGTATACAAGGTAATATGTGACATTGACCGGTGTACATGATTTCAGCTCTATTCCTTCTGATCATTTGACAGCCTCATGTAATTTGGATGCTTTAATTAACAACAAACATTGCCACATTTTGTTTTTTAAACAGTTCCTGCTTGCACAACCTGGGCCTTTTTGAAACGGTATTGAAGGGATTGCTTTTCTTCTTGACACATTTCTGGTTTTTGGATTAGTTCACTACAAACAAGTGATTTTTGTGTATTACAGGAAGCAACAGTGAGCTAAATGGACTTGTAGAAGACAAAGAAATTGCTGCACGAGCTGTGGCCTTTGTTGTGAACAGCACTCGCAAAGGAATCGTCCCACTATGTGCCGACGTGGCCAACCTACTCCATGCCAAGAGACGGTGAGATGACATTTGTTAGATATTTGTAAATCAGCCATTAGTGTGTTGTGTGTAAATAAGGGAATAGTGTGCTACTGGAGTAATTCATCTGTTTCAGAATGACTTGTGTCAAGGCATAACTTCCCCGACATTTCGGTGAGCGAAATATTATCATGACTGTACTCACTACAAGTTTATTTGTGTTAATATTTCCCTAAAATTTATTTCAGGTTAGAGAAGAAAGTATTTATGATGAAACGTGAGAACGAAGCCCTGCGATCATCTGCGTCCATAAGCTTTAGAACAAGCCATTCCACAAGCCCCACTCAGCCAGCTTTCTCTGCCTATACTGACAAGTCTCTGCTGCATGACCAGTGTGGTCACACACAGGTAGGGTCACGGTCACATACAGGTGGCATCATGGTCACATACACATATTGTCACTGTCACACACTGGTGGGGTAACATATATGAACTTTACATTTTTTGGGATAAATTTTATGTGCCAGGTTACATTTGCATTAAAGTAATGTCAAAACAAACCATGCCCATCTCTCCTGAGCAAGCACCTGTTCATATTACTGTCACAAATGCATCATGTGTAATGAATGCTGCTCTGTGATGAGTGTTGACTGTGTTGACTGTGTCTCCAGGAGCGGTCGCGGCCATGTTCTCGATGCAGCCAGTGCTCCAGCACGCTCAGCAACTCCCCCAAACTGGAGCAGACGTACAGCTTCAAGGGCCACCTCCACTCCCCCTCTACACACAGAGAGAGTCGACGCCGAGGGTCACCACGTGTCGGGCATCGGCCAGTCAACGGAATCATGACACAGGCATTGATCCACAGTCCACCAGAGGGAGTGGCCACAGACTCCAGTGATTCCAATATTCCGTCGGATAGGAAAAACTCTCTTCCAGAAATCATTTCTGAGCCTGAGGATGGTATCAAGAAGATCAGGTGGGTATTGAGATGGGAAGGTTGAATTTGGTACCAGTATATTTGTTTTTCGTTACTGTCAAAGGTCACACTCAGCAATTTTCCAGCAATATTACAGTGATCTGTGACAAGACAATCCAGTGATTGATATCACGGCCATTGGTCGGTGCAATTGAGACATAATGAATTGAGTAATACAGGGTTCTAACAAAACCGGTGAACATTGGTCAGTTTGGTCACATGACTGGTTGGCCAGTGTTATGTACAGTGTTGTCTGAAGGCTTTAACTGATGACAAATATACGTCTTAAAAGAAATTAAAAAACACCTGATTGTTTTGTTATATAATAGTTAATCTGAATGAAATGTTTTAGTAGTATTATAGAAAATGAACCCATGTATTAGAAGCAGCTCAATTAGAGAGCATGTAGCTACACATCATTACATAACCTTATCGATCTTGCATCTATGATTTCAACTAAATTCATTGAGTACAACAGAAAAGATCTGTGTGTTTTACCTTTGAATGAATGTTTCTTTCAGTCCGAAGGCATCTAAAGAATCCCAGTGCTCGTTGCTACAAAACACTGACTCTACCATTGAAGAACAGTTCATTGAAAGTAAGGAAATCTTTAGTTTGTACATCAAACCAGGACCACAGGTAGCTCAAGGGTTGAAATATGGTGGACTTCACAGAGTTGTATCCCCTGGAGATGCCAGGATGTGATGATCATGGGTTGCCATTCAAGCCTAATTGTTACACTTTTATTCCTGACTACAGATGTTGATGTTGCTTTTTGATATCCAACTCTTGTTGCTTGGCTTTTCATGACTAAATGTTTCAAGACTAAGTTACAAGTCATGAACTGTCCTGAGAAACGTCACGTACCTAAAACATGTCTACACTCAGATCTTAAACCACAGACCCTGCAGCTGGTATGTTCCTACATTTCCTGTGTTGAGTACAGAGTGGTGTCTATGTGCCAGTGTCAGGACATGCCCAAGTATTCAGATTGAAGAATATTAACATGCAATGTTTTGTTTCAGCAGTGAAGCTCAATTCATTATCAGCAGAATTACTTTGCAGAAGAACTTGGCAAGCTTTTAAACTTATTTGGAATAGGCCCATATACAAGAAGAATCAGTCAACAAATACTGAAAGGAATTTATTTATATCAGATTGAAAGGAAGACTCTGAGAGGTGAGTATTTCGCTTGTACAGATATAGGTCATTACAGCAGTTTGGGAGCACAGCCCTTCTGATAATCTGGGTAATGCAGAAGGCTGCAGTGTTGGGGAATCTACATATTCTCCGGAAAGTTCTTGGTGGTTTCGACTAGTCAGTGTTTTCTGGGAGAAGTCCCATTCGCTGTCTGGGCTGCATGTAGATGGGGCAAGGGCCCTGAGCTGATGATGAGGCTAACCAGCCTGACTGTGCCAGGATCACCCAAACCCTCTCTGCTGCATGCTATTTTTAATCTGTAAAACATAATAATAATGGTTATTTTTAGTGTGCAATTATCGACTCACTGATACATGCTCAAGGCGCTAAGATGTGTCTTGAGGCAGGTGTTGATGATGTCTGGGTTGACGAAGATGTGTCTTGAGGCAGGTGCTGATGATGTCTTTGTTGACGAAGATGTGTCTTGAGGCAGGTGTTGATGATGTCTGTGTTGATGAAGATGTGTGTGGTGGCAGGTGTTGATGATGTCTGTGTTGTTACAGATGAACCATCTGGCCCGAGAGTGTGTGAACACGTTTGTCCAGGACGAGGATGGGGAGGGAAGTCAGTCGTCCAGCTCACTGGAGGAGAAGTCCTTCACAGACTACGTGCTACAGACAGTGGGAGGACAGCGCAGCAACTACGTGCTCAATGGGTGCGGCAGACACAGACTTGTTTATATCGTACCCAGTCATCCTTGTAATTTGTTTATGCCACTTTCCACTTTACTAATGGAAAGTATTAAATAAAGTTTGTATGATGGAAATGTAAACTCAGACATTTTGAAAATGTGACTTTTCCTCAGCATTAACTTCATATTCTAACTCTACTTATTCCACCCCGACCATGCCATGGTTTATTTGTCATGGCTCTGTAAAAGGTCTGTGGTCACATGGTGATTATGACCGCCTCCGTGTTGTAGTGGTTAGAGCGTCCGCCCGGAGAGCGGAGGTCGCGGGTTCGATCCCCAACCACGTCATACCAAAAATTGTTAAAATATACTTGTTGGTCCCTGTCTGGCACTCGGCATTAATGGGTACAACAAGGACGGGTCGGCTCGGAGTCAGTATAATGTGTCTGAGTGGGGTATTCATGCATGCGGCATGGTTTGTCAGTGGGCTAGCACTATAAAACCAGCTTCAGTCTGGGCTAGTACAAGCAGCCGCACATACACATACACACGCATGCACGTCGTCATATGAGCGAAATATTTTCAAGCACGACGTTAAACCCAATTTCACCTCACCTCACCTCACATGGTGATTATTGCTAATTTTATCAGAAATTCATGCATTTCAAATTTTGTCTGCAGTTGGCTGTGACAATTCAGTTAAGTTATATATGCTTTAAACATGAGCAGTTTAGGAAAATGGTCTACTCATTGGCTTAAGAGTTCTCTCAAGACAACCTGGAACCCAGGAAATATAGAAACGGAATACCTTAGAATATATGAAATTCTTAATGATATGGATTACATGCAAGTCAGTACTCAATGGTTTAAAACCTGGAGCACGGAATATTGAAGTTCATCAATTCGCCCACAGATTAAGTAAACCACGAATTCATCGGAAGATTGCTTTGACCAGCTTGATGTTCCCGGAGCCTCTGTTTGGCTGCAAGTGTACAGCGTGTGAGGAAGCGATGGGAGGGGAGGACAACACTGCCTTGTCCCACAGTCTCAGTGAGCACCTGCAGAAGTTCCCCATCAGGTAAACACATGTCACCTTCACCATGGCCGTCACATCGCAAACACGTTGCCTTGTTCCTTGGACTTTCTGAACAGATGTCAAAATTGTCCGCAATGCCCAATCTGTGTTCTTTTGCCATTAAGCTGACATGCCACGATATGCTCCTTGTGATATTGGTCAATTTTGCAATGAAGCTGAAAGGCCATGTTATGCTCACCCCTCCTGAGATAAAGCTTTTTGCCTTCTTTCTTAGATGTTCTGTACAAGATACTGAGCCTGTAACAGATCTGATGTAAAACTTCCTCACCTTAACTGGCTTATGAAAGGCCTTATATCTTGTAGTCTGTTTGAATCTGAAAATGTTTCAAGTTAGATTCTGCCTTCAAATGGATCATGTACTTGAAATTTCCCAAAGCAGTCATTATCTTAAGTGAATTACCTAAAAAGTTAGAAAGAAAGTATCTGTTGAAGGCAACACAACCTTTTCATGGTCAGTAACCATAATGGTATCTCCCTTCAAGTGGTTGCCTGCATCTGCGTTCATAGAATGTTTACATTACAAGACTTGTTGTAACCATGGTAACTGCGCTGTTGTTGCAGTGGGCGTGTCCAGGTGCAGCTAGATGACCATGTGGTCATCAAGGGTGACCGTACAGGATACATCCGCTATGTTGGACATCTGGACAAAATCGGACAACCCAACATGATATTTGTAGGCTTGGAACTTGATGCTCCTGGTAAGTATTCTCTTTGTCCAGACACAGTGTGGTGTACACAGTTTGAAGTAGTCCCTTCCTACCATGGGGATCATGACACTGAATGTCTGAGAACAGTTGCGGAAGTCCAGTCTGGCTGTCTCTACCATGGGGATCATGACACTGAATGTCTGAGAACAGTGGCGGAAGTCCAGTCTGGCTGTCTCTACCATGGGGATCATGACACTGAATGTCTGAGAACAGTGGCGGAAGTCCAGTCTGGCTGTCCCCTTCCATGGGGATCATGACACTGAATGTCTGAGAACAGTGGTGGAAGTCCAGTCTGGCTGTCTCTACCATGGGGATCATGACACTGAATGTCTGAGAACAGTGGCGGAAGTCCAGTCTGGCTGTCCCCTTCCATGGGGATCATGACACTGAATGTCTGAGAACAGTGGTGGAAGTCCAGTCTGGCTGTCTCTACCATGGGGATCATGACACTGAATGTCTGAGAACAGTGGCGGAAGTCCAGTCTGGCTGTCCCTTCCATGGGGATCATGACACTGAATGTCTGAGAACAGTGGCGGAAGTCCAGTCTGGCTGTCCCCTACCTTGCTATGTATCTGTGAAAGGGGCGGTCTGGCTGTCCCCTACCTTGCTATGTATCTGTGAAAGGGGCGGTGGGGTAGCCTAGTGCTTAAAGCATTTGCTCATCATGCTGAAGACATGGGTTTGATTCCCCACTGGGGACAATGTGTGAAGCCCATTTCTGGTGTCCCCCACCATTATATTGCTGGAATATTGCTAAAAGTGGTGTAAACCTAAACTGACTCACTATCTCTGACAGAAATACCCCATCAATAGCAGATACATTCATTCACTTCATTTAGCGAAATATTGGGACTAGCCCACATATAGACATGTTTGTATATACAGCTTGTATTTCTGTTTGCAGTGGGTCGGCATGATGGCTCTTTAGATGGGAAACGTTATTTTTATTGTCGGAAGGATCATGGAATATTTCTGCCGCTCCATGACATTGTCTGTCATGTACATGGGAAGGTATGTCATGATTGTAACACTTAATTCCATTTAAATAGACCTACCAACCATTCACTGGAAATACTATATTGTGTACCCTTGCCCACCCCATTCTACACAGCTATAGATCCTTTTAAAGAGTTCACTTTACTACAGAAAATAAGGTATTTTGATTACACCTTGTATTGTTCAGATTATTGCCGCAAGTGACAGAGGATGCTTTAAGACCTGATTTTTGTAGACCTAATTGTTATTGTCTATTTTAGAAACACGAGTCACAGGATATGGATGAGAGGATCAAGAAATCACACCATGCCCCTCCGACATCGTCTCCCCTCCCACGCAGCCGGATACGAGCCTTGGCTCGGCGGAAACTGGAGAAGAAGGAACTGGCGTCCTTCTTTAATAAGGACAACAATAGGTAGGACGGGTATTGATAGGGTGTGTGTATTGACAGGGTGCATGTATGACAGGGTGCGTGTATTGACAGGGTGTGTGTATTGACAGGGTGCATGTATTGACAGGGTGTGTGTATTGACAGGGTGCGTGTATTGACAGGGTGCATGTATTGACAGGGTGCGTGTATTGACAGGGTGCATGTATTGACAGGGTGTGTGTATTGACAGGGTGTGTGTATTGACAGGGTGCGTGTATTGACAGGGTGCGTGTATTGACAGGGTGTGTGTATTGACAGGGTGCGTGTATTGACAGGGTGCGTGTATGGACAGGGTGAGTGTATTGACAGGGTGTGTGTATTGACAGGGTGAGTGTATTGACAGGGTGCATGTATGGACAGGGTGCATGTATTGACAGGGTGCGTGTATTGACAGGGTGTGTGTATTGACAGGGTGCATGTATGGACAGGGTGCGTGTATTGACAGGGTGTGTGTATTGACAGGGTGCGTGTATTGGACAGGGTGCGTGTATTGACAGGGTGCGTGTATTGACAGGGTGTGTGTATTGACAGGGTGTGTGTATTGACAGGGTGTGTGTATTGACAGGGTGCATGTATTGACAGGGTGAGTGTATTGACAGGGTGTGTGTATTGACAGGGTGCGTGTATTGACAGGGTGTGTGTATTGACAGGGTGCATGTATTGACAGGGTGCATGTATTGACAGGGTGCGTGTATTGACAGGGTGCGTGTATTGACAGGGTGACAGGTGTATGGACAGGGTATGGAAAGGGTGCATGTATTGACAGGGTGTGTGTATGGACAGGGTGGTGTGTATGGACAGGGTGTGTGTATTGACAGGGTGCGTGTATTGACAGGGTGCGTGTATGGACAGGGTGTGTGTATTGACAGGGTGCATGTATTGACAGGGTGCATGTATTGACAGGGTGTGTGTATTGACAGGGTGTGTGTATGGACAGGGTGCATGTATGGACAGGGTGTGTGTATTGACAGGGTGAGTGTATTGACAGGGTGTGTGTATTGACAGGGTGGACAGAGATGCGTGATTGACAGGGGTGTGTATTGACAGGGGGCATGTGTATTGACAGGGTCTGTGTATTGGCAGCATATATCTGTATTGACATGGGGTGCATGTATTGACAGGGTGTGTGTATTGACAGGGTGTGTGTGTGATAGGGTGCATGTGTGTATTGACAGGGTGTGTGTATTGACAGGGTGCGTGTATTGGCAGGGTGTGTGTATTGTATTGACAGGGTGTGTGTATTGACAGGGTGAGTGTATTGACAGGGTGTGTGTATTGACAGGGTGTGTGTATTGACAGGGTGAGTGTATTGACAGGGTCTGTGTATTGACAGGGTGCGTGTATTGACAGGGTGCATGTGTATTGACAGGGTCTGTGTATTGACAGGGTCAGTGTATTGACAGGGTGTGTGTATTGACAGGGTGTGTGTATTGACAGGGTGTGTGTATTGACAGGGTGCATGTATTGACAGGTGCATGTATTACATGGACAGGGTGAGTGTATGGACAGAGGTGAGTGTATGGACAGGTGTGTGTATTGACAGGGTGCGTGTATTGACAGGGGTGTGTGTATTGACAGGGTGCGTTGTATTGACAGGGTGCGTGTATTGACAGAAGTGCGTGTATGGACAGGGTGCGTGTATTGACAGGGTGTGTGTATTGACAGGGTGTGTGTATGGACAGGGTGCGTGTATGGACAGGGTGCATGTATTGACAGGGTATGCATGTATTGACAGGGTGTGTGTATTGACAGGGTAGTGTATTGACAGGGTGTGTGTATTGACAGGGTGTGTGTATTGACAGGGTCGTCGTGTATTGACAGGTGTGTGTGTATTGACAGGGTGCGTGTATTGACAGGGTGGTGTGTATGTATGGACAGGGTGCGTGTATTGACAGGGTGCTGTGTATTGATATTGACAGGGTGTGTGGTGTGTATGTATGGACAGGGTGTGTGTATTGACAGGGTGTGTGTATGGACAGGGTGCGTGTATGGACAGGGTGTGTGCAGTGTATGGACAGGGATGCGTGTATGGACAGGGTGCAGTGTATTGACAGGGTGAGTGTATTGACAGGGTGCAGTGTATTGACAGGGGTGTGTATATTGACAGGTGCATGTATATTGACAGGGTGTGTGTATTGACAGGGGGTGTGTATATATGGACAGGGTGCATGTATGGACAGGGTGTGTATATGACAGGAGTGTGTGTATTGACAGGGTGTGTGTATTGACAGGGTGCATGTATGGACAGGGTGTGTGGAATTATGAGTACAGTGTATTGACAGGGTGCGTGTATGGACAGGGTGCGTGTATTGACAGTGCGTGTATGTGATGAGTGTATTGACAGGGTGTGTATGTGTATTGACAGAAGTGCGTGTATGGCATGGACAGGTCTGTGTATGGACAGGGAAGTGTGTGTATTGACAGAGGTATGTATTGTGTGTGTATTGACAGGGTGTGTGTATTGACAGGGTGTGTGTATTGACAGGTGTGTGTATTGACATTGGCAGGGTGTGTGTATTGGCAGGGTGTGTGTATTGGCAGGGTGCGTGTATTGACATGTATTGACAGGGTGTGTGTGTATTGACAGGGTGTGTGTATGGACACAGACAGTGTGTGTATTGGACAGGGTGTGTGTGTGACAGAAGTGGTGCAGTGTATTGACAGGGTGTGTATGACAGGGTGCATGTATTGACAGGGTGTGTATAAGTGTGTATGGACAGGGTGTGTGTATTGACAGGGTGTGTATATTGACAAGTGCGTGTATTGACAGGGTGCGTGTATTGACAGGGTGCGTGTATTGACAGGGTGCGTGTATTGACAGGGTGCGTGTATTGACAGGGGTGTATTGACAGGGTGTGTGTATTGACAGGGTGAGATGCGTATGTATGGTGTGTGTATTGGACAGTGGTGCAGGGTGCATGTATTGTATTGACAGGGTGAGTGTATTGAGTGTGTGTATTGACAGGGTGCATGTATTGACAGGGTGTGTGTATTGACAGGGTGGGTGTATATATTGACAGGGTGCGTGTATGTATGACAGGACAGTGTATGGACAGACAGGTGTGTGTATTGACAGGATGCAGTATGGACAGGGTGCGTGTATTGACAGGGTGTGTGTATTGACAGGGTGCGTGTATTGACAGGTGTGTGTATTGACACAGTGGGTGTGTATTGACAGGGTGTGTGTATTGACAGACAGGGTGTATTGTGTATTGACAGGGTGTATTGACAGGGTGTGTGTATGGACAGGGTGTGTGTATGCGTGTATGGACAGGGTGTGTGTATGGACAGGGTGAGTGTATATGACAGGGTGCAGGTATGGACAGGGTGAGTGTATTGACAGGGTGAGTGTATTGACAGGGTGCAGGTATTGACAAGGTGTGTATATTGACAGGGTGCATGTATTGACAGGGTGTGTATATTGACGGTGTGTATATTGACAGGGTGCGTGTATGGACAGGGTGTGTGTATTGACAGGGTGCGTGTATTGACAGGATGCATGTATTGACAGGGTGTGTGTATGGACAGGTGCGTGTATTGACAGGGTGAGTGTATTGACAGGGTGCAGGTATTGACAGGTGTGTGTATGGACAGGGTGCCTGTATTGACAGGATGTGTGTATTGACAGGGTGTGTGTATTAACAGGGTGTTGCTGTTGATGGGGTGTCTGTGAGGTTATGAATGACAGGAAGACTGTAAGACTTACAGAAATAGTGATCCATAGAGATTGACCTTCCTTTCAAGCTTCAAAATCAGGAAAGACAGCTATCGGACTTGATTTGATGTTAGTTTTTAGACAATGTTCTTCAATAAGATGTTTGTTCTTACATTTGGTAAAGGAATTTATATATCTGCCTGATCATAATGTATATATTCAGAGGCAAAATTTATTGTGACATGGAATATTTTCATTGTGATCTGGATTATTTTAAGTTAAACCAGAGAAAAAATAATAGGGTCAATAAATCACAACCAAACAGTTGTTCAAATTGCACAGAGTTTGCAAGAAGTATGACGTGTTTGAGAAATGGCCAGCTTATAAAGGCCAGTCATCTAGGCCAGTCATCTAGACCATTATCATTTCCACTCAATGCAAGCTTAAGAAGTGCAGAAATCAGAAAAACACCTCTATCAATTGTTCTGAAACAAATTTCACATGCTGGGCCTCAGGGAAATGAGGCCTAGAGTTAAGCGTCATTCTGGTACCTTGGGGCGTGAAGTTGCCCATAGAAACACCATAATAGACCATCCCCATAGTGGCCAACCACCAGTAACATCCCCATGGATTCGAACAGTGTGCCTCCAACACATGTTCCAGCCAGCAAACCTGACATGTACCTGTACCTGGCAACAGAGGGGGTATCTGCGGGAACAGTTGGACGACATCTATGCATCTACATCATCTGTGCAAGAAGTCCAGCCCGACTGCCAATTCTCATGCCAGAACATCGGCGTCAACATCTCCGGTGTAGTAAGCAACACTTTGGGAGCATGTGAGTTTAGAAGAGTTCTTAAGTGATGAGTCCCGTTTCCTTATTCCGTGAGCTGACGGCAGGACACGTGTCTACAGGGACAGTGTCCAGGCCATATGTTCTGGTAGGGGATCTTTCTGGATAATGGGTGGGATAATAGCTGCAGCAATTACACCATTGTTTCTGATTGAGGGGAACACGAATGCTGTCAGGTACTGAGAAGAGATTAAGCAAATATTCGCTTTACTGTTTTGCAACAGAATGACTCTGGAGCCAACTTTTAACACGATAACGCCAGACCATGCGCTGATTGAGTTGAACAGCAGTATCTTAATCAGAACACTGATAACCTGTCACCTTGACCTCAAACATCCCCAGATTTGTCAGCTACAGAACACGACTGGGATGAAGTAAAGCAATGTACAACATGTCATCATACTCCTTCAGCAACTCTGCAGAAACTCCAGCAAATCCTAACATGGATATAGAATGATCTTCCCAAGGACATTCATCGTCATTTAGTGGCTTCATGGAGGCGGGCCGGGCCTGCTTCTTCATGGAGGCGGGCCGGGCCTGCATCAATACACAAGGTGGACCGCCTCACTGATGACCGTGTGAACTTGTCTGTGAACACCCTCCACTTGTGGCTCATAACCATTTGACAGGAGCACTGTTCTTGTGAACTGTTGATTGTTACCATACCTTGAAACTTTTGTCTTTCCACGCAATAATATTTCATTCGTGGCAATGAAAGTTTAACATTGATTCTCTTTGTCCTTTGTGTGCCAAAATAATTTTTGCTTTTGAGTATGTATATATATACTTCCCATTAAAAGTTTTGACTCACTTAAAACACTTAAAACTTAGTTTAGAACAGTTGCCTGAAGTAAGTGGCTATATTTACACTAGTGAGTCTAAACTTTTGATGGGAAGTATATATATGCAACACAGTGAGTGAGTTTATTTGTTAGTGAAGCTTTAATATATACTTGAACTGTTTGTGTACTTAAATTCTCTTTTTGCTTTGACAGGAAACAAAATTCAGATGATGTCTTGTGATCGTGGCTTCTGCAATTGTACAGAGAATGGCTGTCTGTCATCATCGATCCACCTCATCGTCTGCTGCCCTCACGGACACAAGTCATAAAACATGGGGAGGGCACAACAATAAGTTACTTGTCAGATTCTTGTCTTTTTCTGTCAATGTCAGGATGATTGTGTGTTTTTTGTGTCTTAATATTGTGATGACATCACAAGTTTGTTAACAACAACTAAATACATGACATTTCTGATCAACAAGTCACTAGTTAGTTGTGGTCTCCCTTCAATCTCTTTTTTAAGTTCTAATGTGACTAAAGGCAACATGTACTTTCACTCATCATCTGCTTGAAGAACCTGATCTTGTTGTCTCTTCTAAACTGATTGCTGACCAACAGTGTGTGGACAGCGAGAACCTGGGACTGGATGACACAACCAGACGATTCCTGTTGGAAAGTTTTGAAAACGAGTGGGAGAACTATTTCGGCAGCTTCACTACCCCTACTTGTACTCTACTGCCTGTGTCTGGCCTGTGTGTCCACCATTAGAGGTTTTTAGTTAGCCTGTCTCGGAAAAGTGTAGCTGAATATTTTTCATATGATTTTGCAAGCTGCAGTTCTGAGCTTTGACTGCTCATTCAAGTTACCTGAAGCTATATCAGTATGAATGTTGATAAATATGAGCTATGTTGGCATGTATGTAAGAAATGGTTTGTACGTCTGTGATAAGGAAATTGCTAGTTCATTGTGGAGGGCCAGGGTGTTGCCTGCAACAAACAGGACCCAAACAGCAGTGTCTTCACTGGACTGCAGTGACCTGGAGAAACACCTTGTGGGCTTGGTGCATGGACTACAGCGACATGGAGAAACTTGGTGCATGGACTACAGTGACCTGGAAAAAGATGTTGTGAATTTGGTGTATGGACTTGAGTGACCTGGAGAAACACCTTGTGGGCTTGGTGCATGGACTATAGTGACATGGAGAAACTTGGTGCATGGACTACAGTGACCTGGAGAAAGATGTTGTGAATTTGGTGCATGGACTACAGTGACCTGGAGAATGATGTGAATTTGGTGCATGGTCAACGATAACCTGGAGAAACATCTTGTGGGCTTGGTGCATGGACTACAGTGACCTGGAGAAACATCTTGTGGGCTTGGTGCATGGACTACAGTGACCTGGAGAAACATCTTGTGGGCTTGGTGCATGGACTACAGTGACCTGGAGAAACATCTTGTGGGCTTGGTGCATGGACTACAGTGACCTGGAGAAAGGTCTTGTGGGCTTGGTGCATGGACTACAGTGACCTGGAGAAACATCTTGTGGGCTTGGGCATGGACTGGACTGGAGAAACATCTTGTGGGCTTGGTGCATGGACTACAGTGGAGAAACATCTTGTGGGCTTGGTGCATGGACTACAGTGACCTGGAGAAACATCTTGTGGGCTTGGTGCATGGACTACAGTGACCTGGAGAATGATGTTGTGACTTAGTGCATCTTGACCTGGAGAAACTTGGGCTTGGTGCATGGACTACAGTGACCTGGAGAAACATCTTGTGGGCTTGGTGCATGGACTACAGTGATGAGAAACATCTTGTGGGCTTGGTGCATGGACTACAGTGACCTTGAGAAACATCTTGTGGGCTTGGTGCATGGACTACAGTGACCTGGAGAAACATCTTGTGGGCTTGGTGCATGGACTACAGTGACCTGAGAAACATCTTGTGGGCTTGGTGCATGGACTACAGTGACCTGGAGAAACATCTTGTGCTTGGGCATTGACCTGGAGAAACATCTTGTGGGCTTGGTGCATGGACTACAGTGACCTGGAGAAACATCTTGTGGGCTTGGTGCATGGACTACAGTGACCTGGAGAAACATCTTGTGGGCTTGGTGCATGGACTACAGTGAGTGACCTGGAGAAACATCTTGTGGGCTTGGTGCATGGACTACAGTGACCTGAGGGCTTGGTGCATGGACTACAGTGACCTGGAGAAACATCTTGTGGGCTTGGTGCATGGACTACAGTGACCTGGAGAAACATCTTGTGGGCTTGGTGCATGGACTACAGTGACCTGGAGAAACATCTTGTGGGCTTGGATACAGTGACCATGGACTTAGTGCATGGACTACAGTGACCTGGAGAAACATCTTGTGGGCTTGGTGCATGGACTACAGTGACCTGGAGAAACTCCTTGTGGGCTTGGTGCATGGACTACAGTGACCTGGAGAAACATCTTGTGGGCTTGGTGCATGGACTACAGTGACCTTGAGAAACATCTTGTGGGCTTGGTGCATGGACTACAGTGACCTGGAGAAACATCTTGTGGGCTTGGTGCATGGACTACAGTGACCTGGAGAAACATCTTGTGGGCTTGGTGCATGGACTACAGTGACCTGGAGAAACATCTTGTGGGCTTGGTGCATGGACTACAGTGACCTGGAGAAACATCTTGTGGGCTTGGTGCATGGACTACAGTGACCTGGAGAAACATCTTGTGGGCTTGGTGCATGGACTACAGTGACCTGGAGAATGATGTTGTGAATTTAGTGCATGGTCAACAATGACCTTGAGAAACATCTTGTGGGCTTGGTGCATGGACTACAGTGACCTGGAGAAACTCCTTGTGGGCTTGGTGCATGGACTACAGTGACCTGGAGAAACATCTTGTGGGCTTGGTGCATGGACTACAGTGACCTGGAGAAAGGTCTTGTGGGCTTGGTGCATGGACTACAGTGACCTGGAGAAACTCCTTGTGGGCTTGGTGCATGGACTACAGTGACCTGGAGAAAGGTCTTGTGGGCTTGGTGCATGGACTACAGTGACCTGGAGAAACATCTTGTGGGCTTGGTGCATGGACTACAGTGACCTGGAGAAAGGTCTTGTGGGCTTGGTGCATGGACTACAGTGACCTGGAGAAACACATCATAGCGGTGACTTGATGTCTGTCTTAGAAATATGTTCCCATATTGACTGTCAATCAATATTTGATATATGGAGCATGTCACCATGTTCTTCTACAATTTTCGCTACAAGTGTCAACTGTTTGTAGAAGAAAATGAATTGAAACACAAAACAAGTATCCATGAAACTTAGTTCCAGACTTTTGTAACATCGTGGTTGTAACTGGCCATGTCTCTGTCGCTGCAGCCTGGTTTGATCTTTTATATATCGAAGTACTTCATGAAGTATATGATCTGGGAGCTGTTAAAGGGAGGTTATCTGTGGTAACAACTCCCTCAATGAACTATAATTACAGCTGTTTCGAAAACTGTTCTCTGTTGATAATTTATTGCCAAATGTTGTCTGAAGAAGGTGTTAGGATGGTTCCATTGTTATGTTTCTGTGTGAGGGAACCCCCAAATCCGGGAGCTCCATTGTCTCTTTCCTGTAGTTCTTAATGTTACAGCTACATTCATTTAGTGAAGATGCCGTCCACATTCAGTTCCATATTATTATTGTACTGTTGTATGATTGACGTCTGTTATTTATGAAATACTGCATGTTTTCAGGGTAGCATATCTGAAGTAACTTTGGCAATGTTTTTAAGCAAACAGTAAAACCCAATATATGAAATTGCATTGGCAATATGTTCCGTTTTTCAGCTGAAACCAAAATGATAATGCATTTGATTCAGTTTCAAAATTCCGAAATACTAAAGTAACCTATACAGTATAATTGGTGTAAATCATAAAATCTTGAGTGTTGCCATGGATTCTGGCATGCTGCTAAGATGGAGGTCAGTCTGTGTGATAGCAGATTGAACACACTTGGACGTAGCCTGTTGTATGTATTCTCAAATCTGTTTCTGTTTCACGACGACGAGGAGCCTGCTTGCTACAGCTCCTCAGAAGGTTGATGGAAAGTGTGCGCTGCGTACAAGGGTGACATTTGTTTGTTTGTCTGCAAGTGTTTTATTAATCAGTTACTCTGTACAGTTTATGTTGAAATGTTCTTGACGATGCCGATCTGGCAAGATTCTCATGACAGATGTTGTCGTGCACATATTTTGCTGTGTGCCTTCTGCCTGTAACAAGCTTGATTATGTACATACATAACATACAAGTGCTTGGAGTTAATAATGACTATGACAAGATTGGATTAGTTCAGTAGATGGTTTTCTATGCGTTGACACACCAGGGTACAGTCAGTGGCAACCGTCAGTAGCAAGTGTTGGATGACAACCGACTAGCACCTACTGATCTAAAAGGTTTCATTTTTGGGTTGCCTGTAATATTGATCTGAAAGGTTTGGATTTTTTTTTACCTCACCTGACGTTGGGTGACTGTTTGTAGCATTCGTCCATATCCACTACCAGAATTTCAATCTACCACAATAAGGCTTTGGGCATATTTTTGTTCTAAATCTGCTATGGCTTTTGCATACCTATTGTTGTAGAAGTGTGATTATGTCAATGCTTTGATACGCCTCTATCAACATCTTGTGAACCAGTGGATCAAAAGCAAAAAATATGGATGTTTTCCCCCAATGAAAACTGAATGACTACTTGTTTAGGTAGATCTTGTATCTCATTAGACATATTTTGTTATTTAGACCTTTCACTTGAGTCAAATAGTTTCAATCTTATTCTCATAACATGTAATGTAGAAACACTGCAGACTTGTGTAAATGATGAATCCTCTATTATCGTCATTGATCCAAGTTGTAACTAGCATGAAGGGATATTTTACTAAACAAAAAGTGCATAGAATTCAAATTTCCTGGTACTAGATTACTTTTTTCCGAAATGTTGCAGGCAACAACAACACCACAACGACTTAAAAGAATCCTAAGTATTTTTCTCTCAGTATAGTCCTGTGATTAAAGTTTGTACTTTAATAATCAAGTTTTAGCCAAGCTGAACCACACTACCATTGCACATTTTCATTTCCTGGTTTATGAAGCTAAACCTTTCTGCATATGTATTGCATCTTTAAAAATGTCTGCATGCACTATTATGATGTTTCCTATGACTTGCGAAGTATAATTTGGATCAATATATGACCACTGACTGGACCACTGCCGAGTCTATATGGATAGGTTCTGCCTGTGGAGGAATAGTTGCAGGGGTAGCTCATATCTGTAAAGACGTTCGATTACTTGGTTTCTAAACTAAATTGTTGTTAAGAGAATCATGGTTACCAGTGTTAATGTTCTGTGAACTATTTCTTTGAAGAACCTGTCCATGAACTAATTCTGTGTTGATAATATTAAATGTGTCTCCTTTCTTGCTCTGTAAAGGAATAAATGTCATTTTGTTCAAAATGTGTGTTGTATGTAATATAGCACGTCCCTACCAGGGTGGTTCCAGCAATCAGCGAAAAGCTGTGATACAGATGTCAATACACAGTACTCTGGCGGAGTAACTCAGGTGGTGCAAGTAGAGAGGTAAGGTCTGTACACAGAGTCTGGTGTAAGAATACACTCCAACGTTGTCGAATACATATGTTTCTATACACAACATTCTTCCTGCTCCAGACATGCTGTGTAGACAAGCTGTGACACGTGGCCTGGGAGGACTTGCTAGTTGAACAGGACTCCAGTATATCAAGGCTTGTCTGCCTAATGTGACAGGAAAGTGAGCGAGAGTAGTTTTATGCCGCAATCAGCAATATTCCAGCTATATGGCGGTGGTCTGTAAATAATCGAGTCTGTACCAGACAATCCAGGGATCAACAGCATGAACATCGATCTACACAATTGGGATACGATGACATGCCAGCGAGGTGTGACAGGAAAGACTGAACTGAAGTAGGTAAAGGACGTTTTCCACTTTTGTGAAAGCATGAGTGTAGATGTGTTTCTAGGTTTGTCAGCACCATAACAGGAGAGCACCAGGATTCAAACCCAGGAACATAGGATTCTGGGCAAGGGAAGCAACTCTGAACAGCAAATTGTTGTACTGGGCCAAAACTATTACTACTGACTGAGTTTAGGTTTACGCCGCTTTTAGCAATATTCCAGCAACATCACGGCAGGGGACACCTGAAATGGGCTTCACACATTGTGCCCATGTGGGGAATCGAACCTGGGTCTTCGGCATGACGAGCCAACGCTTTAACCACTAGGCTACCCCACCTCCCCCAAAACTATTACTAATGAAAGACATGACCATTATGCTGAGTAAATCCTATTATTGCTTTGTTTATAGCTGTAGCTCATTATATGAGATGGACATGTATTCCTTCTGGCAGCAACCAGGCCATAGATTGATACGCTGGTCATAATGGTAACCTTACCGGCCTCTGGTGTCCAGGGTGATACAGGTCTACAGTGTCTACATACCCAAACAGGCTCTTATCACCTTGAAATACCTGGAAGTAAGTCTGTGGAACACTTTCTGATAGTATATCACTGTTTTAATCACCATCACTGATATAGGAAGATCTGACAATAGTTCTTGCATAACATTAAGAGACCATTTCTCTGAAATGGCAATACTGATTTCGACCATTATCAATACAATCTGAGTCCTGGACAAATCTACACATATAGGACAATAGGAACTCTCAGTAAAACATTGCAACATAACCTCAAAATTAGCCTAGTTAACTGACACATGACCATGCTTGAAAGTAGGATTCAATTTGATTCTTGCTGGAAGTGATGTCATATTATGCAGAATGTGAGCAGTAACCGTGACGACCCAATGAATCCACCACATTACCATGTTGAATTTAAATAGCCAAGAAGCGTGGACAACATTTCAAGCATAGTCAGAAATATAGCTGCATTATTTTGTAAACTAGGCTGTCACTGCACCAAGCACACAACCAGACTAAACAACATCCACAACAAACTAATAAATTGTGTCCGATACAAGTCTAAAATAGCCAAATGCAAGAGATGGGCTGTTCATTTGTCTAAGCTGTTTTGTCCAGCCACATCACATCCAGAACCCAGGCCTCCAGTGTAGGTAGCCAACGCTTATACAACTTGGCTACTAGACACCAACCAAATTGGCCTGTAAATGTTCTTCAGAGCCTGTAAACTTCATTCCATTCTGACCCTGACACTAAACCCCGAACAACAGGACACCCAGCCAAGATAAACATTCTCAGTTTCGCCCCCAAATGACGACAAGCACTTTATTAATTTGTTGTGGTAAAGCAAACTAATTCGCAACAAGAGCAGCTAAAAATGTCAATATTTGACTTTTGTTTCAACTTATGGCCAGTGAGGTACCAAGATCTTCAACTAAACATAATACAATGATATAAAATACAACTAACAAAGTATAAAATGGCTGATGGAATGTTGACAAACGCTGCAAATACACGACTCATATAGGATTACTTTGTCACAGAGTACATATATATATATATATCGAAAAGATTTGACAATGCATGATGGCAAATGAAATTGATGATAACAGTCATTAGTAAAGTACAAGACCTTTGTATGTACAACTCATGTTCTGACACGTGGGAGCATCACACGTTCATTCTCGCCACACTAAATATGTTCAACTTACATGCGTAGCAGCAGGCCGAGCTGCAAAGCCAATGCTTCTACCATTTACAAGAATTAAGCTAGCTGTGACTCACATCAACTGTTGGACTAGCAGTGCCACTGGAGCTCGGACCTGCATCCAGGGCTTGTAATTATTCCTACGGTTCAAACCCAAAGCATGTCTGGCTTGAACGGGAACTACAAGGAAATGATGTCTAGTTTGAATGAACGAATGAAGTCATTTCATTCCAATATTGCACAATCAATGACATCATTGCTACTGCAATCAGTTGTTTTACAAATCAGATTAATGACTTTAGACATCGTGAGGATTTCATTATACAGTAAAAGATATGAAGATGTCTACATGCCGCTAAGGGCTCCAACTACAGTAAGCCTCACCTCCCATATCATTAACCTGTGAAAACACCTCGGTAATGGGTTAGCAAGTGATTGGGTTGAACACCGCTTTTAGCAATTTCAGCAATGTTACGGAAGGGCTTCATACATTGTACTTAAGTGGGGAACTGAACCCCAGCATTCGGTGTGATGAGTGAACGCTTTAACCACTTGCCTACCTGGCTCCCTCACAGCACCCTAAGGAAGAAGGAAAGATGGGTACAAGCGAGATACTAATGGGAGTTGACTCTACAAACACATACACGTCACCATGAATGAAAGAGTGATACTGCTATGTACACATACAATATTTACAGATAAATCTATACATAATATGCAACAATAAAACAAGGTTCACAAACACATGATATGCTTCATTGCCTCAGAGTGCTCCGTGGAAACACCGTGGAAACTCCAATGGAAACACAGCGGGAACTCCACGGAAAAACTGCGGAAACTCCACGGAAAAACTGCAGAAATTCCATGGCGAGACGGACTGCCACAAGTCCAGGTATTCAGCTACAAAACTCGGCACTAATTACAACCAATTTTTCAGGATATAATCTACGGTAAATGAATCTCAGATTAACTACACAATCACCTGTAAGCCTTTACATAAATTTCCTGTGTATCGAACAAACTTAAAGTTTTATCATAATACTGGCATTCAAACCAAAAATAATGTCCATTTCCTTCAGTCAATTCTAGTAATGAATGGTTAATCTTGTTGGACATATTCTATTTATATACAATCAAATGTACAAAAATAGATAAGAAAACATCTTTGTGATACCTGAAGTAGGGCACAGATCTCATACACTTAAAGAAACACTTAGTAATTAAGATTCAACTGCTGCATCAGAAAGATGGGAAGACAGAACACAGTGATTTAATTAAAGCTTTCGGCCACATTAACACATACAGCAGACCCACTGAACAGTCTCGTGTCCACACTGTCGGTGAAAAACAACTGTTTGCAAAGTCTGAAACAACTGCATTTTTGTAGTCTTTGTACTAAGAACTTTTTCTAGTAATGATGGAATTGTATAGAATATAGAATGACTTGCCTAAAAAGAAGTATTTACAAGAAATGCCCTGTCAAATTGTACAATTACTAGATAAAGCAAACAATGCATTTCAGATTAAAACATGAACAAGCACAGGTCGATAGCCTCTGGGGGTTGACCTCATCATCTCGGAGGATGTTTCTGCAAACTGTTCCCCCCAAACACACAACAAACTGAGAAGTCGTTCATCCCCAAACATCTTTGCAAGACTATCTTCAGTATTCCCCAGCAACAGAAACTACTTCCTAGCAACTAGTGTAGGTAAATTCTCTCATCACTATTGTCTGAAAGAGCATCAAAACATTTGGCGAGGAATTTAGATTAGATATTATCTGTCAACTTCTGATTAAATTGTCTCATAAAAATTTGGCTAAATATCTGGCAAACAAGTAATTAAAACATCTGATAACTGGGTAATTAAAACATATAATCAGGTAATTAAAACATCGGATAATTGAGTAATTAAAACATCTGATAATCAGGTAATCAAAATATCAGATAATCGGATAATCACAGATCTGACCTATCTATTAAAACATGACTGAGTAAATAAACATTGGATGGCCAAGTAATTAATACATCTGACCTAGTAATTAAAACAAATGATCTAGTAAGTAACACATAACACGATCTAGTAATTAAAAACAACTGACAGCCTAGTAATTAATCAATCTTATAATCAACATCTGATGACCCACTAACTAAAACATCTGATGTCCTGACTTAAGCTTTAGTGGAACAAGTGATAATTTGCTGTGGCCTACCGCGACCTGTTGTGTACGCACCTCAGTCCCACCAAAACACTACCTTCATGATCTAACAGTCATATAAAAGTTATAAAAATAGTTGTTTTGTTAAAGGTTTAACAATTGCAGATCCTCAAGATAATCATAAACTGCTGTAGCTGAATTTGTAAATAATAAGGTTATATCCATATAAAATAAACCATAGAATTAGTCAATTCCATTACTGGAACAAGTAGCAGCAGTATCCCAAACTTTGACCTCTAAGGTCAACCATGTGACCTTGACCTTTTGATCTGAAGCAGTTTCATCACAACCATAGATACAAAGTCAATGATCACAGTTGTATATACTCCCTGTTAGCGCTTCACTGCATCTATCACATCTCAAGAGGTCACAGACACTGTCACCTTGACCCTGAAAGATCATGTCAAGGTCACATAACCTTCACTGTTGTCCTTTGAATAAATATATATATATATTTATATATATGTATATATGAGCACTTTGGCAAGTCATGTCTTGATTGTAACTCTAGTCTGGTTCCAGGAATCAGAATCGCCACACCTCAAACATGTTCTTCATCATGCTTTAGCCGGTTTCGTTGCGTTATCACCTGTTCCAAAGTAGAGCACATTCGACCCCTCCTCTAACAGCTGGTTCTCCTCGCTGTCAGGCACCACTTCCTGGTTAAGCAGCATCTGCATGCTCTCACTTGTGTTATACACGTCGTACATTGGATTTGCAAAGTTTGTAGACTGAAACAGTATAATGTCATCAGTCAAAATAACTGAGAACAAAAATACATATATAGCGACTACTGAATTCCCTAACGTTACAACATATCCTAGTGTTAATTCTACACAAGATAATCTCATTGTGCCCAAATCCAGATCAATTAATGTCTTACAATGTTTCATAAACACTAGCAATGACCAACCTATTTAAACCAACTTTCAGAATCATGGATTGTACTTTTAGCTCAATTGAATTTCACCATACTGTAAAGTGTGTAATAAGAGTCCTTTCCTTTGTTTTTCCAAGAGTATGGTGAAAGACAGGAAAGATCAATGGAAACAAATGCCCTTGTTGTATCCACAGAGGAGGGATGCTAACTCACTTATACCATGTTGGTCATGGATTTGTATAACAACGCAAAAACTTGCGGACTAAGTTTCCCCCTCAGTCATCTTGACTGAATCATCAGACTTTGGCATGTTGTTGGTGCTTGGGTCATTACGAGCAATAGCAACCTGCCCAAACATTGGATATAATGCACCCTAGTGGTATAATGTCACTTACAGCATCTCCTCTAAATATTGGATTATTTCCGAGTGGGTCTCTCTCATCCGGCTCCTCCTCGTGACGCAGGTACATGGGGTTCTTCACGTCCATCCTGTTGGGCTCCTTCATCCTCTTGTGTCCGTACTGCTCCATCCTGAAACAAAGATGTACTTCACATTACCACACAAGTACATCCTGTAACTCACAGTGAAAAGGGCCAGCTGTATATGTAGTGGGTGATATAGAATCAATGGCTGGCATTCAGGTTAATAGAACAGAATTCTCAGAAGACTTCCAATTACAACCACAAAATATTTTACAAAAAAGCGCCTTGACATTCCTCAAATGGACCTTTTGCATCTCCCTTAGCATTAGAAGGTTCTACAATGTTACATACCTGCCATCTGATATTCTGTGTACACTCCTCTTGCGATCATTACCTACCTCATCCTGACAACATACATTCCACACAACTCCCCACCTGTGGCATTCACACTCCAGATACCCATTATGGACACATTACATGTGTCCCCTCAAATATTACATACCTTCTCCCAATCCCCGACATTACATACCTTCGCCCAATCCCCGACATTACATACCCTCTCCCCTACCCATGAAGGTCCGGGTTAGAATATTGATCTTCAGTAACCCATGCGTGTCGTAAGAGGCGACGAACGGGATTGGGTGGTCAGGCTCGCTGACTTGGTTGACACATGTCATCGGTTCCCATTGTGCAGATCGATGCTCATGCTGTTGATCACTAGATGCTTTTGATCACTAGATTGTCTGGTCCAGACTCGATTATTTACAGACCACCGCCATATAGCTGGAATATGCATTACATACCTTCTCCTGATCTGACTTACATACCTTCTCCTGAACTGACATTACATACCTTCTCCCTGATCTGACATTACATAACTTCCCCTGATCTGACATTACATACCTTCTCCTGATCTGACTTACATACATTCTCCTGAACTGACATTACATACCTTCTCCTGAACTGACATTACATACTTTCTCCTGAACTGACATTACATACCTTCTCCTGATCTGACATTACATACCTTCTCCTGATCTGACATTACATACCTTCTCCTGATCTGACATTACATACCTTCTCCTGATCTGACATTACATACCTTCTCCTGATCTGACATTACATACCTTCTCCTGATCTGACATTACATACCTTCTCCTGATCTGACATTACATACCTTCTCCTGATCTGACATTACATACTTCTCCTGATCTGACATTACATACCTTCTCCTGATCTGACATTACATACCTTCTCCTGATCTGACATTACATACCTTCTCCTGATCCCCTGATCTGACATTACATACCTTCTCCTGATCTGACATTACATACCTTCTCCTGATCTGACATTACATACCTTCTCCTGATCTGACATTACATACCTTCTCCTGATCCCCTGATCTGACATTACATACCTTCTCCTGATCTGACATTACATACCTTCCTTGATCCCTGATCTGACCTTCTCCTGACATTACATACCTTCTCCTGATCTGATCATTACATACCTTCATCCTCCTGATCTGACATTACATACATACCTTCTCCCCTATCCTTCTCCTGATCTGACATTACATACCTTCTCCTGATCTGACATTACATACCTTCTCCTGATCTGACATTACATACCTTCTCCTGCTCCCCTGATCTGACATTACATACCTTCTCCTGATCTGACATTACATACCTTCTCCTGATCCCCTGATCTGACATTACCTTCTCCTGATCATACCTTCTACCCTGATCTGACATATTGACATACCTCTCTCCTGATCTGACATTACATACCTTCTCCTGATCTGACATTACATACCTTCTCCTGATCTGACTTACATACCTTCTCCTGATCTGACATTACATACCTGATCCCCTGATCTGACATTACATACCTTCTCCTGATACCTCCCTGATCTGACATTACATACCTTCTCCTGATCTCTCCCTGATCTGATTTATTACATACCTTCTCCTGATCCCTGATCTGACATTACATACCTTCCTGATCCTGATCTGACATTACATACCTTCTCCTGATCCCCTGATCTGACATTACATACCTTCTCCTGATCTGACATTACATACCTTCTCCTGATCCCCTGATCTGACATTACATACCTTCTCCTGATCTGACATTACATACCTTCTCCTGATCCCCTGATCTGACATTACATACCTTCTCCTGATCCCCCCTGATTACATACCTTCTCCTGATCCCCTGATCTGACATACCTTCTCCTGATCCTGATCTGACATACCTTACATACCATTACATACCTTCTCCTGATCCCTGATCTGACATTACATACCTTCTCCTTCTCCTGATCCCCTGATCCCCTGACATTACATACCTTCTCCTGATCCCCTGATCTGACATTACATACCTTCCTGATACATTACATACCTTCCCTGATCTTCTCCTGATCTGACATTACATACCTTCTCCCTGATACATACCTTCCCTGATCTGACATTACATACCTTCTCCTGATCTGACATTACATACCTTCTCCTGATCCCCTGATCTGACATTACATACCTTCTCCTGATCCCCTGATCTGACATTACATACCTTCTCCTGATCCCCTGATCTGACATTACATACCTTCTCCTGATCTGACATTACATACCTTCTCCTGATCCCCTGATCTGACATTACATACCTTCTCCTGATCCCCTGATCTGACATTACATACCTTCTCCTGATCCCCTGATCTGACATTACATACCTTCTCCTGATCCCCTGATCTGACATTACATACCTTCTCCTGATCCCCTGATCTGACATTACATACCTTCTCCTGATCCCCTGATCTGACATTACATACCTTCCCCTGATCTGACATTACATACCTCCGTTTTCTCCGGTAGAAGACGATGCCGAGGATGATGAGCAGCACCAGGACCAGGGCTATCGCCGGGATGATGATGTAGAGTGGGTCTGGGGGAGACAATGATAGGTCACCACCATCATTACAGTTACTACAGACTCAAGGAATATAAAGGTCTCAGTAAATACTTTGGTCGCTAGTTGTGTTATATCACTGTCAGTTCCATGTGGCAGAGTGTAGGCTTTAGACAGAGGAAGCTGGCAGGAGTAATGCGTGACAACATGACACTGTGGTCGCTGATAAACTGAGATATATGTCATAATGTCATACAGGGTGTGACAACATGACATTGTGGTAACTGATAAACTGAGATATATGTCATAACATCATACAGGGTGTGACAACATGACATTGTGGTAACTGATAAACTGAGATATATGTCATAATGTCATACAGGGTGTGACAACATGACATTGTGGTAACTGATAAACTGAGATATATGTCATAATGTCATACAGGGTGTGACAACATGACATTGTGGTCGCTGATAAACTGGGATATAAGTCATAACGTCATACAGGGTGTGACAACATGACATTGTGGTAACTGATAAACTTAAGATATGTCATAACGTCATACAGGGTGTGACAACATGACATTGTGGTAACTGATAAACTGAGACATAAGTCATAACGTCATACAGGGTATGACAACATGACATTGTGGTAACTGATAAACTGAGACATAAGTCATAACATCATACAGGGTATGACAACATGACATTATGGTAACTGATAAACTGAGATATATGTCATAACGTCATACAGGGTGTGACAACATGACATTGTGGTCGCTGATAAACTGGGATATAAGTCATAACGTCATACAGGGTGTGACAACATGACAGTGTGGTAACTGATAAACCGAGCTATATAACATCCTGTGGAGCGTGACAATGTTTACAAAAGAGGTAACTCACTGAGGGGAGTGCGGGGCTGGTGGATGATGGGTTTGGTTATCCCGTTGTCTTCACACAAAGTCCCTGTGAAGCCTTCCTTACAGCTGGAACAAAACAGGATTATCTTCATGTAACAGAGTGAGTGAGGGAGTTTAGTTTTAAGCTGCTTTCAGCAATATTCCAGCAATATCACGTTGGGGGACACCCCAAATGGGCTTCACACATTGTACCCATGTGGGGGAAATGAACCTGTGATTTCGGCATAACAAGCAAATGCTTTAAGCACTAGGCTTTGCCACCACCCCTGATGTAACAGAAATGCAGCTGTGTCAATAAATACACATTTGAAATCCTTCACCTCAGCAAACGTGATTAGTGCATGATTATTAGTTGTTAAGGAAGCCCAAGCCAAGCAGTGAATGTTACTAGATCTAGGTTTCAATGCCAGAAACTGGTTAGACTGCATGGAGGGCGGCAGCAGCAGCAGCCAGCGTGGTGCGTTACTGGACTGCATCAATCCACAGTGTCCACAAAACATGGACCACAATACACACGTGCTATGAGTAGACCCGGTCAGTTTCACAGTGCTGGCATTAGGACGGTTGTAGAGCCACAATGACTTTGTATGTTTATGATGAAATATAGCAATTGAGATAATTACAGACAGGAATAACGGTGCCAAGCTGTGATCACCTTATATGTCTAAGAATATGAATAACTATATCCAGGTTGGATTAATTTATTTGTAGGAATAACAAGGTGCACATAACAAAGATCTACTTATATATCTTTGTCTACTAATAACGCTAGTTGCACAGCTATAATCACTGAAAATGTTGGTGTATACGATTCACTTTGCGAAACAGGATCCTTGACGAGATTCTCTGCGTCTGAGATAAGCGTGTATTATGGAATGATTGTAGCAATGCCAGTGCTTCTCAAGGCAAGGGAGATAACTGACTTTAAAAGCAGACTTTTCCCCCCATATCAACCCAGGCTGGAATTTCATTATGTACATGTATATTGTAGTTCCTTCTATGTTCCTCCAATATACAAAGAACTGATAAGACTCATTAATCCAGCCAAAATACTACTCCATAATTCCAGACTAATTTGGCATGGGTGGAAACTTGACTTTTAAAGTGAGTTGACCGCCACGGATATGAAACATCTAGAGACAAATAAGAGCCTCACATGCAGTACTGACAGGTGGCATTGTTGTGTGGGCCGAGGTGACAGCCGGCACACTTCCCTCCATTGCGACACACACCTGCACATGCATGCTGGCAGTGCAGCCCCACATGACCATACAGACACCTGTTAGTGGACAGACAGACAGACAGAGGTCACACACACAACCGACACTGGAGCTCACCTTCAACCATTACAACATGTGTCAATGAAGAATAAATAATATGAAATTGATATTGTGAAATAGGTCAGGACTGTGCAAAATGTCAAAATACATGAGAAAGACATCTATATTATAAGCATGTCATTTAAGGTAAGAAATAAAGGTAGTCAGTTTCAATTACATTAAATTTTTTATAATTTACATATTTCATAACTCTGATTACTTTTATAACATGTTATATTTTGGATTACACTTTCTCAGTAAAGTATAGATTCTAGTACTTTTTATGGGTTGAGACCCATTCTGGATTCGAATCCACACCCTCAGAGTCAGGCACCCAATTGCCAGCATACAAAGTCAGACGCCTAGACCGCTCAGCCACCGCGGCGTTCTGGCGTGCTTTGTGTGCTGGCGATTAGGTGCCTGACTCTGAGGGTGTGGGTTCGAATCCCGGATGGGACTCAACCCCAAAAAAGTACTAGAATCTGTACTTTACTGAGAAAGTGTAATCCCAAATATAACATATGTTACATTTGACCACTTTCTAAAATGGCATTGTGTATTTCATCTGATTACTTTCTTTTCAAAGTCAGACAACCCTCACCTTTTACTTATGTTTCCTGCTTTAGAATGTGCCTAGAAGGTCATATCATAACAGTTTCTGAAGGATTTAGTTGTGCTGAATTACTATAAATTGTGACCTTGCACTCTAAAGCCAGAAAGATTACTTCAATATTTATAGGACATCTTTTAAGTAGAAAAAACATATGGCTGAGCCTGTTGCTGATTGCTGAGATAACGGTGGACTTTATAGTTCAAGGGCACCCCATTATCATTTCAAACCAGTATGTTCCATGGTCTTGGAGGAGAAGATATTGGAGCACAGGCTATATTTTTCATTAGAGGTCCTGTGGTGGTGGTGACAATTTTGAATTTTTCAAAATGAAGTGAGGATCATCTCTGACCAAACCATCTATACCATAAAATCCCAAGGAAGCTGAGTAATCTGTTTGGTGTCACTAGCGAGACAATGACAACAGAAAAAGCTACTGATATTTTCTATGGTTTGGGAGGGGAGAGAGAAACATTTAGTGAAATGATCGTGGATGGATGGACTACAGGCGAGGTACCAAGAGATAAGTTCACACCGAGTTAGTTGAACATGATGGACAGACAATTACAACAACATGCCCTCAACCACATCACATAGAAAAGTTAAGATTAAACATACAAACATACAGAACATGTTAACAAGAGAAATATGGAGTATTCACAGGAATTATCAGAAACAAGGACATCAGTACAACATTAACAAATCATAAATCACAGCAAACAAGTTGAAAACAAAAGTTGTTCAATGAGACAGAAATGTTTTCTGAAATCAGGCTGACATGTTCACAGAAATGGAAGGTTACGATATATGTAATGACAAACATCCTGAACAATTTTCACACAGAAGACAAGAGGAATATGATACAGAGATTCAAGCCACCTAATCTTCTTAGGAAAGTTGGGGCGGTGGGGTAGCCTTATGGTTAAAGCGTTTGCTTGTCACACTGAAGTCCTGGGTTCGATTCTCCACATGGGTACAATGTGTAATGTCCAATAATGGTGACCTTGCTGTGATATTGCTGGAATATTGCTAAAAGCGGTGTTAACTTGAACTCACTCACTCTGAGGATAGTGAGCTGGTGAGATTACAACTCTACTAGCATAATAACATCTGTCACAAAAACATGATGGCTGCCACAGACACAGGCCATGTTCCATTACATGCACCTCCGAGTGGAGTCAAACCTGGGAGTATTCCAGTAATGAGTGAATGCATTAACCACTAACCTATCACATCAGTGAGCCTGGTTTTACATCACCAATATTCCAGCAACATCTAAATCAGGGACACCAGACAGGGTTTCACACACATATACCCATAAGGGGATTTGAACTCGGGCCTGAGTATGGTGACTGAAAGTGCTTACACCACTGGGCTACTCCACTGCCCTTGATACCAGTGGACATCTTATTCACCAGTTGTTACTTAAATATGGAGACTATGGCAATAATGAAGTGCTATTTTTAGTAATGTGCAACTACCCTAACAACTAATCTGAAATCAAACCATTCCAAGGGGAGATTACTCCATGGTGTTACCTGCACTTGTACTGGCCATCATGGGTACGGATACACTCCCCGCCCGGAGCACATAGACATCTGTCGCATGTCGGGCCCTTGTGTACACTGCTACACTCACAGGTCGGCTTTTGGTGCACTGTAAATAACATAATCTCATCATTGTTAGCAGTCACTGAAGGAGCCCGAGTTCCTGTTTCAGTGTATATAGATTTCCATAAACATACATGGCAAAACAATTTAGAAGCTATGTTGTGCTAAGTAACTACAGGTTGTGTCATGGATACCGAAACAGGAACTCTGGTATGTAATATACATATATAAACCGATACTGGTTCATGTCTAAGATTCCACCTGTACCTGCAGAGAATTTAGAACAAGACAATGTAGGCTTCTCCAGATGCCTGCATGTGTGTATTATATGGTTCAAACAGGAAGCCACTCAATGGAAGTCAGTAACTGCATCTTCAGCTACGGCTCCTTGCCTCTGCACAACTCTACTCTGAGCTGTGGCTCCCTGTATCTGTAGCTATGTCTCAAAGGGGTTGCTGTGGCTACCTATCGGAGCAACCACCAAGAAGACTTACCTAATGTGCATTTTCCCCCATTCTTACAGAAGTCGGCACAGGTGGGCTTGATGCTGGCACAGTCCGGGGGAGGGCCGGGACACTTGTCGTTACATACACATCGATCTGAAGGAGAAGTGTCAAGTCAGCACCATGTACATTTTCAAATGTCATCCAAGGGGTGAAAGTATTTGCTTGCCATGATGAAGCCTTCGGCTCAATTCCTCACATAAATATAATGTGACACCAATTTCTGTTGAAATATTGCTAAAAGCTTCGAGAAACAATACTTACTCGTACATTTGTCGCTATGCTCTTGCATATCATGTATCCAGTGATGCTAGTGTTATAAGTTATATTCCCTACAGGATGCTGGTCATGTTGGTACATCAAATATCCCCAACAGGTATTGTATATTCCCAACTAGTGTGGTGGTGCTTATATCACTACATGGTGCCAGAGTTGTTATAACATGTATCCACTACTTGGGGTGCATATCAATACATGAAGCTAGTTGTCATAACATATATACCATACTTGTGTTGCCTATCCCTACATGATGCTAGTTGTTATAACATGTATCCCCTACTTGTTGTGTTGTATATATCCTACTTGCAGTGATGTTATATCATATATTCCAGACTAGTACACCATGTACCCTGCACGTAATGTTGACAGACCTGATGCCTTGTTGTTCTGACACATGAAGTCACACGTGTGTTCTGTACACTGTAATGACGGGTCGAAGTTCTTTGGGCAGCTACATATGTGTCTGTTTTGACTGTCCATTCTACAGATGCCGCTGTTGTAGCAGAACATGTCCTCACACTGCTCACAGCGGTGACCTGCAACAAATTAGACATCAGGGTGAAGAACATCAAGAACCATATAATGAAATGGCTCGTGCCCTTGTTCTGAAGCCAACAAGCCATAGGTTTATGAACTAAGCACCTATCAATCTAATTCATGTCTGTCAACACAGGTAACAGTTCAAATAGTCAACTTACTCTCCTCAACATCAACATACAATCTTGAGCAAATGCCCCATACTATTAAACATTGTACTTTGTTCTTGACAAGGTGCCTGCTGGAAACATATGATCAAGGGTTTAAATCCTTCTTTGCCCTAATTATATTTCTAGGTTGGTCAGTACCTGTGTTTGTGGATTTCGAACAACGAGAGTGATCAATTTCTAGGACCTGTATCACATTGGCTTCTCTCCCACGTGATGTTGGGATATAACTGAAATACTGTTTAAATGGGCATTAAACCCAACTCACTCACTCACACACTTACATAACATATAGGAAGGAGTGCTACAACTACATGTAAACAGGAGACTCACCCTTGAAGCCTTCCTTGCACAGACAACTGGGTTGGCCGCTGGGGAGGGTGGTGCAGTTCACGAAGTTGCCGCTGATGCAGTACTGCCCACACCACATCTTCTTCTTCTCGTCGCATGTCGTGCCGGTGAAGCGGACATCACAGCTGTAACAGACATGTAAACATTGTGATGCAGAGGGCAAGGTCTCATTACTTTAAACACAAAATACTTTCTCTTCTGAAGCAAGTATATACGTAGTTTACAGAAAGTCATCTGTCCAGAACATGAGCTGATCAGAGGGGCACCTGTGAGGTGTCTCCCTGCATGGTGAACTTACATGCACTTGGGCTTCCTGGTTGTCTTGTCGATGAGGCAGGTCCCATGCTTGCAGTAGTTGGCACACCTGTAGGTCCGGCAGCGAGGGCCCTCATAGCCAGCGGGGCAGCTGTAAAATATGGGCAGGTGTAATATATGAAACAGGTGCTTGCCTCAGGTGTAACACAAGCTACAGGTGTAACACAAGCCACATGAGTAACAAAAGTCACAGGTGTAACACAAGGAACTGGTGTAACAAAAGCCACAGGTGTAACACAAGGTACAGGTGTAACACAAGCCACAGGTGCAACACAAGGAACAGGTGTAACACAAGCCACAGGTGTAACACAATGTACAGGTGTAACACAAGCCACATGAGTAACAAAAGTCACAGGTGTAACACAGGGAACTGGTGTAACAAAAGCCACAGGTGTAACACAAGGAACAGGTCTAACACAAGCCACAGGTGTAATACAATCTAAAGGTGTAACACAAGACATAGGTGTAATCCACTATGGACAGTTTAAATGGCAAGTATCCTGTAAATATGTTCATAGTCCATTGTTCTGCCTGACAGGCTTCAACAACCATACTGGCTTGTAACCAGAATGTAACAAACTACATCATAAATACTTTCAGTTATTTACAAACTCAACTGATAAACTTGTCATTGGCTTTATGTTTCCAAACTTGAAGGTACATGAAAGTCTTTATTGCGAACAACACACTCACCTGCAGGTGGGGTTTGAGTCGTGGTCCTTGGGCATGTTGCATGTGCCAACACCACAGTAGTTGTCACAGACGCTGACCTCGCACTTGACACCAGTGTAGCCAACCTGGCAGCTGACAGAACAACACTTAATCAACATGTGTAGGGTTGCATGTCTCTAACAGCATTCAACCAATATGTGTAGGCATGTGTCTCTAACAGCATTCAACCAATATGTGTAGGTTTGCATGTCTCTAACAGCATTCAACCAATATGTGTAGGCATGTGTCTCTGACAGCATTCAACCAATATGTGTAGGTCTGCATCTCTCTAACAGCATTCAACCAATATGTTCAGGCATGTGTCTCTAACAGCATTCAACCAATATGTGTAGGCATGTGTCTCTGACAGCATTCAACCAGTATGTGTAGGCTTGCATCTCTCTAACAGCATTCAACCAATATGTGTAGGCATGTGTCTCTAACAGCATTCAACCAATATGTGTAGGCATGTGTCTCTAACAGCATTCAAGCAATATGTGTAGGCATGTGTCTCAAACAACATTCAACTGATATGTGTAGGCATGTCTCACAGAACATTGAATCAGCATATGTAGGCATGTCTCACAGAACATTGAATCAGCATATGTAGGCATGTGTCTCAAACAGCATTCACCCAATATGTGTAGGCATGTGTCTCAAACAGCATTCACCCAATATGTGTAGGTATGTGTGTCAAACAGCATTCACTCAACACGTAGGTATGGTTGTCTCAAACACCAACCAGCATGAAATCAACATGTGTAGATATGTGTCTCAGTTTGATACACATAACATATAGTCAGATAACAAGTAGGATAAAACGTTATCCATTTGGGTCCTGTATGGATAAATGATCAGGCTATGTGATTAAGATGAGATAGACACTACTATTGTGTTTAAACAAACACAGCGTCGCCCTTGTCAGAATTAATGATGGTGAACCTAGACAAAATATTATGATAATTGTTATAAATATTAAAATGAAAATTAGTGTCCAAAAATGCCATAGTCAAAGACCTCTTACAACTTCTGAGATGTAAATTGTGAAGACATTTATCAAGGACACTGGGGATAACAGTTACCCATGCTTGTAGATCTTCTTTCTCTGAATTGAAAACTGGGCTTTGCTTAAATATTTATATAATCTAATGTTCATTTTTTTACATTTTTCTAAACTATATAACTGGACTAATGACTGACACTGTGGTGTAATTCGACGACACCTACCTGCACTTTGGCTCATTGTACATAGTCATTGAGCAGTTTCCATGCACGCAGAAGTTCTGACAGGGTTTGACGAAGTCACATCGGCCACCATTCAAGTACTTGGAATATTTTGGACATTTACAGGTATGTCCCTTGGTGGAATGGGGAGAGTTGAAGCACATGGCCTTGCCACAGTGGCTGTCCTTCGTGCAGTTGTTGGGCACTGGAACACAACCACAGTCATGTAACAATCAACACAACCAGAGTCATGTAACAATCAACATGATGACAGTCATGTAACAATCAACATGACGGCAGTCATGTAACAATCAACATGACGGCAGTCATGTAACAATCAACACAACCAGAGTCATGTAACAATCAACATGATGACAGTCATGTAACAATCAACATGACGGCAGTCATGTGATAATCAACATGACGGCAGTCATGTAACAATCAACATGATGACAGTCATGTAACAATCAACATGACGGCAGTCATATAACAATCAACATGACGGCAGTCATGTAACAATCAACAGAACCACAGTCAAGTAATCATCCCAAACTACAACAACCACAGGCGTGAATAACAATATAATATTACACATTCACACCTCTCACAATAGACAAGTGATACAGGAACCTATATCTAGTCAGCTCATACAACAAGCATGAAGTATGGGGTTCTAGTCAGCTCTTATAACAAGTATGAAGTATGGGGTTCTAGTCAGCTCATACAACAAGTATGGGGAACGGCATTCACTCATTACTCCAAATGCTCTTAATACAAAATTGAAGGAGACTTACAGTCGATGTTCATCTTCTGTTCCTGGGCCACAACAATGGTGCTGATGTGTTCAAGGCCTGTGTAGACCACCTGGGGGTCGACAGGGGTGTGGTTCTGGGTGCGGCCAAACTTGTGGATTCGGAGTAACTGGTACTTGTGGAATGTGAGGACATACAGAAAGTCTTCAAACACCTCCAGCTTGAAAGGGGGGTCAGACTCTGAAAATACACAAACACAAACTCAAACTAAATGAAACATGTATTATATCTGGGAATACACTGAATAAAATACAAAAGATAGTACTTTTGGAGGGTTGGCTTCCATCTGGGATTCAAACCCACAATCTAACCAACTCTGCCACCACAGGTGAGAAAGTGTAATCCCATATCTCAAACTGATCTGTCACTGCAGACATGCTAAGAGTGAAAGAGTGAGTGAGTTTGGTTTTATGCTGCTTTAAGCAATATTCCAGCAATATCACAGCAGGGACAGCAGAAATGGGCTTCACACATTGTGCCCATGTGAGGAATCAAATGGGGTCTTCAGCGCGAGGAGCGAAAGCCTTAACCACTATGCTACTCCACTTCCCCAGACATGCTAGGAATTATTTTAGAGAACAGCATGGTGTGGAAGCTTGTGGGAAGAAAATAGATTAAGTGTATGATGGACAAAGAGCCCTTACCATTGAACCTCTGTACAATGGTCCTTCCTTTGCCATGAACATTGATTGTCTCCACCGTGCTCTTCTTGGTGTCACACCAGTACACCCAGCCATTCTCATGATCCACTGCAATGCCGTTTGGCCAGTCCAGTTCGTCTCGGACCAGTACTGTTCTGTTACTGCCATCTAAGTTGGCACTCTCAATCTTTGGCCACACCCCTTGTTCTGTCCAGAAGATCTTCCTGAAATGTGTAGCAACATAATACAGTCTGAACATTTGGTCCAATGGTACACTCATTGTTTTGGGCACCTATTGTAACCTGGATTCTCACAGGGAGACAAGCAAGGGTGACTGGAGACCTATTCTACCCCAGATTCTCACAGAGAGACAAGAAAGGGTTAATGGTGACCTATTCTACCCCAGATTCTCACAGAGAGACAAGAAAGGGTTAATGGTGACCTATTCTACCCCAGATTCTCACAGAGAGACAAGAAAGGGTTAATGGTGACCTATTCTACCCCAGATTCTCACAGAGAGACAAGAAAGGGTTAATGGTGACCTATTCTACCCCAGATTCTCACAGAGAGACAAGCAAGGGTGACTTGGTGACCTATTCTACCCCAGATTCTCACAGAGAGACAAGCAAGGGTGACTTGGTGACCTATTCTACCCCAGATTCTCACACAGAGACAAGAAAGGGTTAATGGTGACCTATTCTACCCCAGATTCTCACAGAGAGACAAGGAAGGGTTAATGGTGACCTATTCTACCCCAGATTCTCACAGAGAGACAAGAAAGGGTTAATGGTGACCTATTCTACCCCAGATTCTCACAGAGAGACAAGAAAGGGTTAATGGTGACCTATTCTACCCCAGATTCTCACAGAGAGACAAGAAAGGGTTAATGGTGACCTATTCTACCCCAGATTCTCACAGAGAGACAAGCAAGGGTGACTTGGTGACCTATTCTACCCCAGATTCTCACAGAGAGACAAGCAAGGGTTAATGGTGACCTATTCTACCCGATTCCAACAAGGAGACAAGCAAGGGTTAATGGTGACCTATTCTAGCCCAGATTCCTACAGGAAGACAAGAAAAGGTTAATGGTGACCTATTCTAGCCCAGATTCTCACAGGGCTCAGTAATGGTGATGACTGCAACATAAAGCCACATTCATCCCTTCCCAGTCCTCCGTACCCTGAGCTAGGATCCACGGCTATGGAGTTGGGCTCTTCCAGTCCACTGTCGATGATGTGCATTTGGTTGCTGCCATCATATGTCCGCAGCTGAATGGAACGGGTAGTGGAATCGATGTAGTAGATACGTTTCAAAACCCAGTCCAAGGATATGTCTGAAATCTTGGCATGGCCGAACCACAGTTGTGGACCCTGTGAGGAAGAACAATAGTGACACATCTCATAGTCAAGTCAAGGTCATATAACAATCTTTAATAAACTTTGAATGGCAGTTAGAGTTACACATAAGGGAGAAAATGGATGTCGACTTCTATATTATGAGAACTCAACATTTTGGAACATATTAAGTGAATGAATCCTAGGAAGATATACCTATAGATATGAACAACAAACAGAATATAATGATACGGGTGGAAATGTCAGAAACATCAACTAATTAGCACTGATTGGAGATTGTTATTTGTCCATCGCTAATCAGCCAATCAGGAAGTGGAGGCACAGGGTACCTAGCACTGGTAGTTCACCATTTATCTGTTGCAGCCACCCCCCACACCCACCAACCTATCAAGGCTAAACCCAGCTGGTTTCCATTTGTCCATTGAGTGATGATGTAAAACTGTACTCAATGTTCCAGTAACATCAAGGACCCCAGGATTTCACTATTGTACCTGCATGGGGAATTGAAAGGGCCTTTGTCCTTTGCCCTCTCCTCCTCCTTTCCAGCCACCACCACCCAAATTATTACACCGCACAGACATAAAACCAACAGTGAAGAGTAATGAGCTGGTATAGTAAATAAGTAATTCTGCATTGGTTTTAATATATCTTAAATTAACAGTAATTTGTTTTCCTTTGCCATAAACAGACTGTAGTCTCTCCCTGAGAAACAGTCCACATCATGTACTGCGCCATCAGATAAAGTGGCTAGTCAGTGAAAAAAGACTACCTTAGATTTCTGGTCCCGCTTGGATCGCTTGTTCTGGGTGTTTTTCAAGACGTTTTTGTGAACAAACACCATGTGATCTTTGTCTTCCGTCACGATGAATGCAGTCCACTCAGCTTTGGTGGTGTCGATGTCCATTGCGACAATCGTGTTCTTCTTCCTGCTGTTGTTTAACTGTGACATAAAAACAAATATGTGTCAAAATTTGACACTTGGACAACAATGGCCTGAGAAAACCTGAATTCAAAGGGATTGAAACCTGGTATGATGTAAAATTGCTGCCCTGCATATATCACTTCCCCAGTGGAGATTATCCCCTCCTCAGTCAAGAACAGCCTCAACCAATCAATATCAACTCCACCCTCCAGTCCAAATCAACCACCTCTCATCAAGAACATCCCCTCCCCAATTGATATCAACTCCATGCTCCCGTCAAAAGCCCCCTCCCCAATCGATATCAACTCCATCCTCCCGTCAAGAACCTCCCCCCCCTCCCCAATCGATATCAACCAGACCCTCCAGTAAAGAGTCTTAAGTCTGGATCACCTAATCTCCATTCGATATCAACTCCCTTCCCTTTCAATATCAACCAGACCCTCCAGTAAAGATCAACACCCCGTCAATAGCACCATGGTGGTCTCACCGTGACATTGAGGGGTTTGACGTCCATGCCGTTGGTGGTCATATTGACCTGGGTGGGACTTTGCAACAGCACTGACTTCTCTGCAATCAGGATCACAGGCGGAGTCCCTACAACAAAAAAAAAACAACGTCGATGTGCTGTATAGGAAGTTGTCTCCAACAACAGTGAGTGAGTTTAGTTTTACGCCGCACTCAGCAATATTCCAGCTAAATGGCAGTGGTCTGTAAAAATTCGAGACTGCACTAGACAATCCAGTGATCAACAACATAAGCATCTGTCTGCGCAATTATGAACCGATGACATGTGTCAACCAAGTCAGCGAGCCTGACCACCCGATCCCTTTAGTCGCCTCTTACGACATGGGTTACTGAAGGCCAATATTCTAATCCAGATCTTCACGGGTCGTCTCCAACAATAACACAATACAGCACATATGCTTGAGGGCAATTACAGCAGGAATCAACAGCATACAAATGTACATACAAGAACTCTGAGGCGTGAGGGACTGTACATATAAGTAGGAAGTATGGCTCCACTACCTCAAGGTGTTGGGGACAGTATATACACAAGTCAGTACATACACATGTAAGTACAGGTATGGGCTCACCATCAGCTGTGCAGGCCCCTTCTGCCCCGAATCTGCGACTGTATCCCTCTCGACACCAGCAGTAGTGGTGACGATCTTCCATGGTGTAGTTGCACTTCTGTGAGCAGATGCCCCACTGATCACATGGGTTGATAGCTTGAACAAAACAGTGCAATGGGAGATCAAACTTGGAACAATGGCAGATCAACTTGGAACAATGGGAGATCAACTTGATCAACTTTGAGCAACAGGAAATCAACTTGGAACAGTGGGAGATCAACTTGTAGCAACAGGGAATCAACTAGGAACAACAGGTAATCAACTTGGAACAACTGGAAATCAACTGGACTGTATTCCTGGCAGAATTACACATCTAGCTTTTTGCTGCACCCAACCTGTGGGACAATCATAGATGATCAATACTTACGATCACAATGGAAGCCGTCATGGTTGAGCCTGAAGCCATCTTTACACTCACACCTGATGCCCTTGGTCAGTTGACGACACTGCTGTTCACAGCCACCGTTCTTCAAAGTGCACATTAGGTTCTTCTTAACAGTATCTGCAGACAAAACATCCAACGATCAAAATATCAGTACAGTCTCCATTATGTGAACAAATGTTACAATCACTATTTGCAGGATTGGGTATATACCAGAAAACGTGTGAATATAAAGGATATCAGGAAGTATGTGACTATACAGCTACACTGCCTTGACGTGGATACATACCGCAGTAGTTGGAGTCTTCATCAGACTTGTCCTCACAGTGTGGTGTGCCATCACACACCATGCTCTGGCTAATGCACTGTCGGGAGCTGTGGCACTTGAAGTCCATCGGTCGACACTGGTGCTCCCTGGGACCTGTGCATGGAGGGTAGAGTGTGGAATCAAGAGTGAGTTAGAACTGGCCCAGGATGAACATTCTGTACCTTAATCAAAGGGGAAAGTATGGCCCGGAGTGGGGATGAACTGGACAAAGCTGTAACATTCCGGAGGAAGAACTGGCCAAGGCTATAACTTTCCGGAGGAAGACTGACTGACTGAGTTTGGTTTTACGCTGCTTTTAGCAATATTCCAGCAACATCACGGCTGGGGACACCAGAAATGGGCTTCACACATTGTGCCCATGTGGCCTGGAGGAAGAACTGGCCAAGGCTGTAACATTCCGGAGGAAGAACTGGCCAAGGCTATAACGTTCCGGAAGAAGAACTGGCCAAGGCTATAAAGAACTATCCAAAGGGAGGGGAAGAGCTGGCCAAGGCTATAACTTTATAGGGGAAGAACTGGCCAAGGCTGTAACTTTTTCCAAGGGGGAAGAACTAGCCAAGGCTGTAACTTTCTGGGGGGGAAGAACTGGCCAAGGCTGTAACTTTCCAGGGGATGAACTGGCCAAGGCTGTAACTTTATGGGGGGAAGAACTGGCCAAGGCTGTAACATTCCGGGGAAAGAACTATCCAAAGCTATAACTTTCCAGGGGATGAATTGGCCGAGGCTATAACTTTATAGGGGGGAAGAACTGGCCAAGGCTGTAACATTTCAGGGGAAAGAACTGGCCAAGGCTGTAACTTTATGGGGGGGAAGAACTGGCCAAGGCTGTAACATTCCGGGGAAAGAACTATCTAAAGCTGTAACTTTCTGGGGGAAGAACTGGCCAAGTCTGTAACTTTCCAGGGGAAGAACTGGCCAAGTCTGTAACTTTCCGGGGGAAGAACTGTTCAAGTGAGCAAACACTACAGGACACACACTGCAGGCGGCTATTCATTATGGAAACATTCAGACATGCTGACAGAGAGGCCCCCCTGGTTTATTGATACATGGACCAGGGCATCTGTTGTATATCATGATATGACCAACTGCTTCTCATTCTTCGATCCATACAATAGTGTTGAACACAAGCCATCAAGTTCAAATTATAGTCCATAATAAGCAATACTCATTCTTGGAAAAAGGAGCTCATTCATACTTCAATACTTTCAAAACAGGAGTGTTTTTTCCCTTGAAACCAACAATACTCTTTCAACAATGTTCCAAACAGATCTATAAATAACACACCAGTTATATCCTACAGTGAAAGTCACTCCTGTTTCAGAGGGTGTACTCACAATGATCTTCATCCGACCTGTCAGGACAGTCACTGTTGCCGTCGCAGACCATGCTGTTCCAGATGCAGATGCTGTTGTTACAGCGGAACCTGCCTGGAGCACAGCCCAAACTGTCTGCAATACAAGACACAAACTGTCTTACAACAGAGCATAATATCAGAGCTTTACAGTCGCGCTACTGGCTCCCTTCAGACCAACAGAGGAAGTAGTAACATTAAACAGATATATTTCAATAAAACAAAAGTATTTTTGTACATTTCCATAATTCATTTATGTATGTTTTAACAGAGGGAGAAGAGAGAAATACTTACCACACATTTTGGGGGTCTCATCAGATCCGTCTGCACAATCGTTGTCGCCATCACACTGCCACAATAGAGGTATACATTCGGAATTGCTGCAGCGGAACTCATCCTTTGTACAGTTCCTATCTGCAACATCACAACATCACACAATATACTACAGAAACATGGCCTGGGCCCTTTGTAGAAATACGATATGCACGATATTGTGGAACTGAAGAAAAATGATCCAGAAATCTATGCCACTGTTAATATCAGTAATATCATAGAACCAGAGCCCAAACTAAAGTGGATTCATAAAAAGTGAAAACAAACTATAATTAAAACGGACGGAAAAGGCTGTAAAATGTATATTATGCTTTACCAGCATTACAGGACGGAAGTCGGAAATGTACACATATATATATTGTTTGCTGTTATATCTTTTGTTCACCTTTGTTGTACCAAAAAATTCCCAAATGTATGTTTGCTGCTGTTGATGCTTTATTACTCATCCCAAGAACTTGCACGGTCAATCAAACCATCTCCTTCTACTGCAAATCATTTAAGATAACTAATGAAACAAAATGTAAATAAGGAAAATTCTATCTCTTAACTGCAGAGGTCTCAATAATGCTTTTAAAAGAAAACAGGTATTCAGGTTCTTAAGGCTAAAAAGGCTAACATATTCTGTCTTCAAGACGTTCATTTCACTACTGAGCAAGAACAGCTCATTAAACAGCAGTGGGGCTATAGTGAATGTTATTTCAGCCATTTCGAAGCAATGCAAGGGGAACAGCTATTCTTTTAATAACAATTTTGAATTTAAGGTTACAGGTCAACAAATTGATATGGATAATGGAAATTATATTCTACTGACAGTAAAAATACATGATAGTGACTACACAATTATTAATGTATATGGACCTAATAAAGATTGCCCCGAGTTCATTATAAATATCAAAAATATGTTAAAACAACAAGAAAACGATAAATTTATAATATGTGGAGACTGGAACATGGTATTAGACAGTGACTTAGACACCTACAACTACAAACACATGAATAACCCAAAAGCCAGACAAGAACTATTAAACGCTATAACTCTATTAGACTTGAAAGACCCCAGGAGAGAATCAAACCCGTATAAAAAACGTTTCACTTGGAGACAACCAACCCCGCTTAAACAATCAAGGCTAGATTTTTTCCTTGTATCACATAATCTCTTACAGGCAGTTACACAAACAGATATATCCCCAAGCATTAATTAGGACCACTCAATAATCTCACTAGCAATATCTTTGGGAGATAATGATAAGAGGGAAAGGATTTTGGAAGTTTAATAACTCTCTACTCCACGATGAAAAATATGTTGAAAAAGTAAAAACTACAATAAAGAATACCTTACAACAATATGAAGTTAAAACGGAAGCAAAAGCTGAAGAAACAAGATATACCATAAATGATCAACTGTTATGGGAAATGCTACTTCTAGAAATTAGAGGTATGACTATATATTATTCATCTACAAAAAAGAAAATGACTTTAAATAGGGAAAAGGCTTTGGAAAATAAATTGAGAGAATTGGAAATCGACCTGGATACAGAACCAGCTGGAAAAAAGACAGAAATTCTTAAAAAAGTAAATGAAGTTAAACAAGACTTAGAAGAAATTAGTAAACAAAAGATAAAAGGTCTATACATAAGATCTAAGGCAAAGTGGATCGAACAAGGGGAAAAACCATCAAAGTACTTTTTACAATTAGAAAGCAGAAATTTTTTAAATAAATCAATAATGGAATTGGAAAAAAAGGACGGTACAGTGATAAAAGATTATAAGGAAATACTAGAAGAGACTAGAACATTCTACAAAAAAATTTACTTAAGTGAAGACTGCACACAAATTAAATTAGAAGAATTGTTCATAGAAGATGAAATACCTAAACTGTCAGAAGAAGCTGCCTCATCTTTAGAGGGAGAAATAACATACAAAGAAACGCTTTGTCGCTTTAAAGAAAATGAAAAATGATAAAAGTCCGGGCCCGGATGGCTTCTCCAGTGAATTCCTCAAGTTTTTTGGAATGACTTAAATAAATTTCTAATTAACTCCTTGAAATATGCATATGAAAATGGTTCCATGTCCATTATCACAAAAACAAGGTCTTATTACTTGTATCCCTAAGAGTGGTAAAAGTAAAAAATGCTAAAAACTGGAGACCAATATCACTACTAAATACCTCTTACAAACTAGCTTCTGCAGTTATAGCAAATAGAATAAAGACAATATTACCACTTATTATCAGCGAGGATCAAAAGGTTTTATTCAAGGAAGATACATAGGAGAAGTCACAAGGCAGATATACGACGTAATGGACTATAGTGAATCATATCAAATTCCAGGATTATTACTGCTTATTGATTTTGAAAAAGCTTTTGACTCGGTTGACAGAAAATTTATGCAAAATGTAATGGATTTTTTCAACTTTGGACCATGTATTCGAAATTGGATACAAGTATTGCTAAACGACAGTGAATCAAGCGTATTAGTAAATGGGTTTGCGAGTGAGTTTTTCAAGATAACTAGGGGATGCCGACAAGGAGACCCAATATCACCTTACATTTTTATCCTATGTGCCGAAATACTAGCTATTCTAATAAGAAAAAATAAGACTGACTGACTGACTGAGTTTAGTTTTACGCCGCTTTTAGCAATATTCCAGCAATATCACGGCGGGGGACACCAGAAATGGGCTTAACACATTGTGCCCATGTGGGGAATCGAACCCGGGTCTTCGGCGTGACGAGCCAACGCTTTAACCACTAGACTACCCCACCGCCCAGAAAAAATAAGAAAATTAAAGGGATAAAGATAGGTAATATACAAAGCCTTTTAGCCCAATTTGCAGACAACACTACAGTGACCTTAGACGGATCTGAATCAAGTTTGTATGCAGTTTTGAACACATTAGCTTTCTTTGCAAGATTTAATATAAAGCCAGTTTTTACAGTGCTTCAAAGGGAAATACTCAATTATTACAAAGCTACCAAATACACAGCATTTTCAAATGCAAACCCATCAAAATTCTATGCCTTCTGGTCTTCCTTCCATACACTTTTTGCCAATTATACCAACCTAGATGTCATATAAGTATAATAAAATTTGATAAGTGCATCTGAATACAAGTACTGGTATACATATTAGCCTTTGGTAAGGATAACAGATACATTATAGCAATTTACCCTGAACATACGATGATTGCTTTTGTATTGATGTATTGATTGATTGTACTGATGGTGATGTTTTTGCTCAACGTCTGATGACGAGGATGTGTTGTATATGATGCTTTTGTACCACAACAACAAATGTACTCTGGGAAATAAAAATATTTAAAAAAAAATAAATATATACTACAGACAGTGAGTGAGTGAGTGAGTGAGTGAGTGAGTGAGTGTTTAGTTTTACGCTGCACTCAGCAATATTCTATCTATATGGTGTTGGTCTGTAAATAATCGAGTCTGAACCAGACAATCCAGGGATTAACAGTATGAACATCAATCTACACAATTGGGATATGATGACATGTGTTATCCAAGTCAGAGAGCCTCACCACCCGATCCCGTCAGTCACCTCGTACGACAAGCATGGTTTACTGATGATCAATTCTAACCCAGACCTTCATGGGATACTAGAGACAGACCACATCAACCTGTTGTATAGTACAAGATACACCCTGCTGAATGTCAACTGTGTCTCTTGGTACTGTACATGTAGGCATATCCTCAATACCAAACTCTACATGTTCTCAAATTTCTCACATCCATTTCGTAAGTGTTATTTGCTGTGACAAACACATCAATATGATGAAATTGGTTGACTGTTTGGTCTACAGCATGTTGATCTCCAGATCTCAGGGTATTGACTGGAACTGGAATAGGATTTAGTTTCACACAGAAGTAGTATGTCCCTTACCACATGACCACTCGTCTGTTCCGTCGGCACAATCAGTGTCGCCATCACAGCGCCACGTCTTGGGGATGCAGTGGAGGACATTCAGACACTTGAATTCCATAGATGTGCAGTTCACGTCTAAATCAAACAAGCACAACACTGTACACATAAACGATTATTACAGCGATGTTTTGGTACAGATCCTTACACTGTTGTCATAGTGAAATAAATTGATTTTTCCACAAACTGTGTTAATGTTGCTATCTGTCAACCTCTAAGATATGACTAGCCAGAATAGGAAACCCTAAACAACTCAAATCAACAAAGCCATGATTGAGAATGCCTATCTCAGCCTCTACTAGAACCACAGCTCTGACAGATATGTATGATATATAACTCTTCTGTTAACATTGAATGTCGGTTTGTTACAGTTGTTGTTGATACTCTATTTATCCACACTCCAAAACGTTCCTGACTTGAATGCAAAGAACAAGCTTTTGTCTGTTTGTTGCTTAACACTGCACTTAGTAATATTCCAGGTATGGCAGTACATAGATATTCAAGTCTGGACCAGACAATCCACTGACTGACCATGAGCACTGATCTGAGCAATTCGGATGCGACATACATAAAAAGCGTGACCATGGCATAGATGAGCTGGATTAGTAGCAGCTGAACCTTAGGTCACTGCATCGGGTTTCTTACACTTTGAGCAGTTCTTTTCATCACTGCCATCTTCACAGTGGACCTCTCCATCACACAGCTGGCTCTTCCGGATACACTTGCCGTTGTCACATCGGTGCTCAGCCTCTGAGCAGTTGCGGGGCACTGAAGTCAGAACAACCAGCCATGATGACAAGAATCTACCACACATCCATCATCTGGCTGGGTAAGGTGCTGACATACAAGATACATAACTGTGTTTGGATGTCATAACTGTAGGTTTGTGGCAAGCTGAGAGTGAGTGAATATGGTTTTACATCGCTTTTAGCAATATTCCAGCAATATCGTTGCTGGTCACAGAGGAAATGGGCTTCACATATTGTACCAATGTGGGGAATCGAACGCGGGTCTTTGACGTGATAGCGAATGCTTTAACCACTAGGCTACCCCACCGCCCCTGTGGCAAGATATGATGCTCGCACAGCCAATTAGACGCCTGGTTAACTGTCCGTGAAGATGTTCCGTAATCCCGAAGGGACCAAATCCTCCAACTTCACTGCTCATATGAATAGACCACTCACCACAATCCTTCTCATCCGACTCATCGCGACAGTCGTCATAGTAGTCACACTTCCAGCGGCCCGGGATGCAATGGCCATTATCACAGTGAAAGTAAGTTGGGTCACATGTTCTTCTATCTGTAACACATACAGTAACTACATGTAATCAAATCTTAAACATATCTTCCATTAATTAAAAAGACAACTGATATTACATCTGATACAGTGAACATGACAGATCACTTCAACATCAGACCTAGATACTCGATCTGTGTGTAGGGTGTCTGTTTTACAGACCTACAGTTACAGATTCAACAAGAACATACGGCATTCTTCATATTTCTCGTCTGTGTCATCTTGATCTCCACAGTCTGGATCACCATCACACTTCCAGGCGTTGGGGATACAGCGGCCGGTGATGTTGCACTTGGTGTGGTCCTCCTTGCAGTTCAGGCTGGTGCAGTTCTTGGGTTCATCCGAGCTGTCTCCACAGTCATTGTCATTGTCACAGAGCCACACATAAGGAACACAGCGGCCATTGTTGCAGGAGAACTGGTTGGCATTGCATGATGAATTGGCTGGAGGGAACACAAGACATCATCAGTTAATACAGCATAATGTTGTTCCAGCATGAAAAACTGGTAAGCACTGCAGGAATAATTGGCTGGTAGCAAGACTAGAAATGCTCAATATAGCTTAACATTCCGGCAAAAACATTCTGGTTTTAATTAGCAGTAATTTTAGTTATATGTACATAGCACAATAAATATTTTCCCATTCATTTTTCTCCACACACAATTTACATTCAAATTAATCATAATTCACATACGACATTCCTTCTCATCCTCCCCGTCGGCGCAGTCGTTGTTGCCGTTACACTGCAGGGTCTTGGAGATGCACTTGCTCTCCTTGTGGCACTTGAACTGGTGCTCCATACATGGGTAGGAATCTGGGTGGAATAAAGCAAACATAATTAACATAATTGGCTGGGCAGTAAGTTGATTAAAGACAGTGAATTTACAAAGGGATTACATCTCTATCATAACATGACTCTTGGGTGCACAAGACCTACATACTTCAGCTGTAAGGTGTATAAGACCTCTATTAAACCATGACTGTGTGGTGTATACGACCTACATACTGCAGCTATAAGGTTTTTATGACTTGTAATAAACCATGACTATGTGGTGTATACGACCGACGCACTGCACCTGTAAAGTGTAAAAGATCTCTATTATACCATGACTGTGTTGTATAAGAACCATGACTTACCACACTTTTCTTCATCTGATCCGTCAGCACACTGACTCTCACTGTCACAGATAGCAGTCGGGATGTGGCAGTCCCGGGCACTGGAGGCATTCTTGCATTGGAACAAGCCAGGCTGGTCACAGTAGTAGGTGCCTGGAACAGAGGGGAGATCAGTCACACTCACAAACACATGGAACAGAGGGGAGATAACTCACACTCACAAACACATGGAACAGAGGGGAGATAACTCACACTCACAAACACATGGAACAGAGGGGAGATAACTCACACTCACAAACACATGGAACAGAGGGAGATAACTCACACTCACAAACACATGGAACAGAGGGGAGACTCAGAGGGGAAATAACTCACACTCACAAACACATGGATCAGAGGGGAGATAACTCACTCACAAACACATGGAACATGGGGAGATAACTCACACTCACTAACACATGGAACAGGGGGAGATATCTCACACTCACAAACACATGGAACAGAGGGGAGATAACTCACACTCACAAACACATGGAACAGAGGGGAGATAACTCACAAACACATGGAACAGAGGGGAGATAACTCCCACTCACAAACACATGGATCAGAGGGGAAATAACTCACACTCACAAGCACATGGAACAGAGGGGAGATAACACACACTCACATTGATCAGAGGGGAGATAACTCACACTCACAAACACATGGATCAGAGGGGAAATAACTCACACTCACAAACATGGATCAGAGGGGAAATAACTCACACTCACAAGCACATGGAACAGAGGGGAGATAACTCACACTCACATTGATCAGAGGGGAGATAACTCACATCAGAGGGGAGATAACTCACACTCACAAACACATTGAACAGAGGGGAGATAACTCACACTCACACACACATGGAACAGAGGGGAGATAACTCACACACAGAAGGGAAGATAGATCTCACAGACAACTGCAACGTCAAGCTCCATGCCTGAACATTCCACCTGCCTCACCTTCCAGTGTCATTGCTGCCACCAGTGTTCAAGCAGCAATTATCATTTTGAAAATTTCGAAAACCTAAAATGTTGTGACATATAATTCTGTGTGTATCATTTTGAGAATGACATTATAATGACTGGAGAAATGGCTTCCAACTGACTTAGTATTTCCCAGATATGGCAGCAATAGTATAGAGAGTGCTATGAATGGCTATCAGTCACATTGATCACCGCACATAGCAGAAGCAAGGATAGCTCACAGTGATAATGCAGATTACTAGACCGTCCTGATTTCCAGATCATTCCTAAGACACAAGGGACTTACCACATTCTGGAGGTTCATCAGACCCATCCTCGCAGTCGGTGTGGTTGTCACACTTCCACCACAGTGGAATGCACTTGGACGTCTTCTTGCACAGGAACTGGGCACTGGAATCATAGTCAAAACATCCTAATGTGCCTGAATAGGAGTCCTTACATTACAATATGCCTGAATAGCAGTCATTACATATCCCGACTATACTGACAGAAGTACTCACCTTGTGCAGTTGGAGATGCAGGTCTTCTTGTCCCCTGCTAGGTAGTGGTTCTCGGGGCATGCACACACATGCTCGATGTGGCTGTGTCGGTTGTGCAGAGTTGGCCGCAACAGACAGAGATGAGTGCAGCCACTAAGCGCACAGGAGCTATATTCTGTCTCGTTGGGACCTACAACATACCAACTCAGTCAGTACTTGTAACAAATATACTCCCCTTTTGATGATAAAGCTAATTTGCTATACAAATTTTAATATTACTATTCATCTGGCAACAGTTTATGCTTCTTATGCAACTATGCACCTTGCAACTGCCTGTATTAACACTGCCGCCTCCCTAGCAATAGCCTGTGTTAAAGCTACTACTCTCCTGGCAACAGCCTACACTTGTGCTACTACTCACCTGGCAACTGCCTGTGCTGCTGCAAAACCTGGATGTCCATGGGGCGATGCACCATCTTCACCAGCATCTTCGGATCTTCCCCAGTATACTTGTCCGCATAGTATATAGCAGTCTTCTCCCAGTCTGACCAGAATATGTGGCTTTCAAAAGTAGCCAGAGCAAAGACATGGGGCACAACTGTGTTGTCTCGCACAACAATTCTACGATGACTACCATCCAAGTTAGCCATACCAATATAATCCAGGCTCCCATCAGCCCAGTAGATCTTCTCCGTGATGTAGTCGATGGTGAGTGCGTTCGGCCAGGCCAGGTGTTCCTTGATGATTGTCTGTCGGTTTGTTCCGTCCATCCAGATGCGGCTGATGTGAGGTGTATCGCCCCAGTCGGTGAAGTACAGGTAGCCGCGGGCAGGGAAGACATCGAGTCCTCGAGGTTCCTGAAGCCCTTCACGTAGCAGCACCTTGCGGAACCTTCCATCAAGTTTGGATACTTCTATAGTATCTGTTGTCTTGTCACACCAGTAAAGATTGCGCCCAATCCAGTCTACAGCTATACCATCAGGGTTCCGAACAGTTGTGCTGTGTAGTATCTGAAAACAGACACATAGCAGCCATGACCAAAAGCTGAAGTGACTGTAACACAAGCTTCTATAACATTTTAATTAGTTAAGCATCATGGCTGACAGTGTTAGCACTGTAATCACCAGGATAAGTAATAACACAACAATGTAACCAATAATTGTAACCAAGCCAAACTTCCATCTATATGATAGTTGTCTGTAAGTGAATGAGTTTTGTTATATGCCGCTTTTAGCAATATTCCAACAATATCATGGTGGGGGACCCCAGAAAAGGGCTTCACTCATTGTACCCATGTTGGGAATCGAACACGGATCTTCAGCATGACGGGCAAACACTTTAACCACTAGGCTACCCCACCTCCCCTGATATCATGACTATCGACATACACAACTGAGATACAATGACATACATCAAATAATTCAGAGAGACTGACCACCTGATCTATTTAGTAATCTCTAACGACAAGCATGGGTTGCGGAAGACCGACTCTAACCTGGATCTTCATCGGTTCAAATATTTTCAGCTTGCCAAGTTCTTGAAAGGAACTTTATCCAGCAATGTTTTAGTTTAGTGTGACTTTTGATCAACTAATGCAGTTACCTCTGTCTTATTGGAAGCACTTCTATCGAAGGACATTCTGTTGATGCTGCTGTTGACGCTGGTGATGTCACTCCAGTAGATGAACTTCTCCTTCCAGTCGTAGTCAATGGCAACAGAGTTGAACAGTTTGTCTGTCAGGATCTGTGTGTCCCCGCTGGTTATGGTCACATTCCGAATGTAGTAGCGGTTGGACACCAAGAGAATAGAGGGGGCAAGGAAGTACTACACAAACACAACAAACATGTGGTAGACTGTAGATATATATAGAGGGGGGCAAGTTGAAGTACTACACAAACACAACAAACATGTGGTAGACTGTAGATATATATAGAGGGGGGCAAGTTGAAGTACTACACAAACACAACAAACATGTGGTAGACTGTAGATATATATAGAGGGGGGCAAGTTGAAGTACTACACAAGCACAACAAACATGTGGTAGACTGTAGATATATAGGGGGCAAGTTGGGGGCAAGTTGAGAGGGGGCAAGTTGACTACTACACAAGCACAACAAACATGTGGTAGACTGTAGATATATATAGAGGGGGGCAAAATGACGTACTACACAACACAAGCACAACAAACATGTGGTAGACTGTAGATATATATAGAGGGGGCAAGTTGGGGGGACGTTCTACACAAGCACAACAAACATGTGGTAGACTGTAGATATATATACAAGCACAACAAAGGGGGCAAGTTGGCGTTCTACACAAGCACAACAAACATGTGGTAGACTGTAGATATATATAGAGGGGGGCAAGTTGACGTTCTACACAAGCACAACAAACATGTGGTAGACTGTAGATATATATAGAGGGGGGCAAGTTGACGTACTACACAAGCACAACAAACATGTGGTAGACTGTAGATATATATAGAGGGGGGCAAGTTGACGTTCTACACAAGCACAACAAACATGTGGTAGACTGTAGATATGGTGCCAGTTATTGCAACAGGTCAACAATCACTCCACCAACCGTTCTCTTTAAACTGGTCCATTATAGATTGAAATAGAGCCAGTCTAATTTTTTTTTTAAACAACTCAATTTATGAAATAAGGGAAAACATCGAGCTAATTTTCTTTGTATAAAACTTTGTCCATGAACTAAGGGAACTAATGTTTCTTTGCACAAAGCCCTGCCTACAGATTAAGATTAAGCAAAATTGTTCTAACTTTTCTTTCCACATAGCCCTGTCAATGGATCTACATCTATTTCTAAATGGGAAGCATCATCGACCTAATATGTATTCGGTTTCAGAGAAGTATCTCTGCGCTACCTTTTGCCTTGCAGCGCTTGCCATCAGGCTCCTTGACATAGAACTTCGGGCAGGAGCACTTGTAGGACCCCATGGTGTTCTGGCAGTAGTGGCTGCAGGGGAAGGAGGTGTTGCACTCGTCCACATCTACAACAGGAAGTGATGCACTCACTGCACAGGAACTCAACACATACACCATGGTCAGTCTACACACTTATATATGGCAGGACTATATTCTTCTCACAAAACAAAATGGGCGCTAAGCTTCATGCAGCTAAGTCATATGTTCACTTGATCCTAAAGAAAACACAAACACTGGGGGTTGCTGTTCTACATTGTCTTTTAAGAATGATCAGTTAAGGTCCATGCTAGCCAGACCAAGCTATACATGTGTCTATTGAAAGCACTCACTTCTTCTGTTAACTGTGGCAAGTACCCGTGTAAACCATTCTAAAAACCCAAACCCCAACAACCGGACCCTGCATGAACCTTGCAGCCTTGATGAGATTCTGTGTATTGTAAACACAAACCATCTTGAAATTTCAATGTCATGTGACACCTACCAACACACGTAACCTTGTCCTCGTCAAGCTTGTAACCATGGCGACAGTAACACTCAAAACCTATCTTCTTGTCCTTGCACTTCTGTGTGCAGTATGTGCGGTTGATGTGGTGAGCTGTGGACAAGCACTCGTTGATCCCTGCAACAAGTAGACATGATGACACTGCAATCTTTTATGACATATTAGAAATGAAAGAGTCGGGAGTAAGATTTATCATCCAAAATAAATTTTCCAACATTTTCAGTTTGTAAGCAGTGATAACATTTGTGTTGAGGGTCAATAGTACTGAAAACAAGTTTCAGTGGCAGATTCCGATGTAAAGTAACCTTTGAAGTCACGTTGGTCTGCAAACATCAAGGTGCAGTTTCGTAGCAGTGATAACTCGTGTTTGTCATCGATGACAAAACAATGCTCCTTCTGTTAGGATAAATTATTCTGCTGCACAACAGACTGAGGTCATATTCAGTTTATAGAGTAATGTCATTCTGATGGATCAGCAACAGAATTTAATGCATGCTCTGCAGACTTCCATTATTCATTTTGTCATCAGCTGTCACTCACCACAATTGTCAGGTTCATCCGACATGTCCCCACAGTCATTGTTGCCGTTGCAGACAAGTTCCTCGTCGATACAGACGTTGTTCTGGCACTGGAACTGTGTGACGTTTCCACATGGCAACACTTCACAGTTCATCTCGTCGGAATGATCGGGGCAGTCAAAGTAGTTGTCACAGCGCTCAGCCATTGGGATACACTTGCCCTTGTTGGAACACTGGAACTCATTGGGGGCACACTGTTGGTCCACTGGAGGGGAAGCAGACTGGCGTGAGTGAGGCAGTCAGGTTTGGTGCTGCTATGATTAGTATTGAGTAATATTATGACAGTTTAATCAACAGGGGTGGAAAGCCAAAGAGTGAGTGAGTGAGTGAGTTTAGTTTTACGCCGCACTCAGCAATATTCCAGCTATATGGCGGTGGTCTGTAAATAATCGAGTCTGGACCAGACAATCCAGTGAGCAACAGCATGAGCATCGATCTGCACAATTGGGAACCGATGACATGTGTCAACCAAGCCAGCGAGCCTGACCACCCGATCCCGTTAGTCGCCTCTTACGACAAGCATAGTCGCCTTTTGTGGCAAGCATGGGTTCCTGAAAACCTATTCTACCCTGGATCTTCACGGGTCGGAAAGCCAAAGAGATGCAGATGTTGAACTTTGTGATAAAACATACAAGCCACATTTATTGCTGACAAACCAAAGCTCATTTCCAAAGCAAGATTAGAAACTATACTACTCCAGGTACAGCTACAACCACCTGATTCTTTCACAGTAATTCCTAAATTTAGTTAGTTGTATATGACCACTTGCTCCTGGGACGGCTAGGGGGTGAATCCCTGTACAATAGTGCCTTAGATCACTGGACATTTGAGTACATTTGGATTAACATTGCTTTGAACAGTTTTTCAGCATAAGCCTGATGTTGGAAGATATTCAATACAACTACAGGTGTTAAACAGATCTACCGTTGAAACCAACAAGCACAGGTGAGATGAAACCTGAACACAAGATCAATGGTTTCTGACAAGTTCATGGGATGCAATGCTACACAGCAAAATGTCCACCACCTTGGAGAACTATGTTGTCCTGCAAGCTACCTGCAAGCTATCAAACTGACAAACCAACTTTGGATTTTAAACACGTAAGGAAAAAGGTAAAGTTTATGTACCACAAGACTTGGGTTCATCCGAGTTGTCTCCACAGTCATCATCGTGGTCACAGTAGAAGGCCATGCGAATACAGCGTCCGTTGTCACAGGAGAACTCATCTGCTTCACAGCGAGGGACTGAAACATCAAAGCATGACAGCAAACATTTAAACTTGAACACACATCACATGACGTAACAAGTTTGATAATTTCTAGGATTTCCACAAGAATTCTGATCAATGGTGAACTGTACAAATCTGTCGTATGTAGGACCTGTAACTTACCTTTGCAGTTGGCGGATGTGGACCCCTCGTCGGCACCATTGATGCAGTCTGTGTCGCGATCACACTTCCACGTCTCGGGGATACAACGACCACTGTCACACTGGAATTTGTTGGGATCACAAGTCCGGTTTTCTGAAAAAACATATGTGCATGTTACCAAATAAGTGAAATTCTTCTGAAATCCATTGAAACAGAAGGCAAGGTTCTTAGCCAAAAGAATCAGTTTAAAGTTGATAAGTATTTAAAGGATTTACAAAGGCTTTACCATAAAAGTACCAAATTTGAATTTTCAAGTGAAATTAATTTTTCAAAGCACTGTATATGGAATTAATTGCACTACCATCTTCCAAACTTCTATACAAGCGAACAACTCTGAAAACTTAGAAAGGATTTCGGAATATTCCAAACAAGTTGTAATGAACATGCTACTGACTGCAGAGGGGACCCTCATCACTCTCGTCGGGGCAGTCTGGGTGTCCATCACACTGCCACGTGCTGGGGATACAGGTGGAGTCCTCACACTTGAACTGGTTCTCATCACACAGGTAGGCTGAAACATCATCAGTTAGGCTGACACTAGCTACAATACGTGTAGGTCGCAGTGGCTGACACTAGCTACAATACGTGTAGGTCGCGGTGGCTGACACTAGCTACAATACGTGTAGGTCGCAGTGGCTGACACTAGCTACAATACGTAGTGGCTGACACTAGGTAGGTCGCGATGTGGCTGACTGACTAGCTACAATACGTGTAGGTCGCAGTGGCTGACACTAGCTACAATACGTGTAGGTCGCAGTGGCTGACACTAGCTACAATACGTGTAGGTCGCAGTGGCTGAGTGGGTTCAATCACTGACTTGGTCTGATGGACCCTCACTCTGAGTGTGGGTTCGAATTCCGAAGGGGACTGAACCCAACAAAAGTATTTAGAATCTGTACTTTACTGAGAAAGGATAATCCCAAATATACTGGACAAAAATAATAAGGAATATAAGTAAATTTTGAAAATATGAATAATGATCTTTTTATTCATTGACACACTGATAAAATATCAACAATAAAAATACCAATATCCTAACTTATTTTGTCCAGTATAAAACATGTGTTTATAAAAGGATCTGTCTGAGCTGATTACCCTAGTGGACATTCTCAAGATGTAAGTCTACTCACTGCAGTTCTTTTCATCCGAGTTGTCTCCACAGTCGTTGTCCTTGTCGCAGTGCCACTGGGGAGGGATACAGCTCCCAGACTTGCAGGGGAACGCTCCGTCCGGACATGGGGTGTCTGCTGTGGACAAACAACAACTTTCGGTCAGCTTCATCCATCGCAGTACAAGACCCAATGCTGGAGTCAGTTCGGGGCATCGTCAGTTTGAACAGTATCCTAATCATATACTATTCACACTTTGCTAAGGATCAAATCATGGATTCAACAGAAAACTATGATGTGGGGTCAAATTTGGTTTAAAATTATTGCAAGCATGGATCCTAGGTTTCAGTATGTCATTTTGTCTTGTGGAACCCATATCTGCTGTTGACAAGTGTTGTGTGACTTGTTCCATGATTTGCCAAATTGTTGATTGGTGCCACGAAAACCATTTTTATGGTTACTCATGTATCAAGTGCATAAGGTTAGATTAAAGTGACTGTTTGCCTAAAGAGGGGTTACCATATTATTATTTATCCAGCTTTAAATGGATACAATTTCAAATTATAAGTCTATGTTTAAGTAAAATTGTCAATTTTTGTGATCCTTGTGTGTGAGTAGTATATGACAGCAAGACAGTTTATGTGAGGGGGAAGCAATGATGCAGGAGTCAGATGTTCACCTTCTTGGAAGAATCCACAAGCACATGTACGGTTCCGACTAAACAATGAGCTTTATCAGGGAGAACCAGACTAAAGGTCACAAAGGACATAGCTGGAGGGGAATGAATTCTCTATGGGCCTGTTAACAGAGGATTATCATTCTCCATATAGGCCTGTTAACAGGGGAATTTATTCTCCATATAGGCCTGTTAACAGGGGAATTTATTCTCCATATAGGCCTGTTAACAGGGGAATTTATTCTCCATATAGGCCTGTTAACAGGGGAATTTATTCTCCATATAGGCCTGTTAACAAGGGAATATATTCTCTATGGGTCAGGTGAGTATTTCTAGATATGAGCCTGTAAGAATTCATATAAAGGGTATATGTAAAGGTTTTCTGTTACAGATGTGACTATTTCTCACTACGTTTGCCACAGTCCTCTTCGTCGCTGTTGTCCCAACAATCGTTGCTGCCGTCGCACTTCCAGCTGGGGTAGATGCAGGCCGATGTAGTGTTGCAGGAGACAAGACCCTCCAGGAATTCCCCGTCGATCTCTAGCTCCGAGCATGTCAGGTCTGAAACATACAGGTACACAGCCATGGAGTGAGTGAGTGTAAATCTCGATGTGTATCTGATATAAGACTATCATCAGTTACCTCCCTTCTTCTGTCATTCTCAACCGTAATATTGATGTCAGTTCTATCACTTGTAGTCCATTTATGCTGGTTGTTGTTTATTCTTTTAGCAATATTGAGCTAAATGATTGCTCTCTGTGAACAGTCAACTCTAAACCAGTCAAGTCCTGTGATGGACATCATGAGCATCAATCAGTTGGTATACAACGGCATACCTCTACCAGACTGAGACAGCCTGATCGCCCAATACTTTTTGTTCATCTTTTGACAAGCATGGGTTGATAAAGACTGATTCTAAATCTGATATAGATGGTTTAACTTGTTTTATCTTGCCAAAGAAAAAGAAACTCACTACATCCAATTTCATCGGAGTGGTCTGAGCAGTCGCTGTCCCGATCACACCTGTACTTGCTGCTGATACACCTGCCGTTGGCACACTGGAACTCGTTAACCTTGCAGGGGCACTTGAACTCATCAGACTCATCGTCAGACCCACAGTCTGTGCTGCCGTCGCAGATCTTGTCGATGGTGATACAGCGCCCGGTCTGGTTGCATGTGAAGTAGTCTACTGGACACTGCCTGGTACCCACTACAGACAAACAGACAAAACACAGTTGGTGACAAGCTGTAGATCTCTAGGGGAGTCTACCGGACACTGCCTGGTACCCACTACAGACAAACAGACAAAACACAGTTGGTGACAAGCTGTAGATCTCTAGGGGAGTCTACTGGACACTGCCTGGTACCCACTACAGACAAACAGACAAAACACAGTTGGTGACAAGCTGTAGATCTCTAGGGGAGTATACTGGACACTGCCTGGTACCCACTACAGACAAACAGACAAAACACAGTTGGTGACAAGCTGTAGATCTCTAGGGGAGTCTACTGGACACTGCCTGGTACCCACTACAGACAAACAGACAAAACACAGTCGGTGAGATGCTGTAGATCTCTAGGGGAGTCTACTGGACACTGCCTGGTACCCACTACAGACAAACAGACAAAACACAGTCGGTGAGATGCTGTAGATCTCTAGGGGAGTCTACTGGACACTGCCTGGTCCCCACTACAGACAAACAGACAAAAAACAGTCGGTGACAAGCTGTAGATCTCTAGGGGAGTGGCCTTACACATGGACAAGCTGTAGAACTCTAGGGTAGTCGACTTACACATGGACAAGCTGTAGATCTCTAGGGGAGTGGCCTTACACATGGACAAGCTGTGGACCTCTAGGGGAGTGGCCTTACACATGGACAAGCTGTAGATCTCTAGGGGAGTGGCCTTACACATGGACAAGCTGTAGATCTCTAGGGGAGCGGCCTTACACATGGAGAAGCTGTAGATCTCTAGGGGAGCGGCCTTACACATGGACAAGCTGTAGATCTCTAGGGGAGTGGCCTTACACATGGACAAGCTGTAGATCTCTAGGGGAGTGGCCTTACACATGGACAAGCTGTAGATCTCTAGGGGAGTGGCCTTACACATGGACAAGCTGTAGATCTCTAGGGGAGTGGCCTTACACATGGACAAGCTGTAGATCTCTAGGGGAGTGGCCTTACACTTGGACAAGCTGTAGATCTCTAGGGGAGTCGCCTTACACATGGACAAGCTGTAGATCTCTAGGGGAGTGAAGCCACCTTACACATGGAGAAGCTGTAGATCTCTAAGGGAGTGAAGCCACCTTACACATGGAGAAGCTGTAGATCTCTAAGGGAGTGAAGCCACCTTACACATGGACAAGCTGTAGATCTCTAAGGTAGTGAAGTCACCTTACATCTATCAGGGGAAGTTAAATACAGTGTGAAGTCACTTTCAAGGCGACTTACATAGAGACGTGCATGCATGCTATCTGTGACCTAGAGGAGATATTGAATTGAAGACTGCATTTTAATTATCATAGAGAATTTGCTGCATCATGCCATAGTCATGGCACAGCAATATTTCATCTGTATCAGCGAGATCTGTAAATAATCCACAGTGGAGTGTCACCAACATGAGCACCAGTTCACTCCAGCACATCATGGAGGGCGACAATCACCAAGTCACATGACCCCTGGTTCATTCTGTTGGACAAAGATGGCCTACTGGAGACCATTCCTACCCTGGGACAAGTAGGATAAATACCTCTTCTGTCAGATGTAGTCACTTTATATCACTTAACATTTTACTGGACCATCTTCCAATAGAAGACTGCCAGAAGATGTACTCATGCAAATAGTATTCTAGATTGTGGTACACTGCCAACTACCTTACAGGTTAGCATATACATGAGACTAAAGTGTTGTCCTTTGTTCTGTATCAGTTTGGACCACCTCAGTGTTTCAAGTATGCCAATGAGGTGTAGTATATTCTGAGAGCACTCACCACAAAGAGTTGGGTCCTCATCACTGGCGTCCAGGCAGTCGTTGATGTTGTTGCATGTCTTGCTGATGTCAACACATCTCTTCTTGTCATCACACACAAAGTCATTCAGATCACAACCACTAACAACAGATGCATCTGGAAACAAAGGAAAGTGAGCAAGTGAGTTGGGCAATTCTCGGTATTCCAGTTAGCAGCTCGTGTGGGTGGAGCATCGCATGGTGTTACAAATATATAGAAATATATATGGGTGAGGAGGAGACAGGGGGCAAACCAACAATTATTGCCCAAAGGTTGCAACTAAGCAAATGATTTTGTGGCACCTTAAAAGACTGATCATGATGGATTAGATGAAACCAAACTCTTCCATTTCTATCAATGAAAAAAGTTTTAAGCTCACACATGAAAGAAGATTCCATGGTGGGTATGACGCAGATATACTCATGGAAACAAATAAGGGAAAACATGAAAGTACAAGTGTTCCTTTATTCATTTCAAGATTTTCATGCAGTGTGCAATATAAAGCCTGACAAGAAACCCGGAAAAGAGTATAGGTACACCAGTGCTTTCGTGTGTGTTCCTTTATTTGTTTCCATGAGTATATTACTTTCCACATGTCATTTTGTCCCCAGGAAGTTTGTGTCCATGTCTATATTACACAGGTTACTGTGAGCACTACCTACCAACACATCGCCTCTTGTCCTTCAGGAGAACATGCCCCTCGCGACAGCTGCACAAGGCCAGGCCGTGGACACTTGCAGTGCAGATCTCGTCACAGCCGAACTTGTTGCCATGACAAGGATTAGTGGTACCTGGAGTAGGATATATAATGTGGATGAAGCTGGATTACAGATTTCAGTTAAATATTTCAGGCACTGGGTCAGGGCTCTCTTCCATGAAGGGGTTGTAGCACTCTCATAAATGTATGTGAAAGTATGGGGGCTCTCTAGTCTCTAAACATCACTTTGTGGGCCATGTCCACAGAGGAGTCTTAGTCATAAGTCAGTGTTGAGGTACTGGAGTATGATCTTAGTGTCCTCGGTGTCACCGAGGTCAGCAGATTTACACAAGGCCTGTACATAACTGGACAAACCATGACCTGAGCAAAGATCCATGATTAAAGGGGACAAATACACAAAACAGATCACGCTTTGTGAGTAGCTGTGGCACATACTGTGATCATTGATGTCACACACACACATTTTCTCCATACCACAAACTTGAACAACTATGTCTGCCCATCGCTATTGTTGTAGGACATGCTTACAGTCATTGGTGTCGTTGGTGACGGCGATGATGCCCATCGGCTGCCGCTTGATGCCCTTCCGGAGCCATGTGAGACCCGATCCCGTGTACTTGTTAGCGCGGAGAACAGCACGCAACATCCAGTCGGTCCAGTAGATGAAGTCTCCATACACAGCGATTCCGAAGGAGTGTTGGGGGATCTTGGTCACAATTATCTGTAACAAGATGTCGAACAATCAACTATATGTTGCAGCAAGATGTTATTGTTCCAAGGTGACTTTGTGAACATTACAAAACTTGAACATTTATTTATAATTGCAACAGTCACTGGATGACAAACTAACAACTGAACACACTATCAAAGGTGGAGGCTACCAGGAGCAAGTGTTTTCTTTTCCCGGTGCTTTGATAGATAGACCCAATAACTAGGAGAGATTGATTGTAGAACTATAGTCTCACCACTCGGTTGCTGCCATCAAATTCGCATCTCTCTATCTTGTCCAGTCGGGCATCGGTCCAGTATAGCTTCTGGGCACGGTGGTCCACAGTCAAGCCGTTTGGAGTCCGCACATCCTCCGTGATGATGGACTTGGGTTTGTACCCAGTCAAGTAGGCAGACTGGATGCTCGGCTTCTGGTCATTCCAGTTTGTCCAGAACAATTTGCTACAAATGGAATTAAGAGTGATTTTGTTATGCTGTGCCTTGAGATCTGGGTCATCCATTCTCGGCGAATTTCTAAACTTCTGAACTACCAAGACATCTTGGTTATCTGTCTGCATTAAAAACTTTAGGTATTTAGGAGTTTGAGAATGTGTCATCATGAGATGGTTTTAGGCTGCTTTGTGTCAGCTACATATACAGCATTTTTAGCTGATTATGATACATGTTGTATCAGCACCAAATGATTCTCTCATCCACACTACATGATCAACCATCACTAACAACCAAATATGCCAAACATGAAAGAATGTGACTGACTGACTGACTGAGTTTAGTTTTATGCCGCTTTTAGCAATATTCCAGCAATATCACGGCGGGGGACACCAGAAATGGGCTTAACACATTGTGCCCATGTGGGGAATCGAACCCGGGTCTTCGGGGTGACGAGCCAACGCTTTAACCACTAGGCTACCCCACCGCCCCAGAAAGAATGTGAGAGAACGCTAACATGAGAGAATGTCCCTCCAGTAATCCATGGATGAGTCACATATAAATGCTGGAATGGTACCGACAAACTGAGAAACATCATCATGGCAAAGCTGGGTTGCAAACCAACAATCAGTCTGCTCCAACATGCCTAAAGAAAGAAAATGTAACCAGCAAAGTGTGTTGCCCTCAGACTACATGGCCACCTCTGTTGACAATCATGACAATTTTGCTCTTACTTTTGACAAACATCTATGACGATGGCCCGGGGGTGATCTTCTGAGGTGAGCTGGATGATGACTTTCACCTGTCTTTCTTTGGGAGGCTTACGAAGGTTGATCTTGCTGATGGAGGAGTTTGTGTAGCTAGTCCAGTATAGGTCCCCAGTGTCAGAGTCAAACGCCAGCCCCTCTGCTGCCCCCACTCCTGAAACAGCTTGGAGCTTGTTTTAACTGACAAAAACAGGTCAGAGCTTGTTAAAATCGACAGAAGCAGTCAGAGCTTGTTAAAATCGACAGAAGCAGTCAGAGCTTGTTAAAACTGACAGAAACTGGTCAGTGCTTGTTAAAACCTACAGAAACAGGTCAGAGCTTGTTAAAACCGACAGAAACAGTTCAAAGTTTGTTGAAACCGAAAGAAACAGGTCAGAGCTTATTAAAAAAGACAAAAATGGGTAAAAACTAGTTGCAACCAACAGGAAAAGATCAAAGTTAGTTACCAATAACACAAGTTACACACAAACCTTCAACAAGCACTTTAATGTCGGAACCATTGTAGAAGACAGACTGAATGTCTCCTCTCTGGATGTCGCTGTAGAAGATCCTCTGGGAGGCATGGTCCATGGCCAGTCCAATGACGTTCTTCATGTATGTGGCATTGTGGATAGGCTTTATTGGGGGATTGGGGTCAGGCTTCAGGATAGCATTGGGGTCGGGTTTGTCCTTCATGTGGATGCTCTCGAGTGAAGTCACCTCTGAGAACAGCAGGAACTCGGTGTATTCTGAAACAACAAGAGAGAGGCTTGGGATGTACACGAGCTAGTATTCCCCACAAGTTACAGTTACTAGCATGGTGCGGACAAACCAAGCAAACAATCTGAGTCTGACCAGCCAACCAAATACGGTCACCTTGAACATTCAGCATTGGTTTCTGAGCACCAGTTCTTACCTGGAATGCCCACAAGGGATCCTAAATATGAAACTCAATCCAGATTGCTTGTCTTTTCATTTATGAAACAACCTAGTCAATGTGACCTACCTTCACACCTGCGTCCATCGGAGCTGAGCTTGCCATATGAACAGGCACAACTGGCCTTGGACTCTCCTCGGTACAGGCACAGCTGCTCACAGCCATATTGGTTCCTGCTGCATACATTGGTGCCTGGTAACAGAGATGGGCATGTAGGAATGACGGCTTCCAAGTGAGGGAGGGAGTTTGGTTTAAAGCCGATTTGAATAGTGAGTGAGTGAGTGAAAGTTTATAACTGGAGTAGAGCACAGCAAATTGGGCTCCTTACACAGGACCACCTCTACAGGCTTCAGGAAACAGGTGTAAGACTTAAAAGTTCTCTTTAAGGCTAAGTGTAAGATTTAATAGGACATTCTAACTTAATTTCATTATAATGATGGATCCAACCGTACATCCAAATACACTACCATAATATACCAAAGTCCTCTCACCTCTGGTTCAGTTGCACATTTATCCATCCAGTTACAAGACACAACATTACGTCCTGCATTCTCGTGTGAATACAATACTACAAAGTTACAAATGGTTGCCAAATTTAATGCGCTATGGTCATGTCTTCAAGACAGCTGGGTCATGGTTCCATTCTACAAGAAGGGCGACAGAACTGTTTGGGTGACCGACGACTCACCACTTTGCCTCTGCTTGTCGAACACCTTGATGTCCTTCAGCCTCTGGGGCAGCCCGTGTCGCAGTACCTTCATGTTGCTCCCATCCTTCTTGTTGGCTCGGGCAATTGACCCGGCTTCCATTGTTCTGAAACATCAGTAAGTCACATTGTTATACACAGCCTTAAACAGTATTTCACATTGTTACACACAGCCTTAAACAGTATTTCACATTGTTACACACTGCCTTAAACAGTATTTCACATTGTAACACACAGCCTTAAACAGTATTTCACATTGTTACACACAGTCTTGAACAGTATTTCACATTGTTAGACACAGCCTTGAACAGTAATTCACATTGTAAAACACTGCCTGGAACAGTATTTCACATTGATAAACACTGCCTGGAACAGTATTTCACATTATTTAACACTGCCTGTTAAACACAGCCTGGAACAGTATTTCACATTGATAAACACTGCTTGGAACAGTAATTCACTTCGTTAAACACTGCCTGGAACAGTATTTCACATTATTTAACACTGCCTGTTAAACACAGCCTGGAACAGTATTTCACATTGATAAACACTGCTTGGAACAGTAATTCACTTCGTTAAACACTGCCTGGAACAGTATTTCACATTATTTAACACTGCCTGTGAAACACAGCCTGGAACAGTATTTCACATTGTTAAACACTGCTTGGAACAGTATTTCACATTGTTAAACACTGCTTGGAACAGTATTTCACATTATTTAACATTGCCTGGAACAGTATTTCACATTGTTTAACATTGCTTGGAACAGTATTTCACATTGTTAACAGTGCCTGGAACAGTATTTCACATTGTTCAACGCTGCCTGGAACAGTAATTCATATCGTTAAACACTGCTTGGAACAGTATTTCACATCGTTAAACACTGCTTGGAACAGTACTTCAATCATATCACGGTGTGGCAGTTGGATTTCAGAGGAAAATCAGTCATGCAACTGGTACTTGGCTAGAATTGTTTTTGCAGGACAAATGAGTTTATGTAAAACCTAATCAAAATCGAGTAACGAAATAGACATCTGGATTGTAAACTGCCAGATATTGGTCGCTTACTGGATTTACAAAGCATGTGTACTGTCAATGACAGGTGTTTTCCATATCTCTTTTCATATTTTTTATAAAGGTGTTGAAGTAAGATGATGCACTTCATGAGTTGAGACCAGTATCATTACAATATAGATGAACTTCTACTTTTGATATTATTTCAAAAGTTCCTTGAATATTACTTCACACAAATTCCCTTCAACAAATCAAAGAATTAGTCCCATCAACTTCACACAATACACAGACATGAACAGAAATCTTATTACAGTGGTACAGTATCAACTCCACTCACGAGTCGGCCCAGTAAACGTAATCATCAAAGACGGTGAGAGACATGCAGTCTGTGAGGTTGCGATAAATGATTGTTCGCTTCTTGGACACAATGTCGACACTCTCAATGACATCCAAGTCCTTGTCACACCAGAACAGCAGGTTGGACTTGTAGTCAATGGTCAGACCAAAGGGGGACCTGATGTCTGAGTTGATCCAGTCAATGCGTTCAGACCCGTCCAGGAGAGCTCGAACTATCTTTGGTTTTGCCCCACAGTCTGAGAAGAAGATGTAACTGGAACCGAATTGATTACAACATCATATACAGAGATTTGATAAAACATAGTCTGAACAAGAGCAACTGGATTGAACAATTATTCAAATCTATGAGCTTTATTAGCAAATGTAACTTGAATGTGTCAGATGCAAACATGTTCTATCCAACCTCAAATTGACCTTGACCTTTGATAGACAGGTCACTGCCATTTCATGTGGCAGATGTTGATACAAGCAGCTACAAACTTTCATGTCTGATGAGGTAACCGCGATTTCTAACACACAAGAATAAAACAATGTTTTACCAAAAACCCAAAGCTGACCTTGACCTTGACTCTTTATCAAAACTATTAAAACAAGGGCCTTGCATTTGATTGTTAATCTGGTTAGGATTGATCTTATTACTACTTCCCTAAGGAATTCACTGTTCAATCAGTACTTTTGTTTTGTCATCTGCTATGATGACTAACTCACCCCATAACCGGATGGACCGCAAGGGCCCTCGGTTTCTCCATGTCGCCATGCATGACAACGTAACGATTTGAGCCGTTCAATGAGGACACTTCTACAGTGTCGTGTCCCCTGTCAGTCCAGTAGATGTTGCCAGCGATCCAATCTACAGCTATCCCCTCAATGCCATTGATGCCATCGCTGATGACAGTTTCCCGTCCGGTCAGATCACGCTTGATGCGGGAAATCGTCCGTGAGTTGCTGTCCACCCAGAAGATTGAGTCTGTGTCTGAAGGGAGAGAATTGACAATTTTAACTATAATTGTATATATACATACATATCTTATCTCACAGCTTGTCCATCGTGAGAGATAAGTTAAGTTTAAAAACAGAGTTTTGACAACTTAATGTGTCAGTTGAAGTCTTTATGCTAGTATTAGCACTGATTGGTAATAGACAAAAGGAAGCCATGAGTTTTATTGGTACTCAGATGTTAGAAGCACTGGTTGGTAATGGTCAAGGAAAAGTAGTTTTGCTTACCAGCATGGAAGTCTACTGCAGCAGCCAGAGATATTTTGGAGATTGGTGCCAAAGCCTCGGTCCTGGAGTCGCCCAATGAGAAGCCTCTGATCTCCGACTCGGTGGAATACAACAGGAAGGACATGATGCCCTGACATTTCTCGGCGGTGCTCAGTGTGAAGCCCGCGGTACACTTGCAGATCTTGGACGTCTCCCCAGTCGGCAGGCACATCTGCTCACATCCACCGTTGGATTTATGACAGCCGTTGCTTCCTGATGACAAAAATGCATAAAATTGTGTATAAGTCTTTTTGTTTCCACTCATCAGTTTTTCTGAATAATGGGCAATAATATCCAAAGAAACACTCTGAAAGAGAGAGTCCCGGTGACAGGGCAGGCACATGTTGGTAAAAGAAAATATTTCAAAAGTTTCCATCAATAAATCTCTGTCAGTCCTAACAATGGGAATGAGGCAGTGACAATTTGCAACTGACTTCCACATGTTTTGTACTTGTGGAGGTATAAACATTACAACTGATGTGACATACAGAAATCAGACAAACAGATCAAGCAAACTGTGAAGTTCTAATTCTTGACTTATTTATGTAATAATGGGCTTCATTGTGGTTTTATGCAATTGGGATGTACAAGCCTTAAAACAATGTGCTCAGTTTTACCACTAACACAAAGAAATTAATACTATGAATCAGTGACATCATACACCACAACTATAAAAGGCATGCCCCGCCCCACTTCTTATTAGCCAATCAGGAGACAATAGTCTGGTAAAGAACATAGCTTCATGGGTTTTCTTTACAGCTAACCTATGTCATGGAATCACCTGTAATTAATTTATTATGTAATGTTAAAAATAAAGGGACTCTTAGAGAGCTTAATGTTTTGTACATAGTATTTTTCATCCAGGAACAACAAAAACTTTAAATAAAATAGTAAGTAAGTGAGTTTAGATTTATTCCGCTTTTAGCAATATTCCAGCAATATCACGGCAGGGTACACCAGAAATGGGCTACCTAATTAGAACTTGTTTAAGTGTATAAACAAGATGTTGATAAAAGTTATTTTGGAAAACACAGAAAGCACAAATGAAGGTAAAGTTTGTGGTTACCATCCTTGCGGCTGCTGGGGTCGTACACCTGCATGGCATAGACATGAGGCGTGTTGTCCCTCATTGACAGAATCTGTTTCTTCTTAGTGTCAAACTTGAGGATGTTGCTGGTGTTGGCTACGTAGATAGTGTTGTCGTAGATTGTCATGGAAACTGGAGACTTGATGTCCATGACATCGCGGGTGTATTGTTTCAGATCCGAACCGTCCAGCTCACAGATGTTGACAGTGTTGTTCTGACGGCTGATCCAGTACAGCTTGTTCCCCTTCATGTCCACCGTTAAACCTGGGATACAAATACATAGGGAACCATTAAACCAGCTTGTTCCCTTTCATGTCCACCATCAAACCTGGGATACAAATACACAGGGAACCATTAAACCAGCTTGTTCCCCTTCATGTCCACCGTCAAACCTGGGATACAAATACATGGGGAACCATTAAACCAGCTTGTTCCCCTTCATGTCCACCATCAAACCTGGGATACAAATACACAGGGAACCATTAAACCAGCTTGTTCCCCTTCATGTCCACCGTCAAACCTGGGATACAAATACATGGGGAACCATTAAACCAGCTTGTTCCCCTTCATGTCCACCATCAAACCTGGAATACAAATACACAGGGAACCATTAAACCAGCTTGTTCCCCTTCATGTCCACCGTCAAACCTGGGAAACTTCATGTCCACCATCAAACCTGGGATACAAATACATGGGGACCATTAAACCAGCTTGTTCCCCTTCATGTCCACCGTTAAACCTGGGATACAAATACACAGGGAACCATTAAACCAGCTTGTTCCCCTTCATGTCCACCTGGGCCAAACCTGGGATACAAATACATGGGGAACCATTAAACCAGCTTGTTCCCCTTCATGTCCACCATCAAACCTGGGATACAAATACACAGGGAACCATTAAACCAGCTTGTTCCCCTTCATGTCCACCATCAAACCTGGGATACAAATACATGGGGAACCATTAAACCAGCTTGTTCCCCTTCATGTCCACCATCAAACCTGGAATACAAATACATGGGGAACCATTAAACCAGCTTGTTCCCCTTCATGTCCACCGTCAAACCTGGGATACAAATACACAGGGAACCATTAAACCAGCTTGTTCCCTTTCATGTCCACCATCAAACCTGGGATACAAATACACAGGGAACCATTAAACCAGCTTGTTCCCTTTCATGTCCACCATCAAACCTGGGATACAAATACATGGGGAACCATTAAACCAGCTTGTTCCCTTTCATGTCCACCATCAAACCTGGGATTAGCTTGTTCCCCTTCATGTCCACACAAACCTGGGATACAAATACACAGGGAACCATTAAACCAGCTTGTTCCCTTCATGTCCACCATCAAACCTGGGATACAGATACAAACCTGGGTCATCACAAATACATGGGGAACCATTAAACCAGCTTGTTCCTTTCATGTCCACCATCAAACCTGGGATACAAATATGGGACACCATTAAACCATGCTTGTTCCCTTTCATGTCCACCATCAAACCTGGGATACAAATACATGATCATGTGTGTATGATCACATCCATCACATCTCTGTTACGTTATCACTTATAAGAGTCCCCTCCAAGGCAGAACCTTCCACCACAAGTAACGACTAAGCACTAATTAGCAGACACCTTTCTTCATGACAGAAACAGACCAATCAGCATGTGTCTGTGAGGATTTCTCCCATATTCCAAACAAAACATTACTTTTGGCACTTGAAATGTCTTCAATGAATCTACAAGATGCCACTCACTTGTTGGATGTCTGGCATCCTGGATGATGACTTGAGCATTGCTGCCATCCATGTTGGCCTTCATGATGCGGTGTTTGTCCCCGCCCAAATCGGACCAGAACATCAATCTGGAGCAGCAACAGTCACACATTACAAAGCCTGCAGAAGGATGCTATTGTCTCCTGACCGATTTGTTATATGGATCCCTCCATTACAGTCCCCACCAACCACCTATCGATCTGTAATATGGATCCCTCTATTAGTCCCCACCACCTACCGATCTGTAATATGGATCCTTCTATTACAGTCCCCAACACCTACCGATCTGTAATATGGATCCCTCTATTACAGTCCCCACCACCTACCGATCTGTAATATGGATCCCTCCATTACAGTCCCCACCACCTACCGATCTGTAATATGGATCCCTCCATTACAGTCCCCACCACCTTGATCTGTAATATGGATCCCCATTACAGTCCCCACCACCTACCGATCTGTAATATGGATCCCTCTATTACAGTCCCCACCACCTACCGATCTGTAATATGGATCCTTCTATTACAGTCCCCACCACCTACCGATCTGTAATATGGATCCCTCCATTACAGTCCCCACCACCTACCGATCTGTAATATGGATCCTTCTATTACAGTCCCCACCACCTACCGATCTGTAATATGGATCCCTCTATTAGTCCCCACCACCTACCGATCTGTAATATGGATCCCTCCATTACCGACAGATCCCTCCATTACAGTCCCCACCACCTACCGATCTGTAATATGGATCCCTCTATTACAGTCCCCACCACCTACCGATCTGTAATATGGATCCCTCCATTACAGTCCCCACCACCTACCGATCTGTAATATGGATCCCTCTATTACAGTCCCCACCACCCTACCGATCTGTAATATGGATCCCTCCATTACAGTCCCCACCAGTCCCCCCACCTACCGATCTGTAATATGGATCCCTCCATTACAGTCCCCACCACCTACCGATCTGTAATATGGATCCTCTATTACAGTCCCCACCACCTACCGACTGTAATATGGATTTACAGTCCCCACCACCTACCGATGGATGGATCCCTCCATTACAGTCCCCACCACCTACCGATCTGTAATATGGATCCCTCTATTACAGTCCCCACCACCTATCGATCTGTAATATGGATCCCTCCATTACAGTCCCCACCACCTACCGATCTGTAATATGGATCCCTCCATTAGTCCCCACCACCTACCGATCTGTAATATGGATCCCTCCATTACAGTCCCCACCACCTACCGATCTGTAATATGGATCCCTCCATTACAGTCCCCAACACCTATCGATCTGTAATATGGATCCCTCTATTACAGTCCCCACCACCTACCGATCTGTAATATGGATCCTTCTATTACAGTCCCCACCACCTACCGATCTGTAATATGGATCCCTCCATTACAGTCCCCACCACCTACCGATCTGTAATATGGATCCCTCTATTAGTCCCCACCACCTACCGATCTGTAATATGGATCCTTCTATTACAGTCCCCAACACCTACCGATCTGTAATATGGATCCCTCCATTACAGTCCCCACCACCTACCGATCTGTAATATGGATCCCTCCATTACAGTCCCCACCACATACCAATCTATAACATCGTCTCCAACCCCGACTAATCCCTAACGTCACCCCTGTCCCCCACCACACCAATCTGGAATGTCATCCCCTACCAATCCATGTTGCACCAGTTCCCACCCCTACCAATCTGTAACATCACCCCTGTCCCCTACTAATCTGTGACATCACACTCCCCACATCTGTGATAACACCACACCACACACACCACACCACACCCACACCCACCTCACCACACCACACCACCACACCCACACCACCACACCACACCACACCACACCACACCACACCACACACACCACCACACCACACCAACTACACCACACCACACCACACAGGACAAAACTTCCATAGTTACTGACCCTTTCTGGGGATGGACAGCGATGGAGTTTGGTCTTAACAGGTTGGCACTGGCTGTTGCTACAGCGCTGACAATCTCTATGCGGTAGGCGCCATCCAGTTTGGCCACAGATATAGAGGCCTTCTGGTCGTCATATGATGAGAAGTACATGTTTCTGGACAACCAGTCTATCGCAAATCCCTCAGGGTTAGATATTCCTGAAACAGAAACATCATGGTACAGACAATCAGCAAGAATAGCAGGGTGAAACTGGTTCATGGTATATAGGGATGGTCAGTGGAGTGAAACTGGTTCATGGTATATAGGGATGGTCTGTGGAGTGAAACTGGTTCATGGTATATAGGGATGGTCAGTGGAGTGAAACTGGTTCATGGTATATGGTATATAGTGGATGGTCAGTGGAGTGGAGTGAAACTGGTTCATGGTATATAGGGATGGTCAGTGGAGTGAAACTGGTTCATGGTATATAGGGATATATAGGGATGGTCAGTGGAGTGAAACTGGTTCATGGTATATAGGGATGGTCAGTGGAGTGAAACTGGTTTATGGTATATAGGGATGGTCAGTGGAGTGAAACTGGTTCATGGTATATAGGGATGGTCAGTGGAGTGGTTCATGGTATATAGGGATGGTCAGTGGAGTGAAACTGGTTCATGGTATATAGGGATGGTCAGTGGAGTGAAACTGGTTCATGGTATATAGGGATGGTCAGTGGAGTGAAACTGGTTCATGGTATATAGGGATGGTCAGTGGAGTGAAATGGTTCAGTGGAGTGAAACTGGTTTATGGTATATAGGGATGGTCAGTGGAGTGAAACTGGTTCATGGTATATAGGGATGGTCAGTGGAGTGAAACTGGTTCATGGTATATAGGGATGGTCAGTGGAGTGAAACTGGTTCATGGTATATAGGGATGGTCAGTGGAGTGAAACTGGTTCATGGTATATAGGGATGGTCAGTGGAGTGAAACTGGTTCATGGTATATAGGGATGGTCAGTGGAGTGAAACTGGTTTATGGTATATAGGGATGGTCAGTGGAGTGAAACTGGTTCATGGTATATAGGGATGGTCAGTGGAGTGAAAACTGGTTATAGGGATGGTATATAGGGATAGGGATGGTCAGTGGAGTGAAACTGGTTCATGGTATATAGGGATGGTCAGTGGAGTGAAACTGGTTCATGGTATATAGGGATGGTCAGTGGAGTGAAACTGGTTCATGGTATATAGGGATGGTCAGTGGAGTGGTTCATGGTATATAGGGATGGTCTGTGGAGTGAAACTGGTTCATGGTATATAGGGATGGTCAGTGGAGTGAAACTGGTTCATGGTATATAGGGATGGTCAGTGGAGTGAAACTGGTTCATGGTATATAGGGATGGTCAGTGGAGTGAAACTGGTAAACATACAATTGTGAACAGAATAAACACTCTAGGAGATAGAGTGAGTATGATTTTATGTCACTTTTATAAATATTCCAGCAACATCACGGCGGGGGACACCAGAAATGGGCTTCACACATTGTACCCATGTGGGACATCAAACCAGGGTCTTTGGGGTAATGAGCGGATGCTTTAACCACAAGGCTACCCCACCGCTCTGTGAAGATAGAGATCTGCTCAACTTTAACCCAGATCTTCATGGGTGACCGCAGGATGACAGCTATGTCATAGTAGACACTGAAGTCTGGATCAGAGACAAACCTGTCAGTTGATATGCACTATTTACACTGATGAGGTATGAATACACATCACTGTCCAGTCACTGAGTCTGACCATTTGATCCAAGTTAGTTTACAGTCTAATGATAGTGAAGCAGTGATTGAAACCGCTGTATATATTTCCTCAACATACTTCAGCAAACGTCTTCATCGGTCGGTGTGGTCAGAGTGACACCCTACCTGAGTCTATGATAGTTTCAATTCCAGTTCCATTGATGAAAGCGTGCTGCGGATAACATTGCGTTTCTTGTCTGTCCAGTATAGTTTGTCCTCGGAGCTGTCATAGTCGATGGCAGTGGCGTTCTCCACGAAGGGTACGGTGATGGAGGGGATGACGTTGTAATGGGCATTGTTCAGGTCAACTCCACGGATCTCATTCTCTTTCACAAACAACAGGAACTTGTTGTCGGCTGTAAGCAGAGGTTAAGTGATTATGCAGCTGTCACGGCGATATCATAGTGTATTGGATCTGAGACCACACAAACCAATACATCATGGTGTACTGGATCTGAGACCATACAAACCAATACATCATAAAACACAAGACTGACTGCCTGACTGACTGAGTTTTGGTTTTACGCCGCTTTTAGCAATATTCCAGCAACATCACGGCGGGGGACACCAGAAATGGGCTTCAAACATTGTACCCATGTGGGGATTCGAACCCGGGTGTTCGGCGTGACGAGCCAACGTTATAACCATTAGGCTACCCCACCGGCCCGTAAAACACAAGACAATCAGAACAGTCAACAATCCTTACATAAATCAAATGTACCAAATTAAACTCAAATGCACTCAATTTTCATTCGCACAGGAAGTTAGACCATTAATGTGACCTTGACCTTGACGAGGATACTGAATTTGCCACATGGTCAGTTTGTGACCGCGACAAGTCTACGTACCAATACATGTCTTCATGTTTTCCTTCAGTCCTGACTCATGCTCTTTTGCTTGTCTTCTTCTTCTTGCGAACATAGTGGAACACTTGTATCTCCTTATTTGAAGCTCCCTTCAAAATAAAATCACTAATTGGTACTCACCACGAGTTGCTCCCCTTTGTCTCCCCTGGCGGGAAAGGTGTCGCCACCCTCTGGCCATGTGCTCCACTCTCTCCTGATTTAGCGAGCCCAACACTTGAATTTACAGGGAAATCCAAAGTGTTATGTGGGGAGGATGGGAGGGCTAACCTCATGAGTCAGGATAAGTATAAAATATCAATTTTACTCTAAAATTACATATTTTTCCTTATCCTGACTCATGCTCTTTGCTTGTAGCATCCTACGGGCGGAGGTGGGTAACAGAATACTTTGGATTTATAATTAGTGATTTTGTATAGATATACTGTAATATCCCCTGGGGGAACTTCATGAAGGCTTAGATTTAGGATGTTTCCTGTATAAAGAAAACCATAGGTTATATAAAGCCATTAAAGGGAATTACATTATGAATATATTGAACAATACATATAAATTATATATATATATATAGGTGACTCTGATAGAGGCACTGAAATTGACTATACCAAAGTATATGCTTAAGGTTGAATACTTAAGCTGAACATATATACATAGCCCTAAAACTCCGTTAGAGTTATAAGCTAGATGAGTATGTATAAAATACATATTAATCTTGTGAGGATAATATTTTAAGCCTCTGAGGGACTGTCAGTTGCTGGCGAGGACCAGTGGTCGAAATGGTGAATGCCAGAGACATCTTCTGTAGTGATGTCTCTCAGGTAGTGATTAGCAAATACCATGTTAGATTTCCAATAGCATCCTTCCATAATGTCGTGTTCAAGGAACAGTTACGTGTAGAGGAGAGGGTAGAGGCCAGTGCCCTGATCTCATGTGGATTTGATGCTGTTGGTGGGTCCAAGCCTGCTGCCTTGTAGGCCTGAGGAGAATGACAGTCCTTATCCAAATAGATATTGTGGTCCGTGACACTTCTGTTTGATTAAGTGGCGATAAGGGGATGAATAAGCGTTTGAGAAATCTTCTCCTTGTTTTGGATGCGTCGTAGTAAATAAACTTTGGCTCTTACGGACACAGTGATAGGTCTTGTGTATCTTGTGATCGAGAATAGAGGATAAGCGCCGGGATGTGGAATAATCTGTCTGGTTGACCTGGCAGTTGATTTTTCGCGATGAAATCCCATCTTAATCGAGTGCGCTGTGTTATGATTGTCATCAAACTGTATCCTCTCGTAATCCAGGCGTGAATTTCAGACATTCTTGCTGCTGTGGCTAGCGATAGCAGAAACAGTGTTTTCTGTGAGAGAAATTCAAAGTTTGTCGATTCAAAGGTTCATAGACCTCACTTTCGTGAGGTGTTGTAACACTACATTCAGATCCCAAGCTGGAAGTGGAACTTCGCTTTTGGTCCTCAATCGGAAGCTTCGTAGTAAGGCCAGTAACTCTGGAGATCTTGTCAATTTGACACCCGTTCTCATGGTGATTACAGAACTAAAGCGGCAAGATATGTTGATATCGTTGAACCTTTTAAATGTTTGTTTTTGGTAGGTAACACAAATAGTCTGCCACTTGAGGTTGTGAAGCCTCTCTTGCTGTAAACCCTTTCTTTGTTGCATAATTTTGAAACTGTGCCACTTGTCGTCGTACAAGTTCACGAGTTGAGTAGCGTAAAGGCAAAGCGTGACTGCTTTTGCGCCCTGGCAGAATATCCTCTCTTGTTTAAACACATTTGTATACAGTCCATACGTGTAGTTGGAACATTGCTGGGTTTCCGTGCACTTGTTTGGTGTGAGGATGAATTAACAGGTTTTTGGCGGCAGGTAGCTCCAGTGTTGGTTGACCGATTTCTTGAATTAGTATGGGAAACCACGTTCTGGCCGACCAGTAGAGTAGCGACCAAAGTGAGTTGTAGGCTCTGTGTTTGTCTGATTTTCTGTAATACTTGAGGTATTATTGCTGGGCGGAAGCAGCGATGCGCATTGAGGCCTTCCATGATAGACTTAAATCCGTTGCCCAAGCTTGGGGGTCTGGGACTGGTGACACGAATGTCGGTAGCTGATTGTTGAATCGGCGTGGCGAATAGGTCTATTAGCGGCTCCTAATTGCTTGATTATCTGTGCAAAAATTTCCCTGTTGATCATCCACTCTGTCGGTGATGGTAGATGAGGCCGAGAGAGGCGTCTGCTAGTATATTTCTGGCTCGGGAATGTGCACTGCTCTGACATGTAGATTTAGATCTTGTATTAAATCGAACAGTTGAAAGCTTAGGTTCAAAAGGTTCATCGATCTCGTTGAGCCTTGCTTGTTTATGTAGAAGCGCCACTGTCGAATTGTCTGTATGGATCATTAGTAGCATTTTGTAGAAATGTGCTCCAATGTAGAATGGCGTTGATTACAGCTTTCATTTCTAGACTGTTTATATGGGTTTGCATTCTTGCTGATTCCATAACCCTGATATCGTGTGTGGTTGGTGAGATGAGCTCCCCAACCTTGGGTAACAGCGTCTACATACAGATGGGTTTTGTATTCCTGCTCTGCTAAACAAATCCTTTCGCAGACATTCGATTTCTTGGTCCACCATAGTAGATGCGGTCTGAGATGTTTGGTAGACTGAATGGTTGTACATCGTTGAGATGTCGTTGATGAGACCTGTAGGGGGCGTAACTGTAATCTGCCTGTGACAGTCATGTCTTGGGCTGATGTGAGAAGACCTAGTAGGCTCTGCCATTGTCGCGAGTGGTAGCGGAGAGTAGAGCTGGTGGAATGGTCTGCTGTATCTTGAATAGCGGTCTTCTGGTACCATAATACGGTTTGCGATTTGTGATGAATCGAATACCTAGGAACTGCAGGTCTTGCGATGGTACTAGGTCCGACTTGCGTAAGTTTACTAACCAACCTAGTTGTGTTAGTAGCTTTATGATGTAATTTAACTGTAGTTTGAGGCGCAGTGGATCTTGATCTACTTGTATCCCGTCGTCGAGGTAAAGCGCACTCGTAGCCCTTGGCGATGTAGAAATTTGATAATCGGTTTCGTTATCCTCGTGAATAGCCAGGGGCTGATGATATTCGAATGGGAGTACTTTCCACTGGTAATGTAGCCCTTCTAGAGTAAATCGTAGGTATTTCCTGGAATCGGGATGAATGGGGATGTGCAGGTAGGCATCCTGTAGATCTATGCTGCCCATGTAGTCCATAGGGCCGAATCATCTGGCGTAACTGAGGTAAATGTATCATCTTGCGAAACCCGATTGGTTTGCGTAGATAGTTCTTGTTGAAAAAGCTCATGTTGTAGATGAGTCTGTATTTCTCCGTGGAGTTTTCTTGGGAACTAGGAAAACTGGGGAGTAGAAACCTGGTTCGGCGTTTGCTTGATCTATTACTTCTATGGCCTGTTTGGATAGGAGTGATGAAACAGCCTCTCTTATCTTTGGTAGTTGTTAGCTTGTAAATGTCGAACTTGGGGGTTTGATTGTCAGCGGGAGCTTAGCCTGTAGGGATCTGAAATCCGTGTTGAAGAATGTTGGAGGCGTAAGGGTCTTGCAATATTCCCCAGTTTTCCCAGTGTAGTTGGGCGTCCACCCACTTGAGCTGGCTGTACTGGAGCGGCTGGGGTGGAAGACTCCAGTCGTTCGAACCTGTGTTTCAGCGTCTATAATTGCGGGAACCTCTGGGTGTCCTGCCTCTTCCTGATCCTCCTCTATAGTTGCCATATGGGTGACGAAAGAATCTTTACCTCTAGAGCTGGCTATCTTCCTGTCTCTTGCTCTTTGTAGGCCCGTGAACTTAGATCTGCCTGAGTATCTTTGTGAAGTCTGGCGAATGGCGCTGGCTAGTGTGTCCATCGATCTAATCATAAGGACTTCCCTGGAATCCTTAGAGACTTCCTTGGCGACTTTGTCGATTTCTCCGTCAAAGATGGATGTTGTCGACCGCGGGGCTGTATAAAGTGGGGCTGTAAAGTTCTCCCCAATTACAGGAGGCGAGGAGGCCTTGGCGGCGAGCTAAGGTCAATGCTGCTGAAACAGATGTAAGATGATCCGTTAAAACTGCTGATCTTTCTTTTGCATAAGTAAGGCAGAATAAATCATTCTATCATCTTCCGTCGTGGAATCCGAATCTAGTAATAAGAGTCTCATTGATCGTCCTAGATCTATTTAACCCAAAGAACATCGTCTCGTCATGGTTTCTATATGAGCCAACTTGCGATCATCCATCTTGTAAATCTTGTTCTTTACATGGCTGATGATCTTATAGTTCTCATCGATGTCCTGGGCCTTGTAGAAGGAGTCCATGTTATCGTGGAGAACTTCTTGGCTTGAAAGTTGGGCAGATGTGGTATCTGAACTTTCGTAGCTTTCTGGAAAGCTGCATCTAGATTCTGTGGCACTGCATAATCGGGTCGTCGGGGTAGAGTGATTGCATCTGGATCATCTTCCTTCATCAAATCGTCGCTGGCTGTATTGCCACTTTTAGATGGTGATGTGAGATCTAGGTTATTGACCATCCAATACCGTATCTCTGCATCAGAAAATATGATTCCTCCATCATCCTCAAAACCATCATCATTAACAAATTGTAGATGCTCGCCGGGACTGCGTGTAGCTGTCTGTATATCTGATGAGGTTTGTGGCGATCTAGTTGACTTGTCGCGCGCTCTATGTGGAGATCTGGCCGGGTGTCGACCTGGTGATGAGCGAAGTGGAGATCGTCTATGGGATGATCTTTCGGAGACTTGTGAGGTGAATGTTGATAGCCAGCGAAGCTCTTGGCAGTCCCTCGATGTTCTTCTAGATGATGAGGATCTGGAATCATATGTCCTTAGCGAATGCCTTAGCGAAGCTTCATTGCGTCGGTCGGAGGATCGATGATATGACCTTAGCGAAGGCCTCCGTGATGTCTGATGGTCTGAGTCCATATCTAGAGATGAAATCGAAGATGGTGATGATCTCTCCGCTTAGCGAAGCCGCCAGCGAAGGCTGTACATCTAGGTCGCCGTCAAGGTGGTGCGGGACTTCGCCAGCGAAGGTGACATCGTCTTGGCTGCTTCGTTGGCCGGGGGTGCCTCTGGGGTGCTGTCACGTTGGAGCCTTCAGCGAAGGCTCGGACCCTGCTTGCGCGGTTTGTAGTGGTCCTCCATGATGTTCATAATCTGCGCATCATGTCTTCTGGGATGATCTGTGGCGAAGTCGTCGGCGTCTTTTCTGCGATGGGGTTCACATCAATGGCGTCTGGCGTCGGTGTAGAGCATCAGGCTGCATGGTGATCTCTGCAGAAGTCACAGTCGCTGACACGGTCGCTTCTTCTGCCGTAAAGTCGGGGATGATTATCGGCTGATCATCGTAGAGGCCCAATTCTGCTGCTGGAGCGATCTCGGCTGAAAGTTCTTGCTGTCTTCGTGGAATTTCCCTTTGGAAGTCTGCGCTGCCCTGGAGTGTCCTCAATCTGCGTTGAGGCGGCGATGAGGCCCTCTTAGACTTGGTCTGCAATGGCGGGATGTCTGGGGAGGCGGTCGTTTCTTCGAGTAGCGGACTGCGTCCCGTTCCTCTACGCAGGGGTCTCTAGCAGAACACCAGGCGGGAGAGGGTCGATCGCTAGCAGCTGACTGGATGGAATATCTGGACTCTCTGCCATGTTTTGCCCTTGTTTGCGTGATCTATCTGCATGCGTCTTAAAGGCATAAAGATGATATTTATTAAATGCAGAATGAGATAAATTAATGCAGTAACTGCAGCGTGAATTAAGCATACGCAGTAGAACAACTAGGGCATATTACATGTGGATGGGAGGCAGAAAAGCGTAATCTACAAATCGTACAGATTTTCATCAGCGTAAAGCTAGCTGAACAATCGCGAATACTGCGTGAATAAACAGTAGAAATCACGATAATTAATCAATACAAATAGTAAAGGATACTAGCTATACCTCTATAGTAACCTATGAGGGTAAAACTAAGAGATTATCAAAGGATATGGTGTGTAAGGAGACACAAAGGCTCTCACATCCTGCTCACTGGTGAAGAAGGAGAGTGGAGCACATGGCCAGAGGGTGGCGACACCTTTCCGCCAGGGGAGACAAAGGGAGCAACTTCGTGGTGAGTACCAATTAGTGATTTTATTTTGAAGGGGCTTCAAATAAGGAGATACAAGTGTTCCACTATGTTGCAAGAAGAAGAAGACAAGCAAAGAGCATGAGTCAGGATAAGGAAAAAGACGCTGCACCTGGTGGTTGCCGCTTAGGGTGGAACACCTGCAGATCAAAGGGCTGCGTAAATGTTCTCTGAATCGTCAGGACATCAGAACCATTGAATTTGTTGGCCTGGGAACAGACAGTTGAAATGCAGCCTGAATACAAAACCTCCTGGATTTGCATATCCTCCTGGATTTGCATATCAAATTTATTCACAATTATTGGAACCCTGTCATGATTACTGTAATAGAACCTGCATCAAATGCTGTATACACCTGTGCAACACCTCTCACCAACCTCATCCTAAAGCAATCCCAAATGTCATCCTATTTTAAGATGTAACCTGCCTAAACTAACCTATCAACACACCCACCCTGGCCCCAGACATCACGAATACCACCCACCCCGCTCCCATCCCCTAACCATTACACTCCTGTACCTTCTACCCCTAGTGGAACCTACCCTTCTCCAGTCCCTGCCCTGTAGCCCTGGAACCAACTCCTCTCCCCATCCCTAGCACCTTTCACCCCACTATAACCAGACCCGAACCCAGCAACCCTTGACCAGTCCCTGCCCTGTAGCCCTGGAACCAACTCCTCTCCCCATCCCTAGCCCTTTCACCCCACTATAACCAGACCCGAACCCAGCAACCCTTGACCAGTCCCTGCCTTGTAGCCCTGGAACCAACTCCTCTCCCCATCCCTAGCCCTTTCACCTATAACCAGACCCGAACCCAGCAACCCTTGACCAGTCCCTGCCCTGTAGCCCTGGAACCAACTCCTCTCCCCATCCCTAGCCCTTTCACCCCACTATAACCAGACCCGAACCCAGCAACCCTTGACCAGTCCCTGCCTTGTAGCCCTGGAACCAACTCCTCTCCCCATCCCTAGCCCTTTCACCCCACTATAACCAGACCCAAACCCAGCAACCCTTGACCAGTCCCTGCCTTGTAGCCCTGGAACCAACTCCTCTCCCCATCCCTAGCCCTTTCACCTATAACCAGACCCGAACCCAGCAACCCTTGACCAGTCCCTGCCATGTAGCCGTGGAACCAACTCCTCTCCCCATCCCTAGCCCTTTCACCCCACTATAACCAGACCCAAACCAAGCAACCCTTGACCAATCCCTGACAGGGCACCTACCCTGACAAGTGAGTTGGTTCTCCAGTCTGTCCAGTACACATAGTGCTCGAAGAGAGTGAGGGCAAACGGATGGGCCAGGGCGTCGTGATTGTGCACAACAAGATGGTGGTCCAGGCCGTCATACGTGCTGGTGTGGACTGAGTCAGACCTGAAGGAGGACAAACATGAATCACAGGGAGACAAGAAAGAGGTCTTGTGACAAAAAACAACACGAGAAATACTTTAAAAATATTTGTGGCTCATATTTTAGAGAGAAATACTTGGTCATGGTGCTGATACTTGAAGGACAGCCATTGGGATGGTGTTTTTAGCCCGTCACCACCAGATCCTGGTGAGAGCAAGGGACACAACTCTGCACAAGTAAGTGCTAAGCACTGGTTTGCTGTACACTGTAGTCATGACTTAGTTCTGCAAGCATCAGACATTACCAAGCTTCAGGATTGAGGGAAAGGTGGTACTTTATTCAGGTATACAAAGTACTCAGTGTGTTACACAGATACTAACATCTTATTTTGAGAAGAAAATCTGGGAAATTATTCACGTAAATGTCCATTTATTTCAACTTGAAACAATGCTGAGTGAGTTTCATGGCAATGTCTGATATTATTTGTATGAAAACATTATATCCCTATCACTGTTGAGTAGTATGTTTTAAACATGGTAGTGTTCCTTGCTGACCTTGCATCAGCCCAGTAGAGTCGTCTAGCTTCGTAGTCGATGGTGAGACCGTTAGGCCACCCTCCACCCTGGATCCTGGTGATGTCGTACACGACCTTTCGGTGTTCCCCACTCATAGAGCAACTCTCAATACGAGGCTTAGTTCCATCCCAGTCCGTCCAGAACAACAATCTGCAAACACAGGGAACGATGACAAGGTTCAGTGAATATACAATTAGATGTGTTCAGAATTTCTTATATTCTCTGTAATAACCTGCTTAGGTGTCAGTAGTTGGTTCATAACATCTGGATGACAGATTAACTCAAGAAAGATAAAAGTGGTCCCTAACTTCTTTTGAGCTGTATATTGTACATTCACAGACTAGGAATATTTGTTCCATAACCTCCTGCCAACATGAAGCTTAACACTAACCTAAACATCCCCCTCACCAGAGCCTTGGCTAACACCGTAACACATAGTTCAGACATAAATTGCCAGTCTAGGTAAGATAAAGGACTTTCCAAGATATAGAAATCCTTCAAGACTTTTAAAGAGGGACTCCTCACCCGTCTCTGGGGTCGAGGACGATGGCACGAGGGCTGATCATATTGCCTGCCACAAGAGTGGAGCGGTTGCTGCCATCCAGCTGGGCCACCTCAATCTGGTCAAGGTTGCTCTCCACCCAGTAGATGTTGCCCGCAATCCAGTCAATGGCCAACCCTTCTGTTGTGGCAAGACCCACGTCAATGATAGGCTTGATGTCTGTGATTGCTGCAAACACATTGGAACTGTAAGTTTCTCACCACATGTGATTTGTAATTTAAATAAGAAACTATTACAAAGATTCAATGTTAAATGACAAATATAGATACTGAGAACAAGTACCTCTTTGCTAGTCTAAAGTCTAAAATACTACATCTATTGTCAATGCTGCTTGTAGTCAGAAATATAACAGCATTTATATAAGCCTGCATGAAGACAGCTATATTTAAGTTGTCATGGTGATCTGTAGTCAGCAATGCTGTTGCTATATGATGGCTGACTGGAAACAGCAATATTACAGCCAACACCAGCCACGCATTTTCAAGTCTGGACAAGACAGAACCATGCATCCCTAGGATGAGCATTAACACACACTGAAGGACAATAAACTTGAATAGTCCCTTCTAAAAGTCCTGACCACCCCATCAGCAGCCACTGTGCCAACTACCCACCCCCACTACAATACAATATCCATCCTAATCACGTCCTACAGAACTACTTTAAAACCCTTAGAACCAGGGCCTCGATTTTCGAAGCTCTCTTGCGCTAAGATAGTCTTAAGTATCATACATTAACATTAACTTACGACTATCGTAGCGCAAAGAGAGTTTAAAAAATCTAGGCCCAGGTGCTTACATTGTACAAGCTATCCTATAGTGCACTGTGCTGCACAACATTCTTCAAAGGCTGTCTTGCATATGAGATGATGTGATACTGATCCTAACTATGAGATCTACGATGAGTCCTACAACAATCACTAAAGGCTAGAAGAGCTGACAGAGATTGTACAGGATATACTTTAGTCAAGGTTATGAGAACAAGTCCTCTCTTCTACACTCATGCTGACTGTTAAACAGAAGGGCATTCTGAAAGAAATTAATTTACTGCTGAAACAAAGATTAGAAACATCAACTTGAAATAATGATTGAGCAGAATATGCTATAAGTTGGAGAGTTCTACTGTCTAGTTACATCATTCAGATTAGTTATCATGCAAGAACAACCTGATGAAGTGTATCACAATAACAAACATAATAATGATATGTTTAACATATCTAGGATGCAAGAATTATGAAAAATCTGATTGCATGGTATCTTATGTAGAGATTGTTACCAACACCAGAGGTTGAGGACATTTAAGCTGGATGATCCATTGACAGATGGGGCAATCACTGACCAAGACACCTGGTAGCTCCCAGAAGGTTGACAAGCCACACGAGTGGTTGTGGACATTGAAGGTTAATGATATGTGGATCGGAGGTGAAGGGTTGATGGGGTCAACACCAGGATGGTTGTGGACATTGAAGGTTAATGATATGTGGATCGGAGGTGAAGGGTTGATGGGGTCAACACCAGGAAGGTTGACTAACCACACCAGAGGTTGCGGACATTAAAGGTCAATGATACGTGGATCGAAGGTAAGGGGATCAATGGGGATGGCACCAGGAAGATTGACTAGTCGCACCAGTGTTGGAAAGAGGTCCACAAGAGGGCCAAAGGATTCGGCATTCCTTGGACGCAAAAGGTGGATGTTCCTCGTCCCAGAAGGTTGAAGCCTTGAGGAAGATGGTTGGTCAGGGAATAAGTGGTGCAATGAACCTGATTGGTGGCTCTTCAACACAGCGGTGAGTATGACATGTACACTTGAAGGTGTCAAGACCCAGAACATCAATACTTGGAGTAGGTTTTACTGGAAGGTGTAAGGACCCAGAACATCAATACTTGGAGTAGGTTTTACTTGAAGGTGTCAAGACCCAGAACATCAATACTTGGAGTAGGTTTTACTTGAAGGTGTCAAGACCCAGAACATCAATACTTGGAGTAGGTTTTACTTGACGGCATCAAGACCCAGAACATCAATACTTGGAGTAGGTTTTACTTGACAGACTGAGTTAGTTTTACTTTGAGACCCAGAACATCAATACTTGGAGTAGGTTTTATTCCAGCAATATCAAGACCCAGAACATCAATACTTGGAGTAGGTTTTACTTGAAGGTGTCAAGACCCAGAACATCAATACTTAGAGTAGGTTTTACTTGAAGGTGTAAAGACCCAGAACATCAATACTTGGAGTAGGTTTTACTTGAAGGTGTAAGGACCCAGAACATCAATACTTGGAGTAGGTTTTACTTGAAGGCATCAAGACCCAGAACATCAATACTTGGAGTAGGTTTTACTTGAAGGTGTCAAGACCCAGAACATCAATACTTGGAGTAGGTTTTACTTGACGGCATCAAGACCCAGAACATCAATACTTGGAGTAGGTTTTACTTGAAGGTGTAAGGGCCCAGAACATCAATACTTGGAGTAGGTTTTACTTGACGGCATCAAGACCCAGAACATCAATACTTGGAGTAGGTTTTACTGGAAGGTGTAAGGACCCAGAACATCAATACTTGGAGTAGGTTTTACTTGAAGGTGTAAGGACCAAGAACACCCAAATCTGGGCTAGGCAAACTTGGATGAGGCAGGACTCAGAACATCTAGACGAGGGGTTGGGTAGATTTGAAGGAATCAAGACACAGAACATTACAAAGAGATTGGGTTCATGTAAGGGTGGCAAGCCCCTCAACATCTCATAGGTGGTATCTCACCACCAAAAGTTGGTTATGGCAAACACAAACTTCATTCACAAAATCAAAGCAGTAATCAAGTGGATCTAAAACTGACAATTTCCATGCTAGTACTGTACATGTACACAACAGTTGAATTTGTTCTCAAATTATACAGCAACAGCATTTAAAAAAAATAATACTTTTCAATCAAAATTGTATGTACATGTACAGCTAAACTACTTTTCATAAGCTCTGGCAATGAAAGCAAGATTTATTGTTTCCATGACAACAAATCTTGCTTCACAGGCCGGGAGGAGGACCATTGTTGGCACATGCTAGGACCACTGTTAGAAGTATGGTGACACGGCTGGGTTAGAAGAAACTGCTACCATCATCAAACCTGGCAGCTTCACAATACTCAAAACCACAGAGTCACTGCTTGTGCACGGGCAACTTGGGGCCATCTCAAAATGTTTTCAAAAGTTCTTTAGCAGTCCATGTTTCCAAAATGTAAACAGTAATATAAAATCTCAGCCATATTACTTTCCTTTAGCGTGTTCCAAATGCTTAAAAAACACAAAATACCCAAACTAAGAGCCAACATTTCCAGATAAAAATCAGAATTTACAAGTAATTAAAGTTTCAAAAAGCAAAATTAATCTAACAAGGAACATAGCAAACAAAATAAAGTTTCGCCATCACTGGATATTAACTTTGGAAATGTTTCTCTGGAACATACTTTCTCTTTGTCACACTCATATTACCTGATTGAATATTCAACAAATTTATGGTTTATGTATTGGCAATGCCTTTTTCTGAGTTGAGGAGTGGAGTTTATTTTAGCGACTACAGTGAACCTTCATTGCTGCAGACCCTGTTAGTCAAGAAACCTGTCAATATGCATGATATCTTCAGAGACAGCACAGTCTGGATTCACAGGTGTTACTGTACATTTTACAACATGATGTCCCCAAACAATATTTTAAACAAGGAGGCTAGTAATCAATAAAGCAGATATTCAATTTGTTGAAGATTTGGTGAAATGTGTTGACACATTGAGATGGCCTTGACATGAGCTCAAGAGCATGAGGTACACCAAAGGTTGACATGGAAACTGAAACTGGCAGATTTCATGCTAAAAATGTCGTACATGGGAACTCAGATTCGTCGTCTACCTCAACTAAAGCTGAAACAGAAACATTGTGCAGTCCATGAAATGTGGGCCAAAATCACACTGCAAACACTTCGAATTCTAGGCTTCAAATAAAACTGCTAAAAATGGTGAAATGGGCATGCAGAATTAAAATTAAATGCTTCAACAAATCACAACATAAGCACTATGTGCTGTAGTTACTACACAAAACATGTTGACATGTGTAACTCATTATATGAAGAGGACTCACACAGATAAGCTATATCTCATCCCTATATATAAACCTGTTGAAGATGGAAAACACCTCCTTCTCTAAAAATATATACACTCTCTTTAACCTCCCCAAAAAGTATAGAATAATGATAATTTATGAAACTGATGGCAATTAGACAATCTGAAGCAAAAGGAACATCAAGAATACATCATTTGTCTTGACTCTGTCATGTGACTGGCTACTTATGTAACTGGCAACTCTTTAGCATGTGACTGGCAACTCTCTATCATGTGACTGGCAACTCTCTATCATGAGACTGGCAACTCTCTATCATGTGACTGGCAACTCTCTATCATGTGACTGGCAACTCTCTATCATGAGACTGGCAACTCTCTATCATGTGACTGGCAACTATTTATCATGTGACTGGCAACTATTTATCATGTGACTGGCAACTATCTATCATGAGCCTGGCAACTCTCTATCATGTGACTGGCAACTATCTATCATGAGCCTGGCAACTCTCTATCATGTGACTGGCAACTATCTATCATGAGACTGGCAGCTCTCTATCATGTGACAGGCAACGCTCTGTTATGTGATTGGTTACTTCATATAATGTGACCGGTTACTCTGCATCATGTGACTGCACCATATCTCCCACATGTGTAGGAACTATAAGACTATATCTTTGATTACTATAGAACACTAAAACACTTAACTTAAGTTGCAACCCTCAAACTGGATGTTTGGAAATGTGGAGTGCGCCCTAAGCCTGAGCCCCACATGTGTACAGGGACAGTAACAACACTCCCACCCTCAGTAGTAGCTTCAACATCAAGGGAACGAAGGAACTTACTGTTGGAGATCATCTGCCCTCTGTAGATTTTGTCGTCAACCACATCTGTCCAGAAGATGGAGTTATCAGCGTAGTGGAAGTCTAGTGCAATTGTGTTGCGGAGGCCAGAGACGAGGGAGATGTAGTTCATGGTGCCGAGGTCATAGCGGCGGATCTCGTGACGGTTGGAGTAGATAATGTAAATGGGCACAGAATCTGCAAAAAGGATTGACTCAATTCACTCCACTGTGAAAATCAACGAGACTTGCACTGCTGTCTTTAGCTATACTCACACAAGGTCAGGGGGTCAAGGTCAGTGGAACAGATGGTCACTTACCATGATCCAGTTAATGGCATTTAGGAATACTTAATGAAATGTTTTAAATGGCTGCGTTACCATGTTAATTCATTTCTCCAACTTCTAAATGTCCAGTTGTATTCTGTCCTCAATGTATTTCATGCATTTCAGCTCACTTTCCCTTCCGTTTCATCACCAACTATGCCTCACGTGCAACTGGTATTGGTTTCATTTGTTGTGTTTTTGTGTTTGTGCTCTCATCTAGATGTTATACAATCTGTCAGAGTTTGTGCTCATTATTATAACCTGCACAATACTGTGGCCTTGTAACCTTGCACAGTGTGGCCTGGTATCAGTGGACATCTCAACACTGCATCTCCACCTGCTGGTTCCACAGGGGTCGTGTGGAGTTTCCACTGGTTGACTGCACATCTGTTTGGGTCACAACAGCCAAACATGCTTCGGTACGGTTTCCCGACATCACCATCCACACTGTGCCCATTGTATTCTACCTTGGTTTTGTGCCATTATTGCTTGTTCTGTCCCATCTCAGGCCTCAATTCCCCTTACAACAGTTAGTTGACATGGGTGAAAAGGGTGGGTACTCAAAACTGTTAAGGTTAGGGTAAGTGAAAAGGCTGTGTACTCACCATTGGGCTTGCAGCTGTATCTGTCGTTGGCGAGGGTGTACCCAGGATGGCAGAGACACTGATGACCCAGCGGGGTGGAGGCACAGCTCTGGCTACAGATTCCCCATCTCTCACAGATGTCCTGGGCTGAAAGTACAGGACAACTCACATGATGTTCTTAATACCACAAAATATTCACTTTAGTCCACCCCAATTGCTAAACCATTTCATAAGTGTCAGTCCAGGGACAGGATTCTGTACTTACCCACGTACATGAGATCACAGAATTATGAACACAACAATGGGGTATCCTTGTCATATAATGGGGTTCGGGACGGTGGGGAAGCCTAGTGGTTAAAGCGTTGGCTCATCACGCCGAAGATCCGGGTTTGAATCCCCACATGGGTACAATGTGTGAAGCCCATTTCTGGTGTCCCCGCCGGGATATTTCTGGAATATTGCTAAAAGCGGCGGCGTAAAACCAAACTCAGTCAGTCAGTCAGTATAATGGGGTTCAAAGCTATACCGGAATCTGGGGCCAGACAAACTAGTGGTGCAGAGCATGAAAAACATCCAGTGTCCTTGTAGTACAATCCTCAAAAGTCACAGAGCGTGATCACCAAATCCACATTTTAGTCATCACTTATGAGGTATGATGGAACCAGGAATCTTTTGGGTGGCCGATTCTAAGTCACTATCCACATGCTCTTATGATACTAAATACACTGACACGCCACATTACTTTACACATATCACATGAACAGCAACATGTAGCCAGAAATATCGCTACATCACATCTAACTCTGTTTGCAACCAAGAGTTGCTAGTGAATGTCCATGCTAACCTGTTTATACAGGAGAAAATTTACTCAAAGCAGTAAGCATCTGACAAGCTGATGCAGAAGAATATTTCGGGCCATATCACAGAGTGTTTGCTTTACTTGGAAGGAAGGTGAGCATGAGTGAGCTATGAGTTGCGCCAAATTTAGCAATATTCCAGCAATATCGTGACAGGAGACCCAGTTTGGCGTGGCAAGCAAATCCCTTAACCATGGGGCTACCTCACCCAGTAGTGATACAGGTAGAATATCATTACTACTTCAGTCCAAACCATCTGATGCTACTGTATGAAACTCACAATTATGATGGTTTTACTTACGGACACATGTGCTGTTGTCGGAACTCAGTCTCATGTTATCGGGGCAGTAGCAGACGTAGCCGTTGGGGCTCTTGTGGCAGTGGTGGCTGCAGTCATTGTTGATACACAGGTCGTACCCTGGCGACAAGTAAGACATGACACATGAGTTATCTCCCTTTGTACTCTGCTATGGCAATTATACAACAGTGTTTACAATAAGTAATACACTGCTTACAATAAACATTTCTAATTAGGTAGAACAAGTAGCACTTCAGTTGTAGATCATCTTCAAAACGAGGTCCACAAATCAACTAAATTGTGGTAATAACAATCCAAAAGCATTACTTATTTAAAAATGGTAATCATTTATCTTTTAAGCAGGATGAGGTTCAAACTCAAGTTTTATGAAAACAAATGGGTGGTGCTAGTACACCTTGTATGTACAGACGTCGACTTACCGCAGAGGCGACCCTCGTCAGAACCATCCGCACAGTCACTGTGGTCGTCACATAGTTTCTCCAGTGGAAGGCAGGTATTGTTGTCATGACAACTGAACTTAGGGGCTTCACAGGCCTTGTGATAAGCTATAACACAGAAACATATTTAACTAGAACCATATCTCACCTGGCTACCATTCATTCTCATACAGTCAGTAGTTATCTAAGGGTAATATGCATCAAAATTGCAGTCCTATTTTCTGTACGAAATCTTAGAGTGTAAGAACTGAACTGCGAAACTTTGTTGCCATGACAATCTCAAGACTTTCTGCTACTCACTGCACTCGTCTGGTTTCTCGTCAGACTGGTCACTGCAGTCGGCATCCATGTCACACTTCCACGACTTGGGGATGCAGCGACTTCCATCGTCACACCTGAACTCAGCTGTGTGGCATGTGACGTTGCCTTCAACTGAATAAGTCAAAATATAATACAAACTTGAGCGCACAATTAATTCATTCTCATAAAAAATAATTAAATATCAGTTATTGCAGAATCCATGTTGCAGTACACCAACTTAAACCATGACTAAATGCACTCTGCTGACATTATGAAATTTCATAATTTGTACAGAATGAAAACAAATTACTGCATCCCCTTGAATACAAAGTCACACATGCTGTTTACAGATGATGAAAAACTACCCTGCCTCCATAAAGTCACACATGCTGTTAACAGCTGAAATGAGCTACTCACTGCAATCTATCTCGTCAGATCCGTCCTGACAGTCCTTGTCGCCGTCACAGCGCCAGATGGTGGTGATGCAGCTGCCACTGCTGCACTGGAACTCACTCTCGTGACACTGGCTCACAGGGAGGTCTGCAGGAAGTGGGTACAGTGGGAGAGATGTACAAATATAGTTACTGGAAACAAGATGTGAATCCAAGATAACAGGTTTCTATCATTGCTAGCTCTGCATTTCTTGAACTCAACAGAAATGTAATTTTCTGATTAAAATTGATATTTTATACTTATCCTGACTCATGCTTAATTGCTTGTCTCCTTCCTCTTGCGAACTATAGTGGAACACTTGAATCCCCTTTTGAAGCTCCCTATAGTTTGCAAGAGGAAGGAGACAAGAAAGCATGAGTCAGGATAAGGAAAAATTATGATCTGTGAAATTAATGAGACTTGATCAAATCATGAGTTTCAGAGACACTGAATTGGATAAAAATGAACAATTTGATGGCTATGGGTCACGAAGTAGCTGATGGACACAGTTCTAGAAGCCATACCACAGTCCATCTCATCCGACTTGTCTGCACAGTTGAACTCATTGTCGCACTTGTAGATGAGGGGGAGACAGACGCTGCTGTTCACGCACTTGAACTCCCGCTTGAGGTCACATCGGTTGCTGCAGTCCCACTGACAACGTCAAACCAAGGACAAACTATAATGCATGTACACAGAGTTCCAGTGGAATTATTCTGATGTTGAAATGATTTATACCTGTGTAGAGGTGAATTCTGGTGAAGTTATTTCAAACAGTTGTGCATTATACTGACTGTAATGGGTTTGGACCTGGATCAGGCAAACCATATGAAGATAATGAACATGACAACCATCAAAAATCATTTCAAGTGGAATATTTATGACAAGTTGTTTATGTGCTGCTGAATGACCTGGTCCAAACTATACCAGCAATATAGGCTGCTTCTAAACAACCTATTCTGAGCCTATGAGAAAAGTATCAAGTCTTCAGGGTATATTGAACCATAATCCAACAAGTCACATAGCCAGACAACCCAATCATTTTCTGCATCTCTAATGACAAGCACAAGATGCTGGCTGCTATTCTATTGTTGAATCAGCACAGGGAAACTAAGCAACCATGTGAATCCAATATGGTGTGACAGCTGGAGTGGTTCTCGACCCACCTCGTCGGAGTGGTCCTTGCAGTCGTACTCGTTGTCGCAGCGGTACATGTAGGGGATGCAGCGGCCGCTCAGACACTGGATCTGGTCAAAGCTGCAACTGGTGTTGTAGCCTACAACATACGTTACCATGGAGACACGCTCATCAACAAACACATTAACACACACACAAAGTAACATGTGAAGAAAGTAATCATAAGTTTACACCACCACTTCAGCTGTTTCACATCAGCCTGTGAATAATCAAGTAAAAGACAACATAGGATTGTAGCAAACTCCATTTACAGACATATCATGGTGGATGACATCAGAAATGGGCTTCATGTATATCACCCATTAAGGAATCAAACCTGGTACTTCAGCTCTACAAGCGAATGCTTGAACCACTAGACTACATTACTGACCCTGCAGAAATACAAGGGACATGTGTCATCTATAGATTGTAATCTCTCACCACAGGAGTCATCTTCATCCGAGCCGTCTGCGCAGTCATTGTCGTGGTCACACCTCCAGCTCTCTGGGATGCAGCGGTGGGAATCTTTGCACATAGTGTAGTTTGCAGGACACTTGCGGTCTGCAGAAACAACATGTGGACTGATGGAGGACAGAAGGGCAACAAACTTGGTCGTGTAAAAAATCCACGACCAGTTTACACCCATTAAATTTGCATTAGCCTGAGACTACTAAATTGTGCTTGAGACAAGAAAAACTCCAATGAAGGTAGTATTTAAGAGCCATAAGTCAGAACCTGTTCAAAGATTTTATTGTGCTTTGATTGGAACTTAAGGATTTCGAAGGATGCATTTGCTGTCATTGGACTAACCATACATAAATGTCTTACCTTATGGTTCAGACATTGTCATGGTAATACATACTGTGTCAATTCTCATAAATAGACAAGTCAGCAATTTTGCTGATAACTTCAAACTCTGTGACAATTATCAGTGCTATAATCCAACACAAGCTCTGAACACTATCATCAGCCTATTAAGACAGTGGTCCCGGTACAGGTGTGTTACTAGTTACCTTAGGGTTAACAGAAACACATGCAAAATTACGTTCTAGGTCAGCCAATCAAAAGCCTTGGAAACATTACATATTTAGTTATTTTATGAACACTTACTGCTGTTACAGGTATTGGCATGTTCATCTCTCTCGTCGATACAGTCAGGTTCACCATCACACACGAACTGGGCGTAGATACACCTCTGGTTACCACAGGCAAACATGTCGTCAGGGCAGGTCACGTTACCTAGAAAACATACATGAACTTAATATCAAACAAGAGATTTCAAGAGTTGTAAAACATTTCTTTACTATGCTTTCTGTGCCCCTATTTGGATGGGTAGGGAACTCTGTACACTATTTGGATGAGAGAGAAGGTTTTATGATGTGTTTGGGAGGATGAGGTGTGTGTAAAGACTGCATGAGATTCAATATCAAAACATGCAATAAAGCCACGGCTGGAGGTCCCTATCAACCAGCATTGGTATCATACCACAACATCACCGTCTGACCAAGCGTTGAGCCGGTAGTACATTGGTATCATACAACATCACCGTCTGACCAAGTGTTGAGCCGGTAGTACAATGAGCATGAGTCTTAACCAATAACAGGATCTAGAGGACAATCGTAACTCCATCTGTGGGCAAGTCTGAATAATCCTGTTTGTGCATCATTTTCAGTTAAACATACACATTATCGTTGCTGAGGTTACAAGTACAAAATTCTACTTCAGAAGGTGTTCAGACCTGGCTAGTAATCTACTTACTGCAAGGTCCCTCCTCCCCACATCCTCATCTGATCGGTCAGGGCAGTCGTAGTCGCCGTCACACTTGAACTGGTTGTTGATGCAGCTGCCGTCCTTGCACTGGAACTTAAAGTTCTCATCACACTTTGGCGGCGACTGATAGTTTGGAATGTCTGCAAGTGAAACACAGTCCATTAATTCCTCCAGATATGTGTAGACAGGATGACCCCTATAGTCGATATACTAACCCAAGTGGGTGCATCTATTTGAGAAGATGACTTACAAAGTAGTAAGCACAAAGTAGTTTACAAGATTAGTAACACATCCATAAATTCGAACTAACCTGTAGAGGTTTCAGATTCTTTGAATATATTCCTCCTTGGGGTACTTATAAGCATTTAAATGTCCATTTAAAATCCCTACGACAGTTGTAACAATATTTGAATAAAATATTTACAAAACAAAAACTACGTTTTGTCTTGTGAGACCACCCTTACAGGGCCCTCTGGCCCCCTACAGCCAAGAGCAGGTAACTCTAGACCGTAACCTCGTACCTCACTTTCCATGCTGAACGACATCAGACAGAATGTGGGGAGGTGGGCGGGCGTAACCCAAGGAGGAATATATTCAAAGAATCTGAAACCTCTACAGGTTAGTTCGATTCTTTTTTATATATTCCTCCTTGGGGTACTTATAAGCATAAGACAGACTCCTAAAGACGGAGCTAAGGAGCGGCATTCTGTCTGCAGAAAACACCCCCCGACAAGAAGTGGAATTTCCCAAGCTAATTATAGCAGAAAAAGCACACTTACCCGGTCACGTGTCCACCATAGCCAATCAGGCGGGGGCATGAGCCAGGGTCAGGGTCGAACATATGTAAATTGCCCAGCGAAACCTCGCTAAAGCAAACTAACGAGACACACCCTCCCTCCTTCCCGTAATCTACTCGGAAGCGAAGATAAGGGTCCCGCAATAAGCCGCCAGAAACGAAATGCCTTAATATGTATATATTTAGCAAAGCTTCCAAGGCCAGTAAAGTCTAGAGCAGAATGCAAAAGACATGGGAATAAAAACCATCACCACATAAAACCCGTCACCAAGGGAATATGTAAACAAGATTTTTAAAACCCAACACCAGTGTTAAAAAATTTGGCATAGAATGGTTCACATAATTCCTCGAAAGCTCAATCGGCTAGAGAGGTGGAACCATGCCCACTGGAGAGAACTGACTGACCGAACCGAGCACGCTCACTGGAGAGTCTGTCAAGTTGGTAATGACGGATGAACGTACTCGGACGGCTCCAAATAGCCGCGGAGCAGATCTCCTCAATGGGCAGGGCTGCAGCGTAAGCTTTCGATGTAGCAACTGCCCTAACCGAATGAGCTTTCAACCCTACAGGCGGGATACGCCCTGTTTGAGTATAGCTCATATGTATGGCAGAGACAAGCCACCGAGAAATGGTTTGCTTGGTCGCCGGAAGACCAGCCTGAACCCCGCCATAACAACAAAACAATTGGTTACCCTTACGGGTACCCCTTGTTCGTTTGATATAAGCCTTAAGTGTCTTACGGACATCTAAGACGTGAGCACGTCGTAGAGAGGTACCGGACAGGGAAGGCTGAGTGAAAGCTGGGAGCTCAATAGGCGCCGTCACATGGAAGGGACTATCCTTCTTAGGACGGTAAGTATCAGGCAGCCGTATGCTAACTCTGTCTTTGTGAAAAACAGTAAGCGCGGGATCGGCCGACATTGCGTGAATATCGCCAACCCGCCTGCCTGAAGTCACCGCCACAAGAAACGCCGTCTTCCACGTCAACAGCTGGAGTGAAAGAGCCGACAGATTGTGAAACAGTGGACCGGACAGCCAATCAAGAACGATTGACAAGTCCCACGGGGGACTAATCTGCCGGACAACCGGACGGATTCTGTCCACGCCTGCTAAAAAAGCGCTGTACAAGAGGGTGCTGCCCCAAGAGAGCACCGTCAACAGGAATATGAAACGCAGAAATAGCTGTAGAATATCCTCGAACAGTTGAAGCCGCTAGACCGGCATCCAACCGAGACTGGAGGAATTCTAAAACACAGACTAAATCTGTAGAAAAGGGATCAAGAATCCCCCTGTTGACACACCAGCGCGAATAACAGGCCCATCTATCCTCATATTGAACGTTTGTCGAATCCCTCCGCGAAGCCAGAATTGTGTCTGCAACTGGTGCAGGAATTCCGCTCGCACGGAGGCGATCCCTGACAGCGGCCAGGCCACCCACTGAATCCTGGAATTCAGGTGGGGAAGCTCCATTCTGGGATAGGAGGTCCGGTCGAAAAAGGTAATAGAACAGGAAGCTGAGCCAGAAACCTGAGAATTACCGGAAACCAGCGTTAATGCCGACCAAAGGGGTGCCAGAAGCACAAGTAGCCGAGCTGGTTGTGGCAGCGGTCAGCTGTGACAGGACCCTGGAAATCAGTGGTATCGGGGAACGCCCACAGTACCCTGTCCGTCCAATCGAGCTGAAAGGCGTCGTTGGTTAACGCCCCGGATCCGAATCCGGGAGCAAAACACAGGAATCTGGTTCGTCACCCCAGACGCAAACAGATCCACCTTGAAAGACCCGAACAACTGGGAGATAATCCCGAATATCTCCCGGTCGAGCATCCACTCGTGTGGGGCTAGATAACAGGCGCCGAATGTTGAACTGATCTGCACGTAGAAACGTTGTCTACCCTGAAGGAGGGCGGAGAACGGAACTATCGCGTAGAAATGGCCGTTTGATTAAACATTTCTAGGATCGAACCACACGGCCCTGCACCAACAACTGAAGCTTTTCGAACACCCTGCGGACTGCTCTCAGTTCTAACACATTGATGTGTAGCTGACGGAGTCACTGACCAGAGGCGGAGAATGAGTGCTCGCCATGGACCCCCAACCTGTGAGGGAGGCGTCCGTCTGAACTGAGAGGAAGGTGTCGAGTGTCGAGGGGATCCCCTGGACAAATTCCCGGCGCCCGTCCACCATCGCGAAGTGAGGAATTAACCACTCGGCGCGTTGTGAGAATAATCTCGTAGCTCTGCGAGTGGGACCACAGCTGAGCTCAGCTTGCTGAACTGGTTGCATCCTCAGATGCGCGCACGCCAAAACCCGCCCACTGTCGCCGCCATGTTGCCTCAGCAACCGAAGCCATGTTCGGGCTGGCGATTGGGCGACTGGAGAAACTGTGTAACAGTCCTCTGGACTTTGGCGATGCGGCGGAGCAGGAAACAATCCCTAGCTCCGTGTTGAATCTGGCCCCAAGAATATCAGATCCTGCGTCAGGAACGAGGTCTGATTTCTTGAGGTTGATAATCCAGCCCAGTGACACCAGAGTATCCATCACACACAGTGTGGAGGCTCTGCTTAACTGAGGACCTAAGGCCCTGAGAAGCCAATCATCTAGGTACGGGTGACAACACCTGCCCTGAGACCTGGCTAACTGAGCTGGGATTAGCATAAGTTTGGTGAACACCCTTGCGCCGTGGAGATGCCGAGGGGAGCACGCGAAACTGGTAGCACGCCCCGTCGAAGGAAAACCGGTACTTCTTGAACTCGGGTGCATTGGAACATGGAGGTATCGTCTTTGAGATCGATTGACGAAGCCAATCCCCTGTCTCGACGGAGGAGATCACTGACCTGAGTGTCTCCATCCTGAAAGACGGCACCTCCAGTAACTGGTTCAACCCTCTGAGATTCAGAATGGGTCTGAACCCTCCGTCCTTTTTGGTCACTAGGAAGTAGGTGGAATAAAACCCCTCTCCTTGTTGACCCACAGGAACCACCTCGATGGCTGCCTTGTTCAGTAAGGACTGAACTTCGGCACGGAGCGCGTCCGCCTTGTCTCGGGAGGTCGGCACAGGCATGTGTCGAACCCCGGAGAAGGACGGAGGATCTCGCCTCCACTGTGGCAAATGGCCATCCCTGAGCGTGGACAGGACCCAGGGATTTGAGGTGGCTGCCTCCCACTCCCGAAGGAATAGGGACAACCGGCCGCCGACAGGGACGTGTGGCATGAGGCAGTGCACCCCCACAGTCGGCAAGTCTCCGCTTGCGTGAGTGGGGGGCAATAAGGGTTCTGGGGAAGTGATCAGTGGGAAGCCGGGGCTGGCTTCCCCTTGCCCCGAAAAGGCTGCTGAGCTTGAGCAGGCCTGCCCTTGCCTCTTGCGCGCCTGCTCCGCTTGGACTGCAAAGGGGCAGTCCACTTTGCAGCGTCCTTCGCCGGGGCAGAAGGATAAGCGGAAGCGAGCGGGGAAGGCCGGTGGCGAGGAGCGGAGGGTTGCTCCAACAAAGGCTTAGAGTCTTTGAAGGTAGAAACAGCCTCCGCGGCCTCCCGTACAACCTGCAATGCCCCAGGGAACAGGGAAGATCCCATGGTATAGGGCAATGACAGGAGCGCCTGTTGCGTGGCCGGTGAATACCGCGCCACAGACAACCACAGGCGGCGCAGGCCCAAAGCGAGGTCGCCACTAGGTGCCGAGGGCGCGCTATCTCCACGGCCTAAGCCAGGATCAAGCTGCCCAGGGGGAGGCGCGTTCCCCGAGCCGAAGCTCGGGCCGCAGCCAACCCCCCCAGATGCGTCAGATCCACCCCCCACGACCGGCGCGGTGAGCTCCTTACGGAACCCATCCAACGCCGTATCGATGAGAGATTTCACTGACGCCATCTGTTCCTGGAAGAAAGTGGTTAGTGATTCAACGGGCACAACTGGTGCCGACACAACAGGGGGGTGGGTAGAGACAGGAGCAGGTTGAGGTTTGGTATTAGATGCCTCCTTGGAACCTTTAGCTCTTTTGGGAGCCGGCTCCGTATGGGAAGCGGCTCCCATAGACCCCTTTTTTTGTGTGAACGCTTGGACGGGGGATCCTGTGCCCAGATATCACCCCCCGCCCGAATCAGGTTGCTGTAGAACAGCTGATCCACTCGTCGTGCTCGAATCGTTTGAGGCGTAAAAGTGGCACATGCCACACACCCCTCTTCCTCATGCTCAGTTTGGGTGAGGCAACGTAAGCACACCTCGTGTGTGTCCCTGACAGGAATGGCCGTGAGGCACGAAGTACAGGATTTAAACTGCAACAAGTAAACAACCTGTGCAGCAATCAACCCCATACACACAGACATATATGAAAAAACACGCATGGGCGACACAACTAATGCGACAACGTAGCATACAGTTGACAATAACCATAATACGCACTGACATAACTACTTAATTTTATTATCGTGAAGATAGAAAATGCAAGCAGTGGAAACGCCTACATGTAACCACATATATCGTAAAATTACTAACACCACCTGTAACATTGAAAACCACACGGAAACCAATGAACAGTGATGCTAGCGAAGGGACCTGGCAGCCATCTTGGCACGCACCCGGCGAGCCGACCGCGACAGGTACCAAGTTACAACTAAAAATTATGAATGAAAAAGTTCAGAACAAGCCTTCAAATCGCCCATGCAGGGAAAAAAGAGAACCATACATACAGTTGCTGTTTCTGACCCACTCATAATTCTCGCCGGGAAAGAAAACTTTCTTGTAATGGACCCACGTCTATGTCGGGAAACGACAGCATGGAAAGTGAGGTACGAGGTTACGGTCTAGAGTTACCTGCTCTTGGCTGTAGGGGGCCAGAGGGCCCTGTAAGGGTGGTCTCACAAGACAAAACGTAGTTTTTGTTTTGTAAATATTTTATTCAAATATTGTTACAACTGTCGTAGGGATTTTAAATGGACATTTAAATGCTTATAAGTACCCCAAGGAGGAATATATAAAAAAGAATCTGCTTCCGCTTGACTACCTACCTTCGCAAGTCAGCTTGTCGTCGGTCAGTGTTCGGCCATTAGCACAGGCACACACCTTCCCCTCCGGTATTGACAGACAGAGGTCGCTGCAGCCTCCATTGTCCTTGGCACAAGGTTTATCTCCTGTCGAACCCAATACAAACTGTGTGAGTGAGGTAAATCAAACAGAGTAATGGACAAATGACTCTCCTAATTCAGTGAATGAGTGAGTGACATCAAATTTAATACCGCATGAGCTATATTTCAGCCATATTGTCACATTTTAATATTACAATATCATTTACAATTTAAAACATAGGATATAACAATATTTTTTAGAATTTAAAACACTGGCTATAAGCCCAAATCCTCATTCTGTCTACACTCAAGAGGTGAAGTGAAATTGGGTTTTAGCGTCGTGCTCGAGAATATTTCGCTCATGACAACGTGCATGCGTGTGTATGTGTATGTGTGGCTGCTTGTACTAGCCCAGACTGAAGCTGGTTTTAAAGTGCTAGCCCATGCCGCAGTGAAGCATGAATACCCCACTCAGACACATTATACTGACTCCGAGCCGACCAGTCATTGTTGTACCCATTAATGCCGAGCGCCAGGCAGGGACCAACAAGTACCACATTTTAACGTCTTTTGGTATGACGCGGTAGGGGATCGAACCCACAACCTTCCGCTCTCCAGGCGGACGCTCTAACCACTACACCACAGAGGCGGTCCGTCTACACTCAACAAAGTCAGTGAGTTTAATATCAGTCTACCAAACTCTGGTACTATTGAATAAACTAGGGTGGTGGGCATAGTCTTCAAAAATGTCCCTTGCTTTCCTCATATGCCTTGCCATGGTAGTTGGTAAAACTTATCTTTCTGCTTGCACGTTGTCACTTTGGCTATAGTCTATAGTCACTTAAAACTATTTGTCTTAAATTACAGAAAACTTGATATTTCTGACGGCCATTTCTGTTCACTAAACATTATTGATGTTTCCACAATGACAAGGCAATCAAGTGTTTGGTCCTGCTTACCATCAACAGTTTGGGCGTTCCTGTCAAACAGCACCAGATCAAACAGCGGGGAGCTGTCGGTGCGCAGATGGATGACTGAGCTACTTGTTTCATTGATTGTGTCCACCAACCCCTTGAGTGACTCTGTCCAGTACAGGTTGTCGTCGGAGAAGACGATGCCGTATGGGTGGCTGTGACTGACGCCCTCAAGATTTCGTTCAGTCTGTTTACAGCAATGTCATCATCGAGTTAATAACAACAAAGTTGAAGAACACCCCATTCATTCAATTACTGGTAAATATTCAGGCATAAAAATAAGAATTAACAAGCATTGTCACCAAGGTGACATAATACCCCGCCGCAAATTATCAAGTCAAACTTATAAAGTAATGAAAGTTTAAATTAAATGTCAACAAAAACATGACCAGTCAACCTCTCTTGATATCTTGCTCTTTAGGTGTTCAAACATGCACATATTTTCAAGACTGACTTTGACCTTGACAAAAAAGTCATAGTGTATAAAATATGTAAAAATAGTACTAAAGAAATTGCTTATTGAAAAACATTCAAGGGAAATCTTGAAAGTCTAGGAAGAAAAACCAGTGAACCGTTCTCGAAATATCTTGCTGACAATTCAGGTTAACATGCTGAAATCTTCAAAGTGTCATCGTGACCCTGAAAATTAAGTAAAGGTCACCAAAATTGACTGGGCCCTGGGCCTTCCCTAGATGAAGCTTGGTGTCAAATATAAAGAAAATCCAGTGAATATTTTTTGCGATATCTTGCTGACTATCTTAACATGCTGAAATCTTCAAAGTGTCTCTGACTGACTGACTGACTGACTGAGTTTTGTTTTATGCCGCTTTTAGCAATATTTCAGCAACATCACGGCAGGAAACACCAGAAATGGGCTTCACACATTGTACCCATGTGGGGATTCGAACCCGGGTCTTCGGCGTGACAAGCCAACGCTTTAACCACTAGGCTACCCCACCCCCTCAAAGTGTCTCTGTGACCTTGAAAATTAAGTGAAGGTCACCAAAATTGAATGGCCCCTGTGCGTTCCCTGGATGAAGCTTAGTGTCAAATATGAAGAAACTCCAGTGAATGGTTCTTGAGGTATCTTGCTGACAAGCATAGCATGCAGGTTAATATGCTGAAATCTTCAAAATGTCTACGTGACCTTGAAAATTAAGTGACGGTCCCCAAAATCGACTGGGCCCTGTGCCTTCCATAGATAAAGCTTGGTTTCAAATATGAAGAAAATCCAGTGAACGGTTCTTGAGATAGCTTAACATGCAGGTTTACATGCTGAAATCTTCAAAGTGTCGCCATGACCTTGAAAATTATGTGAAGGTCACCAAAATCAACTGGGTCCTGCGCCTTCCCTAGATAAAGCTTGGTGTTGAATATGAAGAGAATCCAGTGAACAGTTCTTCAGATAGCTTAACATGCAGGTAAAACGTTAAAGTCCCCTTGTGACCTTGAAGTGAAGGTCAAGGTCACCAAACCTGACTTGGGCCTTTCATATACTGTGATGAACTTAGGTACCAAATATGAAAAGAATCTAGAGAAGGGTTCTTAAGATATTCCAATTCGTACGGATGGACGGAGCCTAATACTATATCCCCCACTTCGCGCTAAACGCACGGTGGGGGATAATGATAAAGTATACTGAAACTTCTGTGGAGTGGTAAAGATAAAAGCCTCTTGGATACACTGATTCATGATGTTATTATGCATACCCGTCTGCCTGACCCATCTGTCAAGATACTGTCGATCTTGTCATAGTAAGCATCGGTCCAGTACAGTCTGTGATTGGCTGTGTCCAGGGTGAGACTGTTGGGCCACTTGATCGTCTGGTTAACCAGGTCTCTGCGTCCACTGCCATCCAGCGCTGCCTGTTCAATCTTAGCGACGATGTCACCAGGATGTCGCCACAGAAGGTCAATCCAGTACATCATGCTGAAGAAGTGAGTGAGTGAGTGAGTTTGGTTTTACACCGCTTTTAGCAATATTTCAGCAATATCACAGCAGGGGACACCAGAAATGGGCTTCACACATTGTACCCATGTGGGGAATCGAACCTGGGTCTTCGGTGTGATGAGCGAACGCTTAACCACTCGGCTACCCCACCACCCCTCATGCTGAAGAAAGATCAAGGTCAGGATTATCAGAAATTAGAAAATACTCATATCAACGATATCAAATATGATGTTTACATTTCAGTCAGCAATATCCCAGCAATATCCCACTGATGTTTAAATAGTCCACTCATTCCGGGAATGTACATCACACAGTAGCCATGGACATACGTGTTTCAAAGCAATCAGGTTTTCTCTCATATATTTCATAAAAACATGAAGGACATATACTGCTCAAAAGAGTTTAAGAACAAGTAAAGCGTGTCAAATAAATCAATCTTACCCTTCATTTGGATCTACGACCATAGACCGTGGGTGGTTGGTACCGTTGACGACAGTGTAGACCATGGAGGTGTTGTCCAGCCTGACGACGTTGATTGACTGGTGGCCGTCATCAGTCCAGTACAAGTTATTGCCCACCCAGTCAATCGCTAGACCCTCACACCGAGTCACTCCTACAACACAGTGTTCAGCAGTTAGACTCCATCGACACCAAACACCAGTTACCATGGCAACAGGTATTTTACCCAAGCACGGTAAGTCTTGGCTCTGACATGACCAAACACCTCAGTAACCATGGCAAACGATGCTAAGTTGCCATAATCCTTGGCTACATTGTGACCAAACACCACAGTTACTATGGCAATAGGTATATTACCTGAGCATTAGAATTATTGGCTCCATTTTGACCAAAGATCTCAGTAACCATGGCAATGATGCTAAGTTGCCATAATCCTAAGCTACATTGTGACCAACACCTTAGTAACCATGGTAATGATGCTTGGGCGCCAACCTTCACTAACGCTGCACATAAGGTGTATACAAACACAGCTACATACCTGAATCCAGGAACAGTTCAGATTCTCCTTCACTGTCCACATTCCGCCTCCGTATCTGCATCTTGCTGACATCAGAGAAGTACACATCACCCGTTGACGACTGTGGTGCCAATGCTATTGGTCGGTTGAGATTCTGGATCGGAACCATGACGTCATGTGCAATGTTCGGGTCCAATGAAATACCATGTACACTTCCTTGCTGGGCACTGGCATATAGCAGGAACCTGTCTGGTATGTTCTCTGTAACCATGGTAACAGTTCAGTTTTACACCATTGTCATTACTGGTTAAGTCATGGCTCGAGTAGACCATCTACAGGTCAACAGTGTAGGAAACAATTATAACATAGGTTAACCATGGGTAGTTCATTTGGTAAGGATGGCTGTTAAAACTATACCCAAAGTCCACATACCAAAGTACAATGGACATGTGTACTCACTTTCACACTGGGTTCCATTATGAAGTCTGAAGCCAGCCCTACAGGCGCATGTAGCTTGGACGCCACCACTCACAACTGGCATCGGGATGCAGATCTGGCTGCACTTATTCTGCTGAATCTGGACATTTTCTGAGGGGAAAAAGCTGCCATTAAAGTTCATTTTAGGGCCAAACCAACATACATACCACCCATAGGCACACACACATATATTTGCCAAGAATCCAATTTCAACCAGTGATACAGAGAAGAGAACAAAGAACAACTCTTGACAATCCAGCCAGAAAAGCTGTGCCCCACCTTTAGGAATAATGTCTTCACAACAAATCATCTCTCCAGCGTTAACTCTCTGGCCTACACAAACCACACTACTCACTGTATCCTGGCTGTCTCACTCGGTGCACCACTTGCAGGGCGCCAGGTTTGATGACATCCTTCTTGAGGACTTGCGGAGGGATGGTGCGGTCGTACCGGTGGAGTCGCACAATGCTGTGGTTGCGCTTTTGTAGGTTTGACACATAGAGGTCATTTTCAAAAAGTGTCAGTCCGTACCGAGGCTTAATCTGGAACCAGTGTAACAAACAGTCAACAAAGGTTTATAAAAGACTTTATGTTAAGGTTAGAATATCATAAATCATTCATGAACAGTTTCGCTCATCATAGAGTTGAACACAACACACACTATTTTAGCTAAAAGCCTGTGAAACAGGTGAGACAGAGGGGTTTAACACTGCTTGGTAAGACCGAAGAGCATGTGTACAATACTGGCAAACCAGGTAACACATACGCAGCTAACCGTGATTTGAATTAATGACCACATGTCTTTCAGTGAGTGAGTGAGTGAGTGAGTTGGGTTTTATGCCGCTTTTAGCAATATTCCAGCAATATCACGGCAGGGGACACCAGAAAAGGGCTTCACACATTGTACCCATGAGGGGAATCGAATCCGGGCTTTCAGCGTGATGGGCAAAGGCTTTAACCACTAGGCTTCCCCATTGCCCTATCTGTATCAGTAAATCTGTCAGTATGTTATGAGGCGGAAAGAAAACAGTCTCTGAGTGGTTGATAGTGTGAGGATCAATGCCTATTCCTAGTACAGGGGCTTCATCTGGGGGCCAACTGAACACTCACATCTGTTCCGGGGGACACTGTTCTCCTGTTGTTGCCATCATAGTCTGCTCGCTCCACGAGATTCAGGAAGGTGTCTCCCCAGTACACATGTCTGTTCGCGTAGTCAAGGGTGATGCCGCTGGGGTGGACGATCTTCCGCGTTACGATGCCATGAGCATCAGAACCGTCAAGATTTGCTCTCCCAATCTTGGAATGTGATGACCAGTCTGCATAGAACAGATATCTGAAACACAATGTCAGCCAGTGTTATCTCCTGATTCCAACAGTGAGATCTCCTTTCATCATCTACATTCATCAATAACCCTGATATCAGTAAATATACCATACATGCAAAATAAACCTCGGGATGCATCCAGTACCCATGATATAAATGAATATTCCACCCATGCTACCAGCATCAATGGCAGTATGAGACAGAATATATATCATATACAACATACACTTTAGATGCATCAATACCAGTACCATTGATATCAATGAGTATATATCATTTATAACATACCCTCTGGATGCATCGATGGCAATACTCTTAGGCTGACTTATTCCATAGTTGAGCACTGTCAGACAATGTTTGCCGGTTGATGTGCACAGAAAGATCTGATCTCGTTTGTCGTCAGCAAAATACCAGTTTCCAGACATCCAGTCCTTGGCAATTTGATTCACAGCTGAAGAGAAAGTCCACAATATGAATACAGTAAACTTACATATGCAACAATCCTGAGACTAGGGAAACTATGAACAGAGCCGTGGTTGGAACACTGCAGCCATTGTGGCCAACAAATATGTTGGATTATATTTTTCCTGCCACACCCACATATTCCTCTTTATCCCTGAAGCCAGTGAATTATCAAGCCAGTTCTTGACAAGTGCTTGATATCATGAGCTTAACAACACCATCAGTGTACGATGACAAGAACATTCCTTGTCACCCAGTGTGACTACTAGATCAGATTTTGTCCCCCCTCATGCAGTGGGGGACAGCTATTCCAACCCACATGATAAAGGTGAACTACGGTATTTATCATCCTTGGTGCAGGAATAAGACTGACATTATCAGGAATACAGTGCCCTCTTTCTAAAATTTCAAAGACAAGATTGTAAACACCACAACAGCTGATGTCGTGGTGATGGTTGTGAACCTAGTACCCGGTGTGGTGAAACTCACATGTCAGCTTGAAGTGGGTGTGAATCGTCCACTGTTTGGAGCTGTCACGTAGATCTGCACACCGAAGCTGATTGTCTCCCTTGGTGTGATTGTATGACAACTGAAACGATGAAACAGACATAGATAATATACTTCTTTTTGATAAATATGAAGTAAATACTTCCTTGTTAACAACCAACTTGGATAACTAGATACTTGCAATGGGTTGAGAGCTAGAATTGCTTTACGGTAAAGCAGGATAACCTTAACACCCCTATACACTTCACAAGGATAATCTGATGGGTTTTTGTAAGATTATCTGCATAACAAAAAATTTGAAACAACATTTACCAACAATTTTATGTTTACAAACCCACTTTCCATGCACCTTATGAAACTGATGTAAAATTGCTCTTATTGTTGTATTTGTACTTGAGAAAATATATTATGCAAAGCACTGAAGTTCATCAGCACTTCCTTAGTCTGATGGTTTTGTTGGGCTTCTTGTAGCGATTTTAGTCTACTGCTTGTAAACCAATATGGTTGGAAACACGTTTAAATCACACACCTAGTCTGCATAATGCCTATCCTGACATTAAATTGTAAGACAAAGAATTGACTGTGGATCCTGAAGCACCTTACCCAGCAGGCGGATTTGTTGTGGTAGTCGAAATCTAGCGTTGTGATTCTGTCACCGGTGATGTTGAAGGATGTAGATACGGCCTTGGTGGACAGGTGAATGAGGAGGAGGTTGCCGTAGTTGGCAACGAGGAGTTTGGCTGGTTCAGCTGGTGCAGCTGACAAACAAAACATGACAGAAATACAGCAAGTCACAAGGATTTAATCACTCTTAATTACAAAATCTCACATTGCACAATGCATTGCAAATTCAATATATTTAATGCTGTCTAATCTAAAGGCAATCATCTCCTGAATAAAATGTTTTAACATGGTTGTGTCCTATTGATGATTGTTTCTCTGTACTTGCTCCAAGTTGTCCTAGCTAGTCACATGAACATTAAAGGTGATGAATCCTTACAAACCGATGGCTTTACATCTTCCCATCTTCCTGCCTGGTACCCAGCCACACAGGAACAGTTGTAGCTGCCATTAGTGTTGTCACAGTTTTGGTCGCAGAATCCATCAATTTCACACTCGTTAAAATCTGTAACATAAAAAATATTCTGATTTGGCAAAATGTAAATTTCAAGCATCAGGCAGTACAGAATAATCAGCAATATCTCAGTTATATCACATAGTCCTGCAGTCAGCAATATCTCAGTTATATCACATTGTCCTGCAGTCAGCAATATCTCAGTTACATCACATTGTCCTGTAGTCAGCAATATCTCAGTTATATCACATAGTCCTGGTGTCAGCAATATCTCAGTTATATCACATTGTTCTGCAGTCAGCAATATCTCAGTTATATCATTGTTATCATCATATTGTCATTGTCCTGGTGTCAGCAATATCTTAGTTATATCACATTGTCCTGGTGTCAGCAATATCTCAGTTATATCACATTGTCCTGGTGTCAGCAATATCTCAGTTATATCACATAGTCCTGCAGTCAGCAATATCTCAGTTATATCACATTGTCCTGGTGTCAGCAATATCTCAGTTATATCACATTGTCCTGAAGTCAGTTATATCACATATCTCAGTTATATCACATAGTCCTGCATTGTCAGCAATATCTCAGTTATATCACATAGTCCTGCAGTCAGCAATATCTCAGTTATATCACATTGTCCTGGTGTCAGCAATATCTCAGTTATATCACATTGTCCTGGTGTCAGCAATATCTCAGTTATATCACATTGTCCTGGTGTCAGCAATATCTCAGTTATATCACATAGTCCTGCAGTCAGCAATATCTCAGTTATATCACATTGTCCTGGTGTCAGCAATATCTCAGTTATATCACATTGTCCTGCAGTCAGCAATATCTCAGTTATATCACATTGTCCAGCAATATCTCAGTTATATCACATTGTCCTGGTGTCAGCAATATCAGTTTAGTCCTTGTCCCTATTGTCAGCAATATCTCAGTTATATCACATAGTCCTGCAGTCAGCAATATCTCAGTTATATCACATAGTCCTGCAGTCAGCAATATCTCAGTTATATCACATTGTCCTGCAGTCAGCAATATCTCAGTTATATCACATTGTCCTGGTGTCAGCAATATCTCAGTTATATCACATTGTCCTGGTGTCAGCAATATCTCAGTTATATCACATTGTCCTGCAGTCAGCAATATCTCAGTTATATCACATAGTCCTGGTGTCAGCAATATCTCAGTTATATCACATAGTCCTGCAGTCAGCAATATCTCAGTTATATCACATTGTCCTGGTGTCAGCAATATCTCAGTTATATCACATTGTCCTGGTGTCAGCAATATCTCAGTTATATCACATTGTCCTGGTGTCAGCAATACTTCAGTTATATCACATTGTCCTGGTGTCAGCAATATCTCAGTTATATCACATTGTCCTGGTGTCAGCAATATCTCAGTTATATCACATGGTCCTGCAGTCAGCAATATCTCAGTTATATCACATTGTCCTGGAGTCAGCAATATCTCAGTTATATCACATTGTCCTGGTGTCAGCAATATCTCAGTTATATTACATTGTCCTGCTGTCAGCAATATCTCAGTTATATCACATTGTCCTGGTGTCAGCAATATCTCAGTTATATCACATTGTCCTGGTGTCAGCAATATCTCAGTTATATCACATGGTCCTGGTGTCAGCAATATCTCAGTTATATCACATTGTCCTGGAGTCAGCAATATCTCAGTTATATCACATTGTCCTGGTGTCAGCAATACTTCAGTTATATCACATGGTTCTGGTGTCAGCAATATCTCAGTTATATCACATGGTGCTGGTGTCAGCAATATCTCAGTTACATCACATTGTCCTGGTGTCAGCAATAACTCAGTTATATCACATTGTCCTGTAGTGCCAGTAATATCTCAGTTAGATCACATGGTGATGTGTCAGCAAGATCTCAGAGAGATGTATTGAGATGTAGTGAGATGTAGAGTTATGTACATGAGATGTAGTGAGATGTAGAGAGTTATATGAGATTGTAGAGATGTAGCAAGATGTTAGAGATGTGGAGAGTCAGTAGAGAGATGTAGAGATGTAGAGAGATGGTGAGGTGTCAGCAATATCTCAGATGTAGAGAGATGTAGAGAGTGTCAGCAGATGTAGAGAGTTATATGAGATGCTGCAGTGAGATGTAGCAAGATCTCAGAGAGATCACATTGAGAGATGTCAGTGAGATCTCAGAGATGTAGTGAGATGTAGAGAGAGCCAGTGAGATGTAGTGAGATGATGAGAGAGAGATGTAGAGAGATGTAGTGAGATGTAGAGAGATGTAGAGAGATGTAGTGAGATGTAGTGAGATGAGATGTAGAGAGATGTAGATGAGATGTAGAGAGATGTAATGAGATGTAGAGAGATGTAATGAGATGTATAGAGACGTAGGGAGAGGTAGAGAGATGTAGTGAGATGTAGTGAGATGTAGTGAGATGTAGAGAGATGTAGTGAGATGTACTCACCCACACATTTGATGGGGTTCGAGTCGCTGATCTGCTGTCCCTGCTGACAGTAGCACTGCGGACCTTTCAGTGTTTCCTTGCACATGTACTCACACTGCTGCTGCCGACATCCGTAGTTGGCTGGCAAACAATCAACACACTGCATGAAAAACACAACATCACAAACATGGTCTTGAGCACGGATCCATAACATAATGACAAGCTTGACGATGACTAATCCCTGTGTTGTGACATGCAGTGTTGTCTCTCTCAGCAGCTATGAGGGCTATCAAATCTTATTTCACCTTTCAAAGTCAGTGATATGTATATTTCTATTTACACTTGTATCATACACAGAGTGGAACACCACAATTTCACTTTGTGTCACCAGCCCCCAGGATCCCCCATCACTCCCATCACTCCCAGGATCACCCCCAGGATTACCCATCACCCCAGGATCCCCATAACCCCCATTACCCGTGTATCGCCACCCATCATATCAAGGATCACCCATCATCCCAAGGATCACTCAGACCCACCAGAATCAATCATCACCCCAGGATCACCCATCACCCCCAGGATCACCAAGGATCACCCATCATCCCCCAGGATCACCCTCCACCCCCAGGATCACTTGTCACCCTCAGAATCACCCACCATCACCTACCACAATGTGCTCCTTCGTCAGCACCATTATCTTCACAGTCCACCACCGAGTCACAGACCCTCTCTAGGGGAATACAGTGGAGAGTGCCCGGACATAAATACTGGTTTGGAAGACACTTAAAGCTGTCAATGGCGTCACCTGAAACACGGTCACAACACTCTCAACACTAGTCCTCAGTACAAGCACTAGACACAGCAAGGGCATCTCAAGTCACAGTCACCAACAACGTTGATGGGGTTTCAGAAAAAAATACAAATCATATTTACTACTTTTCAACACATTAATCCTAATAATATATAAATTGTCGTGTAATTAAACAGGAGTTATACTGAAAACTGTGGTACAAACATCATTAAGACATAACTGTCATTTATAACAAAGTTAAATGTTTCTTTCCAAAGAAGTGATAAGTAAAATATTGATCACAAAATTCAAATACTATGAGAAAAGTTCAGACTTACCATTAATGCAAATATATACTACCTTCAGACATGCATATGCTCAAACTTTACAATCAAATATTTAACTTTAGAATCAAATAAACTAAAACAAAAATATTCAGCAAAAGAGTAGCATTTTAAATTTTTCTGTGCCCAAAACTGGATAATGTCATGCCGGTGATGAAGCTTGGTGACGTCATGTCACGTGTACAGTCCCTCCAATTACGTTGCTTGTCAGCAGTTACCGTGTGTCACAGAGCATGCACACACGGGACAGACACAATGCAGTGTTACATAAGCAGGTAGTCAGCGTGACGACGGCAACACAACAGCAGCGACAACAACATCAGCAGTACCACACAACACTGGTAGGGTTCATTTATCAACACTACTCAAAATTTGACAGAGATACCAATGTATGGAAGCCTCTGAGGAACAAAAACGTCAACATTGTAAGTAATCAGTAAGCATGGCTTTACAGGGGTATCTCTGTTAAATGTTAAGTAGTATATATTTTCATGAAATCATTTGAAATTAAGAATTCAATTGTTTCAGTTTTTAAAATGTTTTTTATATACTTAGCAATATATTAACCAAATGTTTTGGTGTTCTTTTATGATAAATTTGAACATTAATGTAACGCAAATGGAAGGTTTTGTTTAGAAAACATTTGACACCACAACACTGTGACACAAGCATGATACGATCCGGACAAAGCGTGATATCTAACTGTAAACACTAGCGTGATACGATCTAGCAGTGACATAAGCATGATATCTAATGGTAAAACTAGCATGATATGATCCGGCAGTGACAGAAACATGATATCTCATTGTAATCAACACATGATATATCATAGTAACATTAGGGTGATATCAAAATTTAAAAATAGCATGATATGGTCCAGCTGTGACAGAAACATGATATCTCAAGGTAATATCAACCTGATATCAAATGGTAGAACTAGAACAATACAACCTACTGATGACACTCTTGTTTCATATCTTATGGTCATATAAGCAGAAGAAGATCTCTCGGTGTAACCAAGCAGAATATGACATGGTAACCTAACCATGATCTCTTGATACCACTAGCATGATATTGTCCAGCAGGCATATAAGTACGATATATCACAGTAAAACATGGACCAATGATGCTACAGATAAGCTGGAGATGTCCCCCAGTATAAGGCAACATAAAGTCATTAATATGATGCCATTAAGCTGTGAATCTTACATTCAAACGCAGAATGAAATATGTCTTTGTGTTTGCTCATCATTGAATTTCATTCATATATCATCAGGACACGCCCATATGCCTCTGATGATATACAATGATATATCCATGATTTCACAGCCATGTGCATGAACTGATCCCAGTAAATATCATCATCACTACACCAACAATATTGTATAGTGACAAAGGTGTGATATGTTTCAACCATGATATGAGTTTGTTGTCATGATATACAAACGTATAAGTTGTGGGATGTATTTGAAGGTACCTACAGAGCTAGTATCCCTACCTGGCCACAACAACTGACGTGATAATGTTACATATTATAATAAATGTATATGTAGTACACTTCAGTGGATCCATTTGGGGCAAGCTCAAAGTACTTCTTGCTCAGCTCCCTGAGGAGTATACAACCAATGTCTGTGAGGCACCAGAACATTAACATCTCTCTGTGAGAAACTTTGGTCAACTTGGTCTGACCTGGTACCTGCTCATGATACATGTTACAGAGATGAACCACTAGCCCCGTTGTCATGATACATCTTACAGAGATGAACCACTAGCCCCGTTGTCATGATACATCTTACAGAGATGAACCACTAGCCCCGTTGTCATGATACATCTTACAGAGATGAACCACTAGCCCCGTTGTCATGATACATGTTACAGAGATGAACCACTAGCCCCGTTGTCATGATACATGATACAGAGATGAACCACTAGCCCCGTTGCCATGATACATCTTACAGAGATGAACCACTAGCCCCGTTGTCATGATACATGTTACAGAGATGAACCACTAGCCCCGTTGTCATGATACATGTTACAGAGATGAACCACTAACCCCGTTGTCATGATACATGTTACAGAGATGAACCACTAGCCCCGTTGTCATGATAAATGTTACAGAGATGAACCACTAGCCCCGTTGTCATGATACATGTTACAGAGATGAACCACTAACCCCGTTGTCATGATACATGTTACAGAGATGAACCACTAGCCCCGTTGTCATGATAAATGTTACAGAGATGAACCACTAGCCCCGTTGTCATGATACATGTTACAGAGATGAACCACTAGCCCCGTTGTCATGATACATGTTACAGACATGAACCTCTAACCTCGTCAAGATACGTGTTACAGAGATCTCATACAGCCAACTCATGGTGTTACACACAGCAGTTTACCTAACACTACCATACAAACAACAGAGATGAAAGGCACAATGATTCTGCTCAGACATCTCTCACATGGCTATATACAGCTCAAAAGAAGTTAAGGAACACCCGATGTTTTCATACGACTGCATTTAAGCTGAACTGGCTCAACAGGACACAATAATTACCTTGAGGGGACCTAGCTACCATGACACCACATGTTGATGACAAGGGGAACTGGCTCGACAGGACACAATAATTACCTTGAGGGGACCTAGCTACCAAGACACCACATGTTGATGACAAGGGGAACTGGCTCAACAGGACACAATAATTACCTTGAGGTGACCTAGCTACCAAGACACCATATGTTGATGACAAGGGGAACTGGCTCGACAGGACACAATAATTACCTTGAGGTGACCTAGCTACCATGACACCACATGTTGATGGCAAGGGGAACTAAACAGCCTGTGGAACTCGCTAACAAAGACTTTGTTCCATCAGTTTGTGTGTGAAAACCAGCCTAGAAACTGATATTGTAGGTGTGAACTGAATACATACTGAACACAAAGGTTAGGGTCCATGAACATTTTGGGGGACATTTCTAAGAAATTGTGTGCTCAGGCTTCACTACAAAAATACCCCCTAAAATATCCATAATCACTAACTGTTTTGTTCTGGCTATATATAACTGTGGGTGTGTCATCTACAAATGACAGAGTGGGTGTTGTAATAGAAGTGCAAGTGAAACATGTTAATGGTTATATGAATTCTGGATGATCCTGTTGTTAGATGCATATGTTCACAAACTAGCTGTTGAGGAATACTAGCTAAAAAATGTTATCATCAACAAAGTTCAGGAAATAATTACAGATATGCTGCATTAATGTAATTAATTATTGCAAAAAAGCATAGATTTGTTCAGCTTTCTTGCCTAACAGGATGAAGGAGAAGGAAGATTTGGAATTAATGGAAGGACTGATGATTGGCCAGTAGCAGGAGTGTATATTGTTATTTATTCACTGCTGGTTTCAATTTAAACACTCTCTACTTCAGGGCTTTAATGGTCAGTAAAGCTATAAGCATATGTTGATAACTGTGTTATGTCTCTGCTTGTTATAAAGTATAAACACCTCTAATTCAAAACAAAAATAGAAACATGAAGCAGGGAAAGAAGCCAATATGTTACTGAACCAATAAATGAATATCCGATGTTTAGAGGATATTCAATGAAGAAAAGAACAATACAACAAATTTAACAAATCAATGCAAAATGACTTTTTAAAAAAAGAAGAGAAATCATCAAATAGTAAATAGGAAAAAAAGAAGCCAAAAAGAAAATATTGTTTTAACCTTTCCATCTCCATTACATATTTTTCTTATTATTAACATATAGACAACTTATAACACAGGTGAATAGCCATTATGCCCACTCAAATCTAAATCTGTGATATATATTCTATATTCCCCAATTCACATCTACACCTGCTGTTAATACCCATAATTCCCCTATACATATACCTATGTATCAACTATTCCAGCTCACATCTACGCCTGAATTACATTTTCTTTGTCCCAAATCTCATCAACACCTGTAATACTTATCATTCATTTTCATCTACACCTCCAATATAAACAACAATCCCTTGATGCCCCTTTTACACCTGCAATCTGCAATTCCCCATCTACACCTGCTGTATATACCTGCAATTCCCCATCTACACCTGCTGTATATACCCATAATTCCCAAACTACACCTGCCGTAAACACCCACAATTCCACATCTACACCTGCTGTATATACCCGTAATTCCCCATCTACAACTGCTGTATATAACCGTAATTCCCCATCTACACCTGCTGTATATACTCGTAATTCCCCATCTACAACTGCTGTATATACCCGTAATTCCCCATCTACACCTGCTGTATATACCCATGATTCCACATCTACACCTGCTGGATATACCCACAATTCCCATCTACACCTGCTTTGCATTCCCCATCTACACCTGCTGTGAACACCCAAAATTCCCCATCTACACCTGCTGTGAACACCCAAAATTCCCCATCTACACCTGCTGTATATACCCACAATTCCCCATCTACACCTGCTGTATATACCCACAATTCCCCATCTACACCTGCTTTGTATGCCCCATTATTCCATATCTACACCTGCTTTGTACACCCCATTATTCCCCGTCTACAACTGCTTTGAATGCCCCATTATTCCACATCTATTCCTGCTTTGTATGCCCCATTATTCCACATCTACACCTGTTTGTACGCCCCATTATTTCATATCTACAGCTGCTTTGTATGCCCCATTATTCCACATCAACACCTGCTTTGTATGCCCCATTATTCCACATCTACACCTGCTTAGTATGCCCCATTATTCCACATCTACACCTGTTTGTACGCCCCATTATTCCACATCTACACCTGCTTCGTATGCCCCATTATTCCACATCTACATTAAGCATGATGAAGTGTATGAATCTATGATGGCGCCGTGAAGTTATGATGAAGGTGATGGTGTACACACAGTATGAGACAAGCGGTGAACTAGTAGCATCAGCAGTAATCACATGACCAGGAGCCAAAAAGCAAAGCTGGTTGGGTGTGTTGCAATATCAAAACTGCTCACCAGAAACTAGTTCCATATTGCAACATACAGTACTAGTTTCTTGATAACAGATTCAGTTTTGAGTGGTTTAATTGTAAAAAGAGTTTTAAAACTTGAGTGAAAATGTAAAACATATTTCAGTATTTATCAAATGTCATCTCCAGAAACAACCCACTCTCCTGTGTGATCATTACTTGCAAAGCACCCATATTTACGCCCAACCCGCTACCGCAAAGAATGATGGGAAATGGTATGATGGTGTGGATACCGACCTCGTGCATGTTTCCCGCCCTTATGTTTCACGCCTGGGATACGACACAGGATGATGCCATTAGTACAGAAACTTCATGGATGCACCTAGCTGGCACCCACCATAGCAACCAGACCTATTCCATGACAACATTCCATAGACCAACATGTCGTGACAACATTTCAAAATTCACACACAAAATTTACCTTTAGAGTTCTATCTTAAATGCTTACTGCACTATTACATCAGAGTATATTGCATTCTGACTGGTCAGTATGAGGATGGAATATCTCATTTAAATATTTTACATTAGAGAAAATTCATCAGGCTGAATTCCAATATCTAAGAATAAGTTTGAATGGTAAGTAGTTATAAAATTTAAACTTGAAGGTTTTAGAAATACCACAGATGTAAAAACGTAAAAGATGTGTCTGAAGAAAAACACATCACTGAGTGACCTCTCACAACCAAGAGAGCAAATATCACAAAATTAAGAATCCTAGATTGAAAATATTCTTGTATTAGTGTCACCTGAAATCATATCAGGCTGTCATGGAAGTGGTTGCCTGGAACTGGTGCCAGGAGCTACAGTAGGTGCAGCTATTGGCCGTATAGGATCAAACACTTTACCAATAGAATCACTCCTGCTCTCTCATTGGTGGAATATGTCATCTTCAGTGAGTCTGAACACATATTGATTAAGAAGGATTTTGAATCAATTTTGTTTCACATTTGAACAATTGAATAATATTGCTAAACATAAAGAGGATTCAGTCAGCTGATGTTTGTTTTTCTCGACAGCCGCCAGAGAAAGAGCAGCTGTCATTATTAATAACACTTCGTTTGGCTGAAAAAACAAAAGTTGATTAGCATTCTTGTGACTTCATTAACAATACAGAGAAGACATTCCCATGAAGATCTTGTATAAAACCATTCCTTCGAAATACTGTGTCATGGTACTGTAGCTCACCTTCGTACAAAATTCAAACTTCTTCAACTATAGAGACATCACACAAGTAAACCAGAGAATATGCACATACACATACATGTTGAGTTATTTTGAGAGAAAACGGTAGTTTCAACTGAACACTGTTTTCCATTACTATGGTCAGGCCCTCTATTAGCACAGCATACCTACTACACACATTCAGACATTGTCCACTGCAGTTGTGTCCAATGTGTTCATATCAACATTAAGAGTGAGTGAGTGAGTGAGTTTAGTTTTACGTCGCACTCAGCAATATTCCAGCTATATGGCAGCAGTCTGTAAATAATCGAGTCTGGACCAGACAATCCAGTGATCAACAGCATGAGCATCAATCTGCGCAATTGGGAACCGATGACATGTGTCAATCAAGTCAGCAAGCCTGACCACCCAATCCCGTTAGTCGCCTCTTACGACAAGCATGGGTTACTGAAGATCAATATTCTAACCCGGACCTTCACGGGTAACCAACATTAAGATATGACCATAAGATGTCAATATACACAGTGGCTTTAGCAGAACACTCATGTAAAAGTTGGAATGTGTGAAGTCTGGAAACAGCACAAAGGGTCAAAATCGATTCTTTGAGTGGCACTTTAGAAGTTGGTAAGTACTGCTTGACAATGGTACAAGAATCTGTGTCGCAGAAGTTGTTATCCTTAAAAGTTTGTCAATATTGGATTTTGCTTATTTTTTTGGGGGAAGAGTATCAATTGGGTCATAACTGGGGAATAACAGTGGTCTATCTCAATCATTCATCTGGTATCCTAGCCTTCCAAAACAGGATTTCATTCTGGAAAGATTAAACAATGTTTTATCTTATGAAAATTCAACATGTAATTACAGAACAAGGACCCGTGAAGGTCCGGGTTAGAATGAACCTTCAGTAACCCATGCTTGTCTACCCGTGAAGGTCCGGGTTAGAATGAACCTTCAGTAACCCATGCTTGTCTACCGTGGTGGCCTTCAAGGCTCCCATGCTTGGCGATGATTAACGGGATTGGGTGGTCAGAGGTGACTAGCGCGTTGTAAAACTAATCTTGTTCGGGATTGGGTGGTCAGGCTGTTTAATCTTTCCGCTGGCTTGGTTGACACATGTCATCGGTTCCCAATTGCGCAGATTGATGCTCATGCTGTTGATCTCTGGATTGTCTGGTCCAGACTCGATTATTTACATACTACCGCCATATAGCTGGAATATTGCTAAGTGCAATGTAAAACTTAACTCACTCACAGACGTAGTGTATATATGGCTGAAAAAATGCAAAAACAACATTTTTTTTTATTGCTGGAGCAATATTGAACAACTTCTTCAAACCTGTTGTTGCCTCAGTTGATGAGTGGAATGAAGACTGACAGGTGCAGCCTCATGTACCAGCGGTGTATGTAGGAGAATGACTCAGATGGACAACTGACACGCAAGCCATGACATCAGCTGCTCTGACTGTGTCAGGTCAGCCAATATATTGTAAAGAGACACCGCTACACATACACGATATCAAGAATACATTGCAGTTAAACTGTTAGTTCTCAACAAGACTTACAGGTATCTTCCAAGCACATGACTACACTTAGTTTCCTAATCTTCTTTAAGTGAGTTAATCATGTGGCATGCACTATTTCATGCAGACACAAATAACCAACGTCTAGCTTACAAACAAGCAGACATTTTATGAAGATATATTACAACATTTCAGGAAATTAGATGTGCATGAAGAATTAAATATGTCATATTATTATCCCTTTCTCCCCTTAAGTGAGCTGGCAACCATTGGCAGCGATATTACAGCTGACAAGGCCTCGAACTAAAACCATATGGTATGGGTGATACATAGCACTGGGGCATCCAGAGTTGTCTACCCTGACAGTCACACATTGGGCACCCAGTACACAAACCTGGTCAATACAGAGTTGTCTACCCTGACAGTCACCCATGGGACACCCAGCACACAAACCTGGCCAATACAGAGTTGTCTACCCTGACAGTCACACATGGGACACCCACCACACAAACCTGGCCAATACAGAGTTGTCTACCCTGACAGTCACACATGGGGCACCCAGCACACAAACCTGGTCAATACAGAGTTGTCTACCCTGACAGTCACCCATGGGGCACCCAGCACACAAACCTGGCCAATACAGAGTTGTCTACCCTGACAGTCACACATGGGGCACCCAGCACACAAACCCAACCAATACAGAGTTGTCTACCCTGACAGTCACCCATGGGGCACCCAGCACACATACCTGGCCAATACAGAGTTGTCTACCCTGACAGTCACCCATGGGGCACCCAGCACACAAACCTGGCCATTACGGAGATGTCAACACTGATGCCGACCCATCAAAAGAATTTACAAATATATTCAGAGAAGCAGGCATAAAATCCTAGTATCGTGCAAATACTATACAAACACTATCTTATATCAATCATCCAAATTCCTTCCACCTCCATTCAATTCAATTCCATCCCATCCCATCCCACCCCTACCCTGTCCACTCTTTATGCTACAATAAGGGTTTCAAACATGGCACTTAACTGTTTACAAAGACTGTCGACGGAACAGGATATATACAGATATGGACAGAGACAGGCGCAGGTGCCACGGAGGGAGATAATCATGTCTCAATAGTGAGACCCACTAATTAATCAGGGTTACTATACTAGCCAAGAAGAAAGCAACACCTCAGTATATTAAAGGGGAGACAGGTAAAGGGAGGTTGCTCCAGTTTGGGCAGAAATAGTCGTATTCTGAAAGTAAACAGATTTAACTTAAACTTATTTTATTTCATTTTAATATATTTTAAATAACTTCTTAAAATGAAGATTTCTGTGGCAACAATGTTTTGTAGGGAGAAAGAAGGGAGCAAACTCACATTCTTGTGGGGATTCATCGGACCCATCACTGCAGTCCTCCTCGCCATCACACACATAACCCTCCTTTACACAGAAGGGTGTCCCTTTAACACAATGGAAGTGTCCCCTTTCACACTTAGGGGTGCCTGAAACAGTCAACATGTTGATCATGGCAACAGTGCCATACTACAATGACACCAACACAACACATTACAGACTAGATGGCAACACTGTACAGACCATGTGACAACTCTGTACAGACCATGTGGCAACATGATACAAACTGCACTGCAATGCCATAGAGACAACATTGTACTGCCCACAAGGCAACTCTGTCATACAGTATAGACCATATGGCAACATTGTAAAGACCATGTGGCAACACTGTACAAACCATGTGGCAACAATGTACAGACCATGTGGCAACACTGCATAGACCATGTGGCAACACTGCATAGACAATATGGCAACACTGTACAGACAATGTGGCAACACTGTATAGACCATGTGGCAACACCATACAGACCATGTGGCAACACTGTACAGACCATGTGGCAACACTGTACAGACCATGTGGCAACACTGTACAGACCATGTGGCAACACTGTACAGACCATGTGGCAACACTGTACAGACCATGTGGCAACACTGTACAGACCATGGCCATGTGGCACAACATGGCAACAGACAGACCATGTGGCAACACCATGTACAGACCACATGGACCATGTGGCACACTGTACAGACCATGTGGCAACACTGTACAGACCATGGCAACACAACATGGCAACACTGTACAGACAGCACCATACAGACCACATGGCCACAATGTACAGACCACATGGCAACACTGTACAGACCATGTGGCAACACTGTACAGACCGTACAGACCATGTGGCAACACTGTACAGACCATGTGGCAACACCGTACAGACCACATGGCCACAATGTACAGACCATGTGGCAACACTGTAAAGACCATGTGGCAACACCGTACAGACCATGTGGACAATGTACAGACCATGTGGCAACACGTACAGACCATGTGGCATGTACAGACCATGTGGCAACACTGTACAGACACATGGCAACAATGTACAGACCATGTGGCAACACTGTAAAGACCATGTGGCAACACTGTACAGACCACATGGCCACAATGTACAAACCGACAAATGAAAAGATAAGCCTGGCGACAAAACAGCTAAACATACAACAGTAACTGTACGAGGTGAAACCAATCATTGCACAATGTCAGTACTGTTCCTGTTGAACATTGCTACAGTTAAACTGCAACACTCAAATTAAGTCAGGTATACGATGCTGAATCAAATGACACATCAGTGAAAAACTTCTCCAACAAGTTGTCAGCATAATTATATGTTGAAGGAAGAACACAGTGACCACTTTGGTAACACCTGTGAGCATGGATTTACTGTTAACAGGACAAGGATTTGTCATCAGTCTGGTATTCAAACCTCAAACAGCAGATCCTGGAATGATTTAATGACTTAATTCTGCTCAATAATTTATGCATCCAGGGAAACAAACTATCCCTAAGGATTTCTGAATTTGTCAACTTTCATGACTTATGCACCATGGTTATATCAAACAACAATATCAAAACTGAAAAAGGCTGATAGTTACTGCAGTTGGCAAGTTCGTCCTCCCCATTTGCACAGTCCTCGTCTCCATCACAGAGCCAGCTGCGTGGAATACAGTGGTGGCCGATCTCAGTCTCATTTGGGCACAGGAATGTATCATGGGAGCACACCGACTCTGAAATAACAAAACATTCAACAATGTAGAATCAAGATGGCGTTGACAAGCAATGGTTATCGACATCGTCATACAACAATCAAGAAGAAGGCTGACGGTGATCACAATGATTCTTCACATACGATGTAGAACCAAGTCAACAGTGATAACAGTGAATCTCTCCATTAAAAAATACAGAACAAAGACAAATGTGATAATGATTCACTCCATAAAACTATGGAGAATCAAGTCAACTGTGACAATGATTCTTGTTAAATCTAAGCACCCCCACTTCTATCATTCACGGCAAAATGCAGTCAGGCTGCACACAACAACAGTGAGTGACTGAAAGGTTTTAACTCTAGCTTGAATCTTAACCAAAGATTATTACATTCTCTCTTCTTCACTCCGCAAAATATTCTAAAATTTGTCAGTGACAATTTCATCAACTGAACAAATAATATTGGTTAACAATGAGTGAGTGAGTTGAGTTTAACTCTGCCTGTCAGTTTTATATCCAGCATGTCAGTATGATATGAGAGGAAAGTCTGAAGTGTATCACACCTCTACTACCTTAAAACCCATTAGCACATGTGTAGAGCTGACAAACCTGGGCCTAGCTTTTCGTAAGTTAATGTTAATGAATGGCACTTACGACTATTTTAGCGCTAAGAGAGCTTCAAAAATCTAGGCCCAGGACACACAATAGGAGCTGACAAGTATTCCAACCCATGATCACATGTACCTGTCGCACTCAGGGGACACAACTCTGCACAGAGCGAGGATAGTGCCTGGCATTATCAAACCATTTCCGACCAATTTTTCAGAAAAATGTTTTTGAGTAATGACAGTATTGAAAATATTTCAATCATAATGTGCAATGGTAATCTCAGAAATGGCTCTGGCGCCATCTGCTGATAAACGATGATTACATTCCTTCTGCCTTCTTAACAACAATGTTTGCACTGCTCTCCTCTAATGCTGGCAATCTATACTCCTACACACAAGCTATGTTCCACCAGTGTAGCACTAACCGAATCAGTTACCGTTTACCAGCAATATCTCAACTCAAAGCAAAAAGGAAATGACACAATTCTAAACTTTTTTTCATCAATTTTAGCAAATTGAAACAGGATTCTTTTAAGTCATAAAAACGTTGCTAGTGATAGGCTGCAAGCATAAACCATTACATGAAAGCAAGGGTCTTCCAGTATGCTGTTTGTTAGAATGTGATGTAATTGACAGAAGCCATCCCAGTGTCCCTTCTGTGAGTGAAGCTGATGACACAGACCCCCCTGGAATTCTCCTCATCAGCCATCTCAGCACTATGAGTATTGTAAGTTAATGTTAAAGTATGGGAGTTATGATAATCCTAGTGGTAAGATAGCTGTAGGGAACAAGCTTCTGCAATGGATCTCATTATGTCTACTCGGCTAGAATATTTACCCTGGAGAGTTAGAATGAAGTCTTGCGAACATGTACATCTTTCGGCTTGAATGTTTCCTTGTCTTAACTTCAAATGAAAGAGTGTGCTCTGCTAAGGAGAACATATCTAAATTTGACGCATCAGTCACAAAAGTGATGTACGGTTCAACTCGCTATTTTGATGACAACCAATATATATAACCTGTGTTTTTCTCAGGTGAACAAGTGACCTGCCTTTGCATGTCTTTGTGATGGGTGTTATAAGCATGGGGTGAGTGAGTGAGTGAGTTTTGTTTTACGCCACTTTTAGCAACATTAAAGCAATATCACGGCGGGACACCAGAAATGGGCTTCACATACTGTACCTAAGTAGGGGAATCGAACCTGGGTCTTTGACGTGATGAGCAAACTCTTTAACCTCGAGGCTACCCTACCACCCTCACAAAAACGGGGCTAAAAAATTGCTCACCTTTCAGGACACCCACGTAATTTGCAAGCCCACAGGGATACATTTCTATGTATACTTAAGTTGTGAAGAAATGATGAGTGCCTAAACACCAAGCCAGCTATAATCTGCGGTATTGCCAAAAATAACGTTAGGAAAGATGATGACAACCAAGAATCATAACATTTATTCACTTCCACTGAAAAGTGGTTCTTGCAACAATGTGATGCAACTGGCCACCCTAGTCCATCAGGACACCAATGTCATTGTAATTGTTCTAAGATAACGATATGATACCTTATATCTTAAATCCTGATTTTTCTTCAGTGAAAGTGACAAATTGCATACTCAGTGAGAAGACAACACAGGAGAATGGCAAACACACTACCAACTAGGCCAACTCGCAAAACACTCTGAAACAGATGTCCTTGATAAGCCTCTAGAACGTCTTATGTTTGCAGCATATAATCAATACTTGTGCAACTGCTACTATTCCTTCCTGTATTCCGGGGTGTCGAACCGCACTCCAACAGACCCCCCCAGTGACACTTCACACAGGGAGATTATGCAGCTCTTTGCTGTACTTCTTCAGTTCAAAATCAAGTATGTTGAATAATTCATTGTATCACATGCCCTCACAATGGCTGACAACATATCCCTGTGGTATCAAGAAATTGAATTTGTTGGTTTCTCAAAACCTGAGCCAGACACTTGGTCTGAATCTTCAATTATACACTGAAAATAAAATCTTGGCTGGATTCCATGTGGAACAAATGCAGACTTTCAGCATTTTTCTAACAAATCAAATAAATATAAATAGTAAATGTAATAACTAGGCTACCTCAAGGGTCTGGTTAATCCATATTAGGAATATTTCAAGGTATGAGAATGGCTCTGCGTGGGGAACACTGGACTGTTGCATGATGAGCTAGTGCTTGTACCACTCAGCAATATTCATAGATTAGGACCAGAAATGTTTTTTGTTTGTGCTGTTTTTCATTAATGCCACACTCAGCCATTTTCCAACTACTGAGATATGATGACATACATCAACCAAGTCAGCGACCCGATCCCCTTAGTCGCCTCTTTCAACAGCCATTGTTTACAAGACAAACGGACAAAACAACCCTGTACATAGAATTGTTAGTTTGCCTGACTGTATCTGTAAAGAGTGAGTAAGATTAGTTTTACAACGCACTCAGCAATATTCCAGCTATATGGCGGCGGTCTGTAAATAATCTAGTCTGGACCAGACAATCCAGTGATCAACAGCATAAGCATCGATCTGCGCAACTGGGAACCGATGACATATGTCATCCCAGTCAGCGAGCCTGACCACTTCGATCCCGCTAGTCGCCTCTTACAACAAGCATGGGTTACTGAAGATCAATATTCTAACCCGGACCTTCACGGGTCGTATCTGTAAAGAGATGTGAAAAGAAAAACCCAAGAGCAGAGATCACTGTTGTTTGTAGGGAATGATCAATGATCAAGCATGTTTTGGCAGTTGTACTTTCATGATGTCTATTCATGTTTTCATCCACCATTTATGTATGATTGAGAAGCGTTATATAAAAAGACAACCCACTCACATTACAACCAACAGCAATTCACTCCATCATGAGTCCTGTATTTTCAATTTATCATCATCGCCATTGCATTGAAAATAGTGACAAGTAATTAGCTGATGAACATGAGATCTCTACTGAATAGAAGTTGCTTTTTTCAGAATTTCACTGTAAAGGGAACCAATTTAAATAGAAGAAATTAGGGTGACCTTCACCTTACGATCAGAGCAGATGCCAATCAGGCTCAAACATCTATGTTGCCCTACAGAATCTTTGCCAAATAGATCAACTGAAATGTGATTGGCTACTTGACCTTTCGGGTACAGAGCATCTTGCGTGATGGAGACTAATTGTTCCGATGTGTGTCAGGGGTAAAAAGACGTCTTTACATCTGATGCAGCATAACAATCACTCGGAATGCTGGGAAGTTTGACATTACTATCTGTGACTCTGATGACAGAGAGAAGGTGATTATATTCAAGAGGTTGGCGTCTGGTCACCAAAGTCAGAACTAGTCCAGTTATATCACAGAAGGTTGTAAACACTCCAGTCAGGACCAGACAAACCACAGAAAACAATGGCTAAGTGGTCACATGGTATGATGTCATGCAAACAGTCAACACACCGAGCCTTCTGATCTGTTCTCAAGGAGGCTTGCACAGCCATTAGAGATAGCAACCATTAAAGGAAACAAGATACAGTTGCTACAGATCAGTTATTGCAAGATACCATTTATAATGTCTGGGTCGGCTGAAGAGAGCAGATGTCACAGCTCCATGGAGTGTAAGTAAGTGGGATGGGTTTAACACCACTTGAAGCAGTATTCCAGTTATATCCCAGCATGTCAGCTTTATACCCCAGGTATTACAGGTGGTACAGGTGTTAATGGTACTGAACCCAGTATTCAACAAGCAGAGGTATGATATGGACAAACATACAAGGCAACTAAGGGAGACAAGTCTGGAGAGCAAACACAGCGACTAAGCAAAAGTATAACACATTACAGACGAATCATCAAAAAGTGTCCCAAGGTGAAGGTCAGCTGAAACAGTACTTTTGGAACAACATGATGTGAGCATCAGTGAGTAAATACGATTTTATGCCACTTTCATTAATATATCCAGCAATATCACATTGGGGATACTAGAAATGGTCTTCACACAATGTACCCATGTTGGAAGGTGAACCCAGGTCTTGATGAGCGAACACTTTGACCACAAGGCTACCCTACCCCCACATCTCAGTATCTTGTTTGTTTGCTTGTTGCGTACTGTCACATTCAGCAACATTGAAGCTACATAACAGAGCACGGTATTTAAATAACTCAAGATGAGTCAAGTCACAAAGATCACCTGACAGTCACCTCCAAAGACTGGGGACAAAAGCTCATTTTGTGAAAACTTTGATGGAGTTCCTTATTTGGGAACAAACTGACCATTCTTTTGTGCCAAACAGCATAATATCTCGGTCAGACGGTAAATGTGTCATGTCACTTCCAGGTGTCTACCAGAACTTACTGCCAAAGACACACGTCACATTTTCTGTTTGATGTTTTCGAGCAGACTACCAACTGATTAGAAAAG